TATTTGACCTAATTTACCTCAAATTGTGGACGTAATATTTCCTTTTTAAAGGCCTATCTGTCCGATGTAGGAGTGGAAACGTGTTCTAGGGACCCTGAGGTAATTTCCTAGCAAGTTTCAAGAAATTTCATTTTTTGGCCAAAATTGAAGAAAAATGTAAGGGGTTAGCCTTACTTTTTTTTCGATTTTGGCCAAAAAATGAATGTTCTCCAAATTACTCGGAAATGCTTAAGGATGCTTTGGGGGCATGATTTAATATTCAGACCGGCAAAATTCGCTAAATTTTGGCCAAAATTGTGCCATTATTGGGTAAAATTTCATATACATGTATTTGACCTATTTTACCTCAAATTGTGGACGTAATATTTCCTTTTTAAAGGCCTATCTGTCCGATGTAGGAGTGGAAACGTGTTCTAGGGACCCTGAGGTATCTTCTTAGCAAGTTTCAAGAAATTTCATTTTTTGTCCAAAATTGAAAAAAATGTAAGGGGTTAGCCTTACTTTTTTTTCGATTTTGGCCAAAAAATGAATTTTCTCCAAATTACTCGGAAAAGCTTAAGGATGCTTTGGGGGCATGATTTAATATTCAGACCGGCAAAATTCGCTAAATTTTGGTCAAAATTGTATCATTATTGGGTAAAATTTCATATACATGTATTTGACCTATTTTACCTCAAATTGTGGACGCAATATTTCCTTTTTAAAGGCCTATCTGTCCGATGTAGGAGTGGAAACGTGTTCTAGGGACCCTGAGGTATCTTCCTAGCAAGTTTCAAGAAATTTCATTTTTTGGCCAAATTTGAAAAAAATGTAAGGGGTAAGCCTTACTTTTTTTTCGATTTTGGCCAAAAAATGAATTTTCTCCAAATTACTCAGAAATGCTTAAGGATGCTTTGGGAGCATGATTTAATATTCAGACCGGCAAAATTCGCTAAATTTTGGCCAAAATTGTGCCATTATTGGGTAAAATTTCATATACATGTATTTGACCTATTTTAACTCAAATTGTGGACGTAATATTTCCTTTTTAAAGGCCTATCTGTCCGATGTAGGAGTGGAAACGTGTTCTAGGGACCCTGAGGTATCTTCCTAGCAAGTTTCAAGAAATTTCATTTTTTGGCCAAAATTAAAAAAAAATGTAAGGGGTTAGCCTTACTTTTTTTTTCGATTTTGGCCAAAAAATGAATTTTCTCCAAATTACTCAGAAATGCTCAAAGATGCTTTGGGAGCATGATTTAATATTCAGACCGGCAAAATTCGCTAAATTTTGGCCAAAATTGTGCCATTATTGGGTAAAATTTCATATACATGTATTTGACCTAATTTACCTCAAATTGTGGACGTAATATTTCCTTTTTAAAGGCCTATCTGTCCAATGTAGGAGTGGAAACGTGTTCTAGGAACCCTGAGGTATCTTCCAAGCAAGTTTCAAGAAATTTCATTTTTTGGCAAAATTTGAAAAAAATATAAGGGGTTAGCCTTACTTTTTTTTCGATTTTGGCCAAAAAATGAATTTTCTCCAAATTACTCAGAAATGCTTAAGGATGCTTTGGGAGCATGATTTAATATTCAGACCGGCAAAATTCGCTAAATTTTGGCCAAAATTATTCGATTATTGGGTAAAATTTCATATACATGTATTTGACCTATTTTAACTCAAATTGTGGACGTAATATTTCCTTTTTAAAGGCCTATCTGTCCGATGTAGGAGTGGAAACGTGTTCTAGGGACCCTGAGGTATCTTCCTAGCAAGTTTCAAGAAATTTCATTTTTTGGCCAAATTTGAAAAAAATGTAAGGGGTTAGCCTTACTTTTTTTTCGATTTTGGCCAAAAAATGAATTTTCTCCAAATTACTCAGAAATGCTTAAGGATGCTTTGGGGGCATGATTTAATATTCAGACCGGCAAAATTCGCTAAATTTTGGTCAAAATTGTGCCATTATTGGGTAAAATTTCATATACATGTATTTGACCTATTTTACCTCAAATTGTGGATGCAATATTTCCTTTTTAAAGGCCTATCTGTCCAATGTAGGAGTGGAAACGTGTTCTAGGAACCCTGAGGTATCTTCCTAGCCAGTTTCAAGAAATTTCATTTTTTGGCCAAATTTGAAAAAAATGTAAGGGGTTAGCCTTACTTTTTTTTCGATTTTGGCCAAAAAATGAATTTTCTCCAAATTACTCAGAAATGCTTAAGGATGCTTTGGGAGCATGATTTAATATTCAGACCGGCAAAATTCGCTAAATTTTGGCCAAAATTGTGCCATTATTGGGTAAAATTTCATATACATGTATTTGACCTATTTTACCTCAAATTGTGGACGTAATATTTCCTTTTTAAAGGCCTATCTGTCCGATGTAGGAGTGGAAACGTGTTCTAGGGACCCTGAGGTATCTTCCTAGCAAGTTTCAAGAAATTTCATTTTTTGGCCAAATTTGAAAAAAATGTAAGGGGTTAGCCTTACTTTTTTTTCGATTTTGGCCAAAAAATGAATTTTCTCCAAATTACTCAGAAATGCTTAAGGATGCTTTGGGAGCATGATTTAATATTCAGACCGGCAAAATTCGCTAAATTTTGGCCAAAATTATTCGATTATTGGGTAAAATTTCATATACATGTATTTGACCTATTTTAACTCAAATTGTGGACGTAATATTTCCTTTTTAAAGGCCTATCTGTCCGATGTAGGAGTGGAAACGTGTTCTAGGGACCCTGAGGTATCTTCCTAGCAAGTTTCAAGAAATTTCATTTTTTGGCCAAATTTGAAAAAAAATGTAAGGGGTAAGCCTTACTTTTTTTTCGATTTTGGCCAAAAAATGAATTTTCTCCAAATTACTCAGAAATGCTTAAGGATGCTTTGGGAGCATGATTTAATATTCAGACCGGCAAAATTCGCTAAATTTTGGCCAAAATTGTGCCATTATTGGGTAAAATTTCATATACATGTATTTGACCTATTTTACCTCAAATTGTGGACGTAATATTTCCTTTTTAAAGGCCTATCTGTCCGATGTAGGAGTGGAAACGTGTTCTAGGGACCCTGAGGTATCTTCCTAGCAAGTTTCAAGAAATTTCATTTTTTGGCCAAATTTGAAAAAAATGTAAGGGGTAAGCCTTACTTTTTTTTCGATTTTGGCCAAAAAATGAATTTTCTCCAAATTACTCAGAAATGCTTAAGGATGCTTTGGGGGCATGATTTAATATTCAGACCGGCAAAATTCGTTAAATTTTGGTCAAAATTGTGCCATTATTGGGTAAAATTTCATATACATGTATTTGACCTATTTTACCTCAAATTGTGGATGCAATATTTCCTTTTTAAAGGCCTATCTGTCCGATGTAGGAGTGGAAACGTGTTCTAGGGACCCTGAGGTATCTTCCTAGCAAGTTTCAAGAAATTTCATTTTTTGGCCAAAATTGAAAAAAAATGTAAGGGGTTAGCCTTACTTTTTTTTCGATTTTTGCCAAAAAATGAATTTTCTCCAAATTACTCAGAAATGCTTAAGGATGCTTTGGGAGCATGATTTAATATTCAGACCGGCAAAATTCGCTAAATTTTGGCCAAAATTGTGCCATTATTGGGTAAAATTTCATATACATGTATTTGACCTATTTTACCTCAAATTGTGGACGTAATATTTCCTTTTAAAAGGCTTATCTGTCCGATGTAGGAGTGGAAACGTGTTCTAGGGACCCTGAGGTATCTTCCTAGCAAGTTTCAAGAAATTTCATTTTTTGGCCAAATTTGAAAAAAATGTAAGGGGTTAGCCTTACTTTTTTTTCGATTTTGGCCAAAAAATGAATTTTCTCCAAATTACTCAGAAATGCTTAAGGATGCTTTGGGGGCATGATTTAATATTCAGACCGGCAAAATTCGCTAAATTTTGGCCAAAATTGTGCCATTATTGGGTAAAATTTCATATACATGTATTTGACCTATTTTACCTCAAATTGTGGATGCAATATTTCCTTTTTAAAGGCCTATCTGTCCGATGTAGGAGTGGAAACGTGTTCTAGGGACCCTGAGGTATCTTCCTAGCAAGTTTCAAGAAATTTCATTTTTTGGCCAAATTTGAAAAAAATGTAAGGGGTAAGCCTTACTTTTTTTTCAATTTTGGCCAAAAAATGAATTTTCTCCAAATTACTCAGAAATGCATATTGATGCTTACGGATGACGTTTAAGTATTCAGACCGGCAAAATTTGCTAAATTTTGGCCAAAAGTGTGCCATTATTGGATACAAATTCCTATTTTTACCCATTTTACCTCGAATTTTCGATGTCATATTTCCTTTTGAAAGGCCTATCTGTCCAATGTAAGAGTGGAAACGTGTTCCAGGGACCCTGAGGCGTCTTCCTAGCAAGTTTTAAGAAATTTCATTTTTCAGCCAAATTTGAAAAAAATGTAAGGGGTAAGCCTTACTTTTTTTTCAATTTTGGCCAAAAAATGAATTTTCTCCAAATTACTCAGAAATGCATATCAATGCTGCAGTATCACGATTAAGTATTCAGACCGGCAAAATTTGCTAAATTTTGGCCCAAATTGTGCCATTATTGGCAAAAAATTCCTAAATTTTAGCCATTTTACCTCAAATTTTCAACGTCATGTTTCCTTTTGAAAGGCATATCTGTCCAATGTAAGAGTGGAAACGTGTGCTTGGTACCCTAAGGCATCTTCCTAGCAAGTTTTAAGAGATTTCATTTTTCAGCTAAATTTGAAAAAAAATGTAAGGGGTAAGCCTTACTTTTTTTTCAATTTTGGCCAAAAAATGAATTTTCTCCAAATTACTCAGAAATGCATATTAATGCTTTCGAATCACGATTAAGTATTCATGCCGGCAAAATTTGCTAAATTTTGGCCCAAATTGTGCCATCATTGGCCAAAAATTCGTAAATTTTACCAATTTTACCTGAAATTTTCGATATCATATTTCTTTTTGAAACGCAATTGTAACCCTATTTTTCTTTGACACCAGTACATATGCAGCATAGCAGACGGTATTAAAGAGTAAATTTATCCACATGTATTTCAATTTTATTGGGTATAAAATCATTTATAAAGATGACTCAAGCAACGATTAAGTGCATGATTTCCAAATACATGTATCATTTTCCTTTTGGGCGGGGCTATGTACAAAATGATACATTATTTCATAGAAAGCCCAATACAGGAACATTCTGTTTGATGACAAAACAAGCTAGCTTTTAATAAGAAGAAAAGAAAAGAAAGAAACTGATACATGTATGTGAGGCGTTCTTGCATAATGAGACTGAACTGAGTGTTTGCGGATAAAATACTGTTTGTTGCACTTCAAACAGACAGTCCATTGACAAGTTACAGCTGATTAAAGTTAAAGGCATTTATCGACAAGTCAAACAAGTAAAATGCTGACAAAAAGGCCTTTAAAGTTTCGAGTTTTGTAGTCATGAAAATGAAAAATGCCAATTAAATTTTTTTCTTTAACAAATGCCTTAATTCCACAGTTCCATACTTTTTCTCTAAAATATATCAAATTTTACAAATATCAACAAATTTGTAAATCAACAAAAAAAATCCCCCCCCCCTGTTTTGTCTCTCTCTGCTATGGACTGTGCACAATTCCATTTCATTCTGCCAGAGTGCCTCACATTATTGTATGACAAATCCGCAATGAATGCAGCTGTACATACATATTAACAGAGTCAAGACAGTCACTGTAATATAATTGAAATTGATACTGTTTCTCTGTCTTGTTTAGTCGAGTTATAACCAAGTCATGACAAGTCTTCATATGCCAATCAGAAGTTAATCACAAGCGATTGTATTTGTTGCAAGCTAATTACATGAACTCTCATAAAGGCACTTCTTTATCATTGTTCATCCTCTTTATTTTTTGTGATCTTACCATGATTGACTGGACTTCGACTAAAAAGACAATTTCTAACTTTTATTTTTTTTAAAAATATCAAAAGGTTGTTGATGCACCCTCACTTTGTCAAATTCAGTTTGCATTCCTGCGCAAAGGAGATGACTGTGTACATTTCTTATTTGATAAAAATAATGGAAATCATCATGTTATGGTGCAAAAGTGGCAAGCTATTTGAATGAACTTTTAGAAAGGCATTCCTTTAGGCCAAAAGAAAAATAATAATAAAACTGCTTCCGATTACATGGTATTTTTTAATAGGGTACATGTGTAGGTAGATACCGGTAGTGAATTTATTTTAATTTTTTTTTTGGGGGGGGGGAGGTGTCTGCATGTATTAAAGGGTAAAAAGTAGTACATGTAATTGATGGTTTTCTGCCTCATCATTCATGCATCCTCTGTTTTTTGTGATCTTAACTATGCTTGACTAAGACACTTCTGAACTTTTAAGTTTTATATTTTTAAATATCAGAAGATCGCTGATGTCTTAGGAATGAATATACAATTGTCACGTAACATTCTACTTTGTTTACAGATCCCTTGCAAAGAGTGGCCTCACATTGTCAAATTCAGTTCACATTCAGAACACCTGTTAAATACCTTCCATGTTATCAATCTATTCTTTCCATTGCAGCTGTGGTCTGATGTTGTTTCACCTGGGCTTGGATGATATTCCACCTGCTGTGGCATGCACAACACCTGTTACTAGATCCTCCTATTGTTGTGTATTTTCTGCTTCCTTTGCACCTGTGCTCGGATGATATCCAGTTGCGCTCGTAGATCCTTGTGTATTTCACACAGGCTTTCCTGTGAAACATAAAATAAAAACAGAACATCAGTTGGTGTCTTTTTACTCTCTGCTTTCTTGTCATTTTGACAGCTCAAGTTCAGCTGATTACATGTATAGTATTATGTTCATTATGCTTGGTATGTTCATACTGTTGTCTTAAAAACAGATGGTTGAGCTTATATATTACATCTTTCTTTGTCACTGAGTCACTATACACCTTTTTGCACATAAGAGCCTTGAATCCCCAGATACTGTTTGAGTGAGTTCTCCCATGGATTTCCCCAGCAATTTCAATCCTATTCTGACTCGGCAACGATTCCGATTTCGTTTACACGATTCCCATTCCAGCATGATGTGGGTGTAACTTCTGTACCTTTTCTCTAAGAAGTTCATTGTGTTCCTCCACCATCCTGAAGCTCGCCTGCTGGTCCTTCCAGTCCTGATCCAATTCATCTGCAAGTTCTTTCCTGTTGAAGAGTATAAAAATAAGGATTCGAATCAAAACTAAACAATCCCAGAAAAGTTGTGGGGAGGGGAGATGAACCTGTGTTCACAGGAACGGAGTTCCCATCTCTCTTTGAAAGTGATAAACCCATACTTGGGGCGTGATCCCTGGCTACGTGGCACAAACAAGTATGTGCCATGTAGCTAGGGATCACGCCCCAAGTCATGATGCTGGCAACAATAAAAATGCTGCAAACCCGGGAAATAGCAAACAGGGATCTCCCTTTTTTTTTTACAAGGAAACTTTGACAGCACTGGCCAGAGTCCTGAAGCTTAGAGCATAGGTTTACTGGTTACCAGGCGAAATTAATATTGTGTTTCCCAGTGGTTCCCAGCAGCACAGCAAATTTGTTCAGCTTAGCGACTTCATGAAATTTGGTCAATGCTTTGCCCAAAATTCTGAGATGTACGAGTGCAGCCAAGAATGGGAGACTTTTGAGACATTAATGGCAGCAAACATGCCGCACTTTTTCAATTGTTTACGTCATATTTAAGCTAAAGTGCGCATGCTTAATATGACGCAAACAATGGGAAAAGGACCGGTGTGTTTGCTGCCACCAATGTCTCAAAGGTCTCCCATTCTTTGAGAGAGTAAAACGAAAGAATTGTCCCTTTGTGTTGGAGAGCGACCTCAGCATTTTGCCTTATAAAATTTAGACTTAAATCAGAAATGAGAACTTGTTCTTACTTTCTTTGATGGAGTAGCGCGACCTCAGTCTGAACTCTGACTAGTTCCTGGGCAGCCTGGATGATAGAGAGATGGGAAAAATCAATCTACCTCAAACATATTCCAATTGTTCAATTAAAATAAAATTGTATTTCATATTTTCAAATTGTTTAATGCCACTGTTTGATAATTCTTTCCCCCTTTTTTACGACTCAACTTGTTGCAGAATTTGAGCAAATATTTCCTTGGTTCAATAAAAAATGGTGAAGCATTCTGTTATGACCTAAAAATGCGTTCGAAATCTAAAAATGGAAATAAATTTGACGACATCTTATTACTAGTTCAGAAACTAAGGATTTAAAAAAGGTTTATCTAGAAATGAAATGCTCATTTTCAGTCAAATCAGGTTTCAGTATGCTTGAAAAAGATCAGTTCATGACTGTTTTGAGTAGACTATTTTATAACGCTGTTTATTAAACACAGATATATGACAAGACGGTAATTTTTAATTCTTTCAATGTCTATCATTTCAGTGAAGTTTCTAAAGATAAACGTGGGAGCAGCATACCTGCCGATGCTTGTCAAAGATTTCCTGCGATTCTCGTGAGTTGGTGTTTGGTAGGAGGGGCTACAGGAAATGAAACAGAAAACAACAAACTGTAAAGACTTTGTCTTCCTTTTTTTGACAGACTGGGCTATTTTTACAAAGTATTTTGCATCATATATATGTACCTGTAGGTGATGGTCCAAAGTCATATATGCCATCGGTATGACTGTCTCCTCTTCAAATGTACCTATGAAAGAATGGCAGGAACAATAGTGCACACAGTTATAAATGGCACCATGAACTGATGCCTTCTCCCGTTTAGTGTCACAAGTGACAATGACATTACCCAATAACAGTGACGCCAAGGGACGCATATCGTTCATTTTACAAAGTTGGGGTCCAAAAGTGTGACATTTTGTTGTCCCTCTTACACCCGACCTGTGTGTAATTTGACATGAAAATATCATTGAAATTGACTACAAATTATTTTAAATTGTTAAGCAGGTAATGTGCATTACATAATCACTTGTTGGGGTAGAAGACATGAACAAATGTGTTCTGAGTTTACAAAATCGGATGACAGATGTAACGGGGACACCCCAAAAAAAGGTGGACCCCAAATGTATAGAATTACCCATATATATTGTCAGTGCCGACACCTCTAAATGATCCTTTGGTTCAGTGTCATTTCAGTGACTATGAGCACACCAACAGTGAATACTGTGCAATGTTCAGACCAGAAAATGATACAGAGTAGAAAATCTTCTAACCAAACTAACTCCACAGAGTGGTTTATGCATGGCAATTTGATTGACCAATGTTTCAAAAGTTACAAAAATGGGATGGAACTAAACTGTTGTCATAGTTGGAGGGTCATGTACTACAATGATTAAAGTGACCCACAAGTTAGTCAGTCAGTCAGTCAGACTTGGCCAAGATTAGCCTTGAATGCAAGGCTGTGAATATGCTTTACCAGCATAGACGCATACAGCTTCAGACAACAAACCCCTGATCAAATCATATGTAGGCAAGAAGCCAATACTGTGCATATACACTGTACTGTACACACGCACTGCCCCACCCACCCACCCACCCCACTGAGAGTCCCAAGCCGTGCTCCAAAAGAGCATATCCTTGATCTCACTATATCTTCTGGGTTTTGTAATTATGCTAATGAGAATGACCTGCTTACAATTGCACGAGATAATCTTATTGGCCCTCGATTGGACACAATATTTTGTTTAAAAGCATGGAGTGGGTTGCGTCACATGCGTGCCAGAATTGGGTAACCAAACCAACTCATCTGTGATGAGATGAGCCGTTAAGAAACATACATTATTCATAGACGGTAATTTGCATACTCACTCACAACCCAACCCCCCCCCCCCTTTTCACAGATTTCCAAACTTAAGTAAAGAAAAACATACAACTCAGAAGTTACAGCACAATCAAGGCTGTGATGCAATGGATGTGGCTTGCACAGCATGCAGCACGGTAAACTTTGGCCAGCTTCCTTAGCTCTAGACCAGCTATGGCATGCTGATACAGCACATACACAGCCTTGCATTAAGGCTAGGCTAAGTTTGGAATCCAATTTGGAATGGGTTTAAAAAACTAGTGCAATGGCAAATCTAGTGCAATTAACACCAACTGTATGAAGGAAAAGGAAAAGTGACAGCACCAACTACATGAAGTAAAAAGAAAAGACGACAGCTTTGAATGGTTCCCCTCACCCGAATGTTTCTGTTCCAATGATACACTACGCAGTGGCCGGTCCCCTGCTCTGCCCATGGTCTGTGATGTCATACCAGTGCCAATCTGAGACAAAACTGAAGTGGAAACACTGTTTGCGGTGAGGCGGGACAACGCCAGTTGGTCTTCTATACTGAGATACGTACCGTTGTCCGAGTTTGAACGCTGCTTGCAAGGGTCGAAGGCACTCAGGTGACTGGGGGCAGTAACCGAGTGCGGGAGGTGGCTGGAATGGGGCCTCTGAGGGGGGACCGGTTTGGGTACAGAAGACACGGTGATCGTCGGGGACGAGGGATGAGATGTGGCCATTGGGGAAATGGGCTCGGGTTGGAGAGGGGCGGGGAGGAGGGTGGGGATGTCAGTGAAAGATTCAATCTTTCCGTGGGAATTAGAGCGACGATGGGTGTAAACGGTGGTAGTCTCTGCAAAGAAAACACACAGAATACAAGCAAAAGAACAGGCCTAGCATGCAGGGAGTTAAACATGGAAACTCAAAATCACCATGCAGTTAGTAAACACGTCTAGGTGAGATTACAGATGCAGAATAAAATACCAGGCTCCAAAACTCCCAGGAAATGAATGTCTTTTCTTTTCTTTCTTTTTTATTAAAAAAGGGTTGTCATTCTATCTACACTGTACCGGTATGTCCCCAAAAAAGTGTCTGCCTGACTATTTTTGAAATACATTTGAAATACGGTAACTACAAAACCATGAAGTTAATTTGAAATGTTTTAATTGTGCAGATAGACCATGAGCAACAATAATAAATTAATTGCCACGGTCAAATTTTGCCTCCAAAGGGGGGCTGTGACATTAGGGACATGAAAATGTCTCCCTAATGACCAGTGTCTCCCACCGTTCCAAGAAATGACGATACCGTGTCTCCTTAATGGTCCCTTTACATGTCTTATTCTGATCATATTTATTATTATTATTTTGTGGTGACAGGTCACATTATTATCAAATGCTCAATGTAACTGTGTTAATACCAATGCAAATGAGTGCTTCCGTGTTATACCTACATGTACATGTACAACACAAATATGTATGTGCAACCAAATATAAATCAAGCAAACTCAGTTTGGTGTAATGCAACTGAAAATTAAAAAGTATCACCGATGACAATTATAGCATGATGAGTCTAGAAACATACTTAAAATGCAGCGTCCATGTACCAAAATAAAACCAAATTTGGGTGAGAATTTTCATTCCATTCTAATATGCCAAAATTTTGAATTCCACATTTAAAACTGAAAGAAAAAGAAATATCAAGCATAGATCTTTTTTTGGATCAAGACAACTTCAACACTACCTGGTAGGGTTCTATACATCGGCCATACAAACCCATGGTAAGCAGGTTTGGGAGTGCCTGATGCAACGACAATCAAGAAAATAGGGATGAACAATTAAAGAGATATTTTGAGCAATAAATATTGCGACTCTCTGGATTAGGCCAAAAAAATAAAAGGTCTCCAGTTTCTGGTCAGCGTGCGCATCGCTGTAGCCATGCAAGTTGGCAAAATATTATATATTTTTTTTCAATGCAAAATGATGTCGAAAAACTGCCAAACTCACTGGTTTGACTGGAATCCTGCTGCTGCACAATTTTAACGTGTTTTTAGATGGGGTTAGGATGGAATATAAGCTTTATATGGCCTCTTTGGGCTCCCATATATTTTGCACTAAATTTAGTCTGGCAACATTTGCAGAAGGTGTTGTACTTTTGTAATTATGCGACTGGAAGCCAGACTGAGGGAGCGATGGTCGTGTATCTGGAACCTGTAAACGCTTTGTAATAAGCGCAATATGTAAGGGAGCAGACTAATGACCAGCCTGGCAGCACGTGCACAATGTCGATGTCGCTGTATGGTCTGAAGTTACTGTTTTCTCTGATTTTTTTCTTGACTATCCAAAATTCCCGAAGAATGTTCATGTAGGTCGAGATCGTAAGTGAGTGTAAAATTCTGAAGCATTATGGCCTTATGAGATCACCTTAATTCACTCTTTTCACACTTCGGCCATTGGCATGCAGAGCCTCGATCTGGCAACTTTACATAATAGATATAGGCGATTCAGTGATTCCCGTGTCCGGGTTCAGATCACTCAACCAGCTATTTTTACTGTGTAAAGTTGCCAGATCGAGGCTGTGCATGCCCAATGGCAGAGTGTCAAAAGAGCGAATTAAGCTCCACCCTGAAGGATATTTTTGAGATTTTTTAGGGGATTGAAGCATCATTTGCAACATCAGCCGACATTTGAAGAAAAAAAAATGTGTCGCTGCACTGCACTTCTGGGGCAAGCTCCATACCAGAAATCTGAGACTTTGTTTTTTTGGCCTTACATGTATAACACATAATATACCCTTCATGCCTTTTGTTAATGCGTGTATTTTCACCACAACAAGCATGCCATTAGTGTTGACAAATCTATGTAAAAATGATATTTGTTTTTTTTGTTTTTTAAGTTTTATTCAAAAGAAAATTTTTGTTCACTGTTAATTTTTAATTTTCATTGTTAAACTGAAAATTACAACCAAAAATGACTATTAAACTGTACTTTCAAGCGTTAGAAAGGTATCTACCAAATAAAATTGAGGAGTTAGGATCATCTTGGTTATCCATGTAAATCCTTAATAGTCACTCGAGTATGGTTTGGGGGTAGGCCATGGATTGACAGAATTGGGCATACATATGACAAGGGTGTGGTTGGGTGGGACAGGGGGCGAGGTTTAAGATTAAGGGGGAGGTATGAAATGGGAGGGAGGGGTGAAGGGAAGTGGAACTCTATATTTCCAGTCGTGTCTGCTTCTTCATTAATCTATGAATTATAAATTGCAGCTGTAAATTGCCAAAGTTCAAGGTAATTCTAAAATTGATCAGTATATGCATAATTAATCATGACTGAAACACATTTGATGACAAGTCTTTACCTGTAGTTTTAATAAACCATCATCAAACGCGACTCAACGTTTCAACATTGAATCACACAGGCCTCGGTTCTTTTTATATCATCACAGAAACCAGTTAGAAATAAACTCAGTGCACTCTAGTTTTTTGTTCAAAAGGTTTTGGGATGTTTAGTTAAAGGCATATAGGATCATTTGCTTTTTTATGCATTTGGTTCATTTTCAATAATAACACCACTCAAAATCCAACGAATAATCTTCAAAACCTAACCTGTTGAAATTTCAGCTCAGTGGATATTACAGTTTCGAGAAAACAGTGACAAACTGTGCACAAACTTTTGATCAGGAAACACAATTTTGTCTATATCGCACTCTCTATTTCTATTAGTCAATTTGCTGATCATAGGAAATCACATACATTTCTCAATTTCATCTTAATGCCAGCAAGCCAGACGGAATAATTTTGTGGGGTGTTTAGTACCGGTACGATCTTTAATCCCAGTAAGCTTTTTGATAATTTGGTGGGTTCTTTTTTGGATATATGCAAATGATCCTTTCTGTGCCTTTAAGCAAAGTTGTGAATACTACTGAGTTTCTCATGCTGCTGATGATGATGTCGGATGCTATTTCTGATCTCCAATGTCTGTCAGCCACTCAATGGCCTTTTCCTCAGCTTACTGGATGACTGCAATAACCCCACCCAGACGGGTGAACCAACAGTCCTGTGGTGTATCGTTTGAGGCTCACTACAATTTTTAGCTTGTAATTTCTGACTTACTTGTTTCGGATTCTTCATCTTCATCTTGATTTGAACCTGTGTAGGCCAGGATGTCCGCTGACCTTCTCTTGCGCTCGTATTCAGGGCTTCTCCTCCTGCTAGGCACGTCAGGTCGGAGTAGTTGGGTGGTAACGATGGGTGTCTGCTGTCCCTGTTTTGTTGGAACAAGGACAAGTTTTCACTTACTAGTTTTCCACATGCAGCAGCAAGCACATAATTTTGCTCTTCGTTTGAACCCTTCTAGTCTTTTGCATTTTCCAATCCTTTAACTTTAGAGTTAGCACTCAATAGAGTTAGTCCTCTTTCAGTAACAACCAGGGTATGCACGGTGAAGTTCTGAAGGGCGTTATTTATTGAAAAAGTGAGTACCGGAGCACCAACAGCTTAAAATGCAGCAATACCGAATGATCACTATAACTAACAATATCTGTGAGTCCCACGATGTTTGTTATAGCGGCATTCCACTGTATATGTATGGGTCAAAGGTTAACAGTTCCTAGTGATTCCATCATGTAAGATTCTGTAAAGGGGCATTACTCAAATGTAACTCTCATGACTTCTGACTCATTTTGTTGGGGAGAGTCATAACTATGTAAGATTGAGAGTTGAGAGAGGGTGAGAAGAGGGTTAGGGTGTTTAAGAAATCTGAAGTTCTAGCTATAACATTCAAACCTCTTGCTGCTGCTGCTGCGGCAGTTCCGTTCTCTCCGATGCTCGGATGACGGTGTCATGTATCGTGCTGCTGTTAGTTGCTGTGTTGGTTGTATGACTGGTGGAGTATGACGAGTCTTGCGTGCGTAGCTCACCCTCAACTGCCCCAAAGGACGGCTTGTTGGTTTCTACAAACACCCAGGGAAAATGTCACAAGAATGCCAAGAAATTCACAAATTGGATCTTTGGTCACAGTCACAGTTTGGATTTTATTCCACCGCAGCCTTGAACTCTATGTCATGTATGTGACTGGCGAGCCCACATAAAGCGACATCTCTGCTGGAGATGACAAAATGATATTTTGGAGCATCTAGCTTCATTAAAGACTGGTTGAACTCGATCTAGGAGATTAATTCTGCAGTCAGAGTCGATTCAGACAGATATGACGGAGTTTGTTTTGCAAAAGCTCGGTCCATATATAAGAAATTTCATTCTGGTTTTACCTGTGTCTGCTGTCTCATATCGCAGTGGCTGGTCATAGCCGCGGAAGTACTAGACACAAACACACAAACACAAAGAATGCTTTAATGTTTTTAAATGATCACAAAAGTTTACATAATTTTGTAAAATCAACTTACCCGAACTTTTAGTGCATTCTGTTGTAAAATACATAAGTTGTAGTTGCAACTTGGTTAGTACCTAGACAGGGATGTGTTATAGATATTAATTGGAGTGACGTCATCACACACGGACACTGTTTCATATTGGCATTTGTTATACCACGACTGCAGATAAAAGGTTAGTTCAAAGATATATCCATTAAATACCTTGATAAGGTTAGACATGACTCGGAACACTTCTGCCATTGATGGCCTATGAGGTGGCTCTTTAGCCCAGCACCTGTAGAAACAGTCAGCAATTATGAACTATGAATCCAAATATATGTAAACACCGCAAAAATAGTTCACACTCATTGGAGGGGTTATCATTTTGAATTTGAACTTATTATAATAACGTCATTTATATAGACCTTTTGGGAATGTCGTTAGCTACATTTTGATACCCATTTGTATCGAGGGCTGTAAAATTGTCCAAGATTGACAACAGTTTATGACAAATTGATGCAGTTTGAAAATTTGCAAATTTAAAGATTACACGAGTAGAAATTGCTTCCCCGAAGGTCTATATAAATGACGTTATCATAGGACAATCAGATTATGACCCCTCCAATGAGTTTGGACTCTTTTTTTTTGCAGTGTTTAGTTCAACACTAAACAAAGAGTACATACAACCACAAATGGAACTTGGGTTGTCAGGAAGTGAAAATAAGATGCCAAACGCACTCCAATAAGCTTTCTAAATCAAAGAAAAGACCAAACAACAAAAGTATCTGCATGTGTGGTACACTTGCCTTGTCATGAGTTTCTCTAAGGGTTTCGGGGTGGAGCGGATCATTGGAGGTCTTGTTCCTGTCATACAAAGAAATGACTTGATACATTTTAAAAAGGAAATGGAAATGAGCTGTGACAAAGGCCTTGCTAGATGCAATGGTTCATCCTTGTTACTTGGGATTGGACTTGGGATTGGACTTGTGGTTGACTTTATTGTGGTTGAACTAATATAGTCCAGTGGTTACCGTGTTTGACTCATGTAGGATGGTATGTGGGTTCGAACCCTGCCAGGAACATAGTGTTTGTGCCTTGGGCAAGACACTTAACAACAATTGCCTCTCTCCTCTCAGGAGCATGAATGGGTACCTGTGAGGGTAGAGGACCCAATGTGCGCTGATATCGGCTGCCGTGTGGTCTCGTGGCCTGATGAACGGGGTAATAATTGCTTAAGCACATTGAGATTGTTGATGGAAAGCACTATACTGTATAAGCATTACAATTTTATTTTTATAAATTGAATTTCAATGTACTAAATGAAGACATCACACATCACAACGACTAGACCAATGAGATCGCAATGCTTCATCATGAATATGTATGAGGTATGTTAATACCCATACCTACCTTGATGGACTGCCCACATGATACGGAAGGCAGGCCCGCCTATTTCATCAAACGGCTTTCTTCTTGAGATGACTTCCCACAGAATGATGCCCCAACTGAAGACGTCGCACTTCTCACTGTAATTACTCCCTGCACAGAAAATTACGATTAAGATATCACCCAAAAAACCCAAGAGGTCTCATGGCCAAAAGCTAAAGACCAATTCTTGCTATTTGTGACTTTACAAAAAAAAACTATTTTTGCGACCATTCCTATACTGATCTTAAAGGGAATGTACAACATTTGCAAACATAAAAAAACAACTTCCAAACTATTATGAAATACTTAACTTGACTGTAAGTGAATAAAAGTCTCAAGCATCCTGTGAAATCATGGCACCTGGTGTACTGTCATTTTAAAGAAAAGTGGAATTTTTTGTATCAATTTCCAACGATGGTCGGCTGACCATCATTGGAAAAAATGACTTTTTCAAATGCTGCCCCCAATTTACCTAATTTAAATAGTCCACATTTCGTTTGCAATCGGTTACACATCCGTGAGCGGGTGTAAGCCAGCTAGTCTGGTTCCCTGACATGACAATTCCCCCGATGTCTATTACTTGCTCCCTTTCCTCTGAAGTAGGGTCAGGTAACCAGACTACAAGAACAACCTTTTTTTTCTTGGTTTTTCTAGCAACTACCATGTCTACGAACACAGATACAGATACAATATTTGCTTTAAAATACTCACAATGTACCCCCAAATCCATCCATTTTCTGAAAATTACAGCAAAAGCATAAAGGCAGCTTTTCCAAACAAAGCAATGTAAACATACATTGTACATGTATATGTACATGTAATAATTAAAACTAAAAAAAGTGATGTTGTTCCATTTTTTTTAGAAATTCTGAAAAAACCAAAAAACGAGCTTACCTTCAAATACTTCCGGTGCCATCCAGGCTGCGCTACCCTTGTTATTGGTCATGTAGGTTTGGATGTCACAGGCCGTGCCAAAGTCACAGATCTTGAGTACTGTGCCTCCTGCCATCAGTAGAAGGCTAGAGAAGCATGTCAATAGTAATCCTGTTATTATTAAAGGCATATTGGACCATTTTCCTTTTATGCGTTTTGTTCATTTTGTTTTGATAACACCACTCAAAATCCAAAAAATAATGTTCAAAACTTAACCTGTTGGAAGTTTCAGTTTGCGGATATTACAAGTTAAGAGAAAACAATGAAAAATCATGCATAACCTTTTGATCACTACGAAACACGATTTCATCTACATGTATAGCACTCTTATTTCCAAAAATCTGTCAACTGGCTGATCGTTAGAAATCAACAATATTTCTTGATTTCTTCTGAATGACCGGGCCAAATGGGATAATTTCACAGGCATGACGGGGTGTTTAGTACCAGTACAATCTTTAATCCAAGTGAGCTTCTTTGATTTGGTAGGTTACTTTGGAAATAATGCAAATGCCTTTAACACTTTGCTTAGAGAAAACCAAAACTACACACGCTGAATTACGAGCCGATATTTGTGGTATTGACAACTATATTTTCAGTTGGGTTAACTACTACTGTTTATGTTAGCGGATGTCTATCAATCATCAGACACTATCATTGATTGCCGTGACCAAGATTTAGGGCTTACTTGGCTGGTTTGAGATCTCTGTGGATGAGAGCCCTAGGCTTCATAGAGTGAAGGTAAGCCACTCCTTTGGCACATTGTAACGCCCAGCTCATTGCGTTGGCTGCTGTGTAGATAGCCTGGGGTGGACCGCCGTGTAAGATGTTATACAGAGACCCACCCTCCGCGTACTCCATGACAAGACAGACAGGGTTGCCAGTACAGGCTCCGTAGAGAGTAACAATGTTGGGGTGACAGACGCGGGAAAGCTGGAGGACCTAGGATGGGACAGTAACATGAAAACACAGGATTAAAATAAGATAAGTGTTGAAATTCTGGCATATGACTGGTGTCATGTTAACACTGTAGTAGAAAAGGGGAATTGTTTGAAACCTTTCAAACAATTACCCTTTTCTACACACACAAAGAAAATCTCTACGTCACAAAAATCAGTGACTTGTTACAACTCTGGCATGTGCTGAGGCTTACCTCCACCCTGAAAGCCTTGATTTCCTCCTCCGATTCAATCATCTTGACTGCCACATGTTTGTCCCTCCATTTGGCTTTACTGACCACTCCAAATGAGCCTTTGCCCACAACCTGACAAATGCAAACCAATGAGAACCTTGCCGTTATAATGAGGAAACAAACTGAACAAACTGGTGGCTTAAATCAGAAGCCTTATCGCAAGAAAAAGGCTTGAGTGACCAGTCAAATCAATCGAATCTAGCCTGCGCTGGATGAAGGGGGCGGGCCGTCACCACTTATGGGGAATTTCTGCTGTTCCCATAGCGTTCTCGGACCCTAAAATACCATAGGGAATGATATGGGACAACATGTGAGTAGTCTCTAGAGTTACTGAACAACAATGCTTTAATAGGAAGCTTCTTTTTTTGTGAAATTTCATGTTGAAAATTTGCTATGCAAACGTGAAAAAACTAAGCTGGAAATTTCACAAAAAATAGACATCTGAAAAAGGCAGCACTTTCTGATTAGTCCATAAGGAGGGTGAGTATGCTTCTAAAGCAACAAAAACTACAAACTAAGCCTAAATGTGAAAATCAAAATTTGACAATGTTCGACATGTTTTTGTACATGGTGGAAGTGTGGCCTTTATCTACAGAGGTAGTCGCGGTTCGTGCTACGTGCAAAAAGACACAAGCCGAGAAAGTTGGTTGCGCGAACCTGGGGCACTTTACACGATACTTTGAAAATGCACTCAACTCTCGGCGATCGTGAAGTATAGGGCCCGGTTCCTATTATTAGGGAAAAAAAATCCACTTTAAAATTATTGGACCTACCAAACTAGTTGGCGACATTGTAAACAGGCATTCTCAACAGGCGAACCGAAAATAAAGATGGTGATCACCGCGCCATGTACTTTGAGCACGCACAGTGCTGAATCGCAAGGCACAAACAACGCAGCTAGAAAATCGTGATTTCTACCCCAAAAATGATAGAATCTGTTCAAAATTGCAAACGGGTGTCATTTAGAATTAAGAAAAGTCGCTTTTGATTGTAAAGGTGATTTTTGAGCAATAACAAAACACTTTTGACTCTAATTTGATCAACATAAAACAGGGGCCCTACACTTCACGATCGCCCAACTCTCCATCATTGTCCATAGACTTTGCACACAACCAGACAACATGCACAACAAAAGACATGACGGAAGTAAACAAAACTGGCGTACATTCTTTCCAAATATTGCATCGTATCACCTTTTCAAATTCCAGTTCACTGAAATCTATTTCTTCGGCAAAGCTGACTTGATGCTGGAGCTTATTAGCCATCTTCTGGTATCACCTTGATTAAAATGCAATGAAATACTTCACATTTCTGATCAGTTTCCCCCGTTCTGCCCGTCTTACGAGTTACGATGTATTTTTTATGTCTGCATTGCCCCGAAAAAAAGTAAAGCCTGACCTCTCGTGACTAAATGAAGCCAGCCCTCTATTAGACTAGCTTCCTGTCCCTCCATAATTTTACTTTACATTCAATATACATACAATTGTTGTAAATACTTTCAGTATTTTATAACGATTAAAATAAAACTATAACTTAGTATTAATACATGAACCAAGAGATGTATAAAGAAATAAACTGAATAACAAAGACAACGAATTTAACCAATGAACTTAAAGGTGAATATTAAAGACATTTAAAGAATATTAAGCTACATTTTTGTACAGGGCCCACAATAGACAATGACGATATGAAAGAATAATAGAAACAAATTTTAACCAATAAAGGCCGGACATGTAATTTGATTCAAAAGCATGGGTATTTGTTGGAAATATATTGTTTGATATGAACTTTGAATGTCTAGAGATAGATGGCGATTTTTTAACTTCAACTTTAGGGTCTTCAACTTTAACACTCAAAGGGGATCCTTACTGATGGCAAATATAAGTCATTGGGCTGTCTAGTAAATTATATTACATTCATTCTTCGGTGGTTCCTGTCAATTTTCTAGAGTTTCGTGTAAAATACCATGGCAAAATATTACAGGAAATTTCATTGCAATACAATGTGTTTTAATATCTTGAGTTCCCGTTTTCACAATAACTGTGTTTACATCTCGAATGGCCAGACGTCGGAGCGCTGTGAGCAGTGTTTGTGTAGCGCGCCCTCTTTTGTAAGAAATTGTTGCCTGACGATAAAATACGGTGTGTCCTTCATACTGCAATTTCCTTACATTATATTACATTCATTCTTCGGTGGTTCCTGTCAATTTTCGTGTCAAATACCATGGCAAAATATTAGAAGCAATTTCATTGCAAAAATGTGTTTATCTTGATTTCTCGTTTTCACAATAACCGTGTTTACATCTTGAATGGCCAGACGTCGGAGCGTGGTAAGCGGTTTTTGTAACGCGCCCGCTTTTTGAAAAAAAAATGTTCCATGACAAGAAAATACGGAGTGTCCTTACAGTGAAAATACGGATGTCCTTACAGTGTATTAAAATTCCCATAGTTACTAGTGCTAAATGCCCATACTTCTAAATTCTTTGAAAAACACTCCAAAATCTCACATATTTAACCAATAAGATTATAATGAATATCTAGTCTAGAACCAGATAGGCTAGAGCCTCATATCTGGCTCTAGCTCATTTCTCACTATTTCGTTTGTTCATTGACGTAACATTTCTCTCCGTTTTGCAAACCGTCAGTTCGGCGATCGATCACCGACTGGTCCCAAACTGCACCGAGGGTCCGAGGGAGAACAAGTAAGCCGAGGGAAAACTCAGTACGCTTCAAGGCGGACACAGCCACTTACGTTGACTCATCGTTTTAATTAAATCGGACCCAATCATCTTTCTCGTGTAATTATATAAATTCAGTGACTTAGTATTCAGAAGTGCCAGGGAATTACCACGCACAGCCTCTGTCGGTTCATGGCCAGAAATAAAACCCAATCCTCGAAACGGAACCCGCTTGAGATGCAAAAAGTCTATTAAGGCCTACATATTCAAATCCAAACACTACAAGTCGACGGAGGCTAGATTTACATACGACCATGTGATAATTATGAAGCGCATAATCATTTGGAATTTCAAATTCACACCATGAATAATTATGCAGGTCATATTGGGCCCGCAATAAGGATGATAAATCCTTGGACTGCTAAATTGCTGAGTTTTAGATCAGGTATCTGAACAGAACGCTACTCAAACGTCGCTCTTGGTTTTGAGTAAAAAGGTTATGTTGTTTTTAGTTGAAGCAACACAAAGTTGGAGCGATGCTAAGACGTCCCCGCTCAAACGTTCTGATCATTTTCCTCCTGATTGCCGTCCTTGTCGTCAGTTTACGGACTGAACATGAGGAGCAATTTTCCCAAGAGGAAAGCACGAATCTTAAAAGTTATTTGGTGAGTAAGTCCACGTTTTATATTTCATGGTTTGAAGACCGGTGTAGCAAATTTAAGCTTTATGAAACACGGACTCGTTGGTGGTAATGCGCATGTCCATGCATACATAGATCATTAGGTCTTGTGAAAGGATTTAACCAATAAAAGGGAAAACTAGAGTCTGATTTTCATATGACAACGGCATCGATACAATGTTGTACTACGTATATATTGGCCTTGATGGGCGTGCTTTATGTGCTTAGGCCAAGTAAAAAAATAGTTTCTCATCCGAGCTTTTTGAAAAAAAAGGGAGGAATCGCCTTCTTTTTTTCAATATAGCGGATTTTCCAACATGGACTCTTCTATTTTCTCCACTCTTTTGCTGCTACTTCAGTGGGTCCGAAGGAGCCGTTGCCCTTTCTACCAGATTTTAAACTTGCTAACATAGTTACTATTTTATTCGAAGCACATTATAGAAAATTGTAACTGTACTATTTCTAAAATAAAAAAATGTAAAGGAAAAAAAACAGGAAGTTTTCGCGAACATTTTTTGGAGGCGAACAGATACGAGAAACTGGTATTTTTTTTCGGTTGGCCTTGTGAGCGAATCAGACTACAGAAAAAAAAGTACAGAGACGCTGGCGTTAGGCCAAAAAAAGTCTCCGGTTTCAGGTATGGAGCTTGCCCAAAAAGTGGTGCGGCGACGCGGCTTTTTTTTTTTTTACCTGATTTTTTTTGCTTCAAATGTCGGCTGATGACTGCAAATGGTGCCCGGCTAAATTTAGTGCAAATATATGGGAGTCCAAAGAGGCCACATAAAGCTTATTCTCGACCATAACCCAATCTAAAAACACGTTAAAATTGTGCAACAGCAGGATTCCAGTCAAACCAGTGAGTTTGGCGGTTTTGGGACATCATCTTTCATTGAAAAAAAAACTTTTTCATTTTGCCGACGCGCGCTACGGCGACGCGCGCGCATACCAGAAACCGGAGACTTTTTTGGGGGGCCTTAACGGCAAATCTTGCCAAAGAACAGAACGCGACAGTAAACTTGTGCTGAAAGGGAATTTGTTTGTGTCCTCTTTGCAGAGGGAGGTCCAACGAGCAATACCCAAGCAACCTGCGACCCGTGAGACGTCTAATGACAACCACCCTGACGGTAGGAGACACCAGGGTCAGAAGGATCGGCCGACAGCAGGAATCGGATCCTTCAGATACAGTCCGGTGTATGCATACGACTGATGTAGCCTTCTTTCGTTCACTTCATTTTGATCCAATTCCGGGGTCATTTTTTCGGATAAAAATGTAATGATGCACACAAAGCATCGTTTCCCTGTACCAGTTACGTATTCCTTTATGTAAAGTACTCAGCTTTATTATTCAGCAGTGCCAGATGGAATTGCATAGAGCATTTATTGCCGGTTTATGACCAGAAACAAAACCAAGACACCGTAACGGTTACCCGATACAAAATGCAGAAACGTGAATAACAAACACGTTTACAATTTAATCACCCAACTTATAAGGCCATTAGAACCATACTCAACTTGTAGTTCGACCAGTTCTCATATACTTCGGCAACAGACTTCAGATATCATCTTAAATAGAGTAAAATCATACCAAGGCATCTAGTTTGTTGTTGGGTTCAAAATATTGCATCTGGTGAGTTCACAGCTTGACGACCAAGTGAAAGTCACAAACTCCAGAGTTTATGTCAGTTTACCATTTTTTTTTCAAGTGAAATATTGAATCGACCCGCACATGGTATCTTTGTTTAATAGCTCTGTGGGAAAAAAGTTGTTGATTGTGTGGCGATGCACAGAAGTGAGCGAAATTGCAGAATTTGCACGTCCCCATAACACAGGTCTCCAAAAATGCAAGTTTCGAGCTGTAAATATTAGAACAAGCTTTTCCGGTGTTTACAGGTTGATGCAAATGGTACTTTTCCGGCAGATGTGGCCCAGAAAAGTATAAAGAAAAGTCAAGCGAGAGTATCGTGAGAGTCAATATAAAATTAAATGGAAAGTTCACGACGACTGTCATTCCCTTAAGTAATCTTACGTGTATACTGGCACGCACCCCTAGTATTTTGTAATTTAAATATCCAACTATTTCTGAGATGCAAATTAAGACTGCAGTTGATGTGCTGTTTAGCGCGCCACGCAGTTCTTTGTATGTTTAATAAATGTAGAATCGGATGCGGAAAAGCCATATCATGCATTTTATTACTTCAGTTCTTGCTGCACCTAACGTTTCCATGACCTACTTAAAATAGTTAGCTTGTTCCTCGGAATATGTTTCACTTTTTAGTGAACCTACGATTCAAGTTGCTGGCTTGACGGCTAATCATTTTCTTAGAAACAATATTGTTGGTATACGACTCTGCTCACATATCACAGACAAGTACGACTGAGCGCATTAACAGTACATCGAGGAGTTGTTTCAAGTTGTATTTCTTCTGCTGACACTCTGATTAATATTGTTTTAAACTTACCCCAAAAAACTCCTATATTTTATGTTTTAATGAATAAAAAGTGAAAGTTTCTAATAAAAAAGGAAAATTTTGCAATCCGGCTCCGATACCTAAATTCAACAGATTGAAGTGAAACAAATAAATGATTGTTGATACGCAGAGAATTATTAACTCTCTTTTCATTTACTTTCCATTGAGGCCAAAGTGTGTTTAATGGATAGGTGGTTGCATTTGAAACGAAAAATTAATATTGATCAACTCGGCCAAGAAAAACTTACAGCTGTTGCCTTCCATTTGAATTGCTGATGATGCAACTTTGTTTTGTCAGCAGTGAAAAGGCAACAAGCAAGCAAAATTAATCACAAAAGTTGAAAGTTAACTTGGTTCCATTACTTGCTAATCGAATTTGTTTTCGTCTTTTATGGTCAAGTAGGGCATTATTTCGGGACAGCCACTTGAGAAAGTTCATAAGCCTTCGATGGACGCAATGTATAACCTATGACTATGGCAGCATGCAGTCAGTTGTCGTGTCACGCGTAGTTGCTCTATTTTTTCGTCCACACAACTGACAGCAACTCGAGGCTATAGCGAACGGTGGCCGTAAAAAGGGCTTCAGAAAATTCGCAATTTTCAGGCCAAACCACAACTGATCCACACAAACAAAGCTGTTTAGGTAGTAAAAGACCTACTACAAACATCTATCAAGGTATTTTTTCTCCAAAAAAAGGATATCGATGCATTTTTACGAAAATGAAATTCGGTAACTTCAATTGAAATGTACACGCAATGCGATAGATTAAGGGATATTACCATGCAATGACCTTCTCCCCTTCAGACCCCCCCCCCAAAAAAAAAGACGATATGTCACCACCAAACATAGTATTACGGGAGATATTTGGTTAAGTGACTGTGCGGGTCATTCGACGTTTTAGGGCTCTGTCAGTAGCGGATCTAGGGGGGGGGTATTTTGTAATTTGAAGATTTTGTAATTTCTCATGTTCAGTCATGTCCACATTGTCATAGAATTAGGCGCATAGGGGGATTATAAACGGAAGGCTTTATGAGACCTTTTCTAGTGGAGGACACGCAATGCGGTTCTGACGATAGAATGCTCATTTGTTTTTGCCTCTCAAAATTTTAAATAGGGGCTGAGCTAATTACAGTCCTTTTAGGTAGTTAAAAAACCAACAGACTGGATATTTGGAAGTTAATGGCTTACCGAAAAACCACGTCAGCAGACGAAATGGAAAGTTTTCGAATCTAGCAAATATTAGAACAATCTGTAGACAAGTCCTCTCACGCGATGCGAGCCAGGATAAGAGCCATCTGTTTCTCGGCATGGAAGGCTACAAAACAAGCGGAATAACTGGTGGAAATCAGATCGTTCATCATTGGACACCATGGGCAAGATCAGTGGCATCTTTCTTCTGCTTCTGGCGGTGTTCATCGCTGGTAAGTCAGAGATCTTTCAGTAGATAGCTCCCTGAGTCGGTCGGTATTGTTCTGAGCAATAAGGCTGGTAAGCCTTGAATCACAGAGTGTAGTAAGCTACTTGTTGATACCTTTGTGGAACTGCTAGTGTTGCCTCTGAATTCAAATTCACGCTCGAACTTCTTTATACATCGTAACTAAATTAAAAGGCACGTAGTATCACTGCAATTACCCAGAGGCATGCCTGTACCTATTCCGATTTAACGAGAAAATCCTTGCTAAAAGTGAATATAGGACTGGTACCAGATATATAGCAGATACCCTGTTAAATTGTTCCGCCGAAAATGATATCATTGAAGGTATTTCCAGAAGGTGTACCCGCGGGTAACGGTTCTTAAGCGCGTTAGGGCCTGAATCCACTTTACAAGACCCTCAAAGTGGCCATACGTTTTATCTGTTTTCTAAAATGTATCGTATAGAATAAGCTGAATCTAACTGACTTAAAATACTCTTTTTAGATTTTGAGCATTCTTTTCGCTTCAAGCGAACAAAAAAGCACAATTAGCCAATGATCATGCAAATTATCCTTAAAGTATGTCTGAACGAAGCTTAATTTGTTCTGTAAGGTTATACACATTTTGGTTTCCATTTTTCATGCAGGTTGCAAGTAATCACAGCGCTTCGATAAAACATAATTTTATAATAAACTTGACTTTTCCATCACTCTAGGGTCCTCTCTGTACATGCATTAAATTATAGAATTTATTCTATATAGAATTTATTCTATAATCAACAATGCGTGTGGTACTGCAACACTGTAAGCCTGAAGTGCTCAAGGCATTATTGCAACGGGTTTTTGCTTTCAATCACGTGTCTTTGAATTAGCCGTAAACATTTGAAATTCTATAGATTGTTCGTGTTTGGGTGTGGCAGTAATTTATGTTCATATACGCTCTGACAATCTTGTAGGTACAATGAGTTTCACACAATTCTTTGATCAATCAACCTTACTGCAGGAAATGATTGTGCCTTTGCCAATGATGACGGGTTCAACATAAAGAAAGAAGACGACATTCCGGTGGAAGCTGTGATCAGGGAAAACCGCGCAAATTGTAAGAGAATGCAATGTTTTTTGGGGGTGATCGGGTTCTATTCCTTGAACTTCTTAGCACCTTTCTTTCTTTTTTATTCCTTACAATTCTCCCGCGGCTTGGCTTCTTAAGGTCCATGGTATCAATGTAAAATCTTTGAACAAAGATCCACCCTGATCTTGACCCAGTATTAATTACCGACGGCCAAGTCGCCAGACATTTCCTTTCGGGGTAACCGGAAGGTCAAGGTTAGGTGAATGCAAAATGTAAACAGAAACCTAAGGAAAATCAAACAAAAACCCTTTTTTTGTTTTCGAAAGGAGTCAAGGGAAGAGGTTGAAACATGGTGTGATCATGGACCTAATCTGAAGATATGGAATTTTGTTTGAAACGTCATCAGGACATCATTGTGTTGAATTGCAAGACATTTAAGGTCAAAATTTGACCAAATGGTTTGAACGTTACCTTGTGAACTGAATTGAGTCCCGTGTTAATTTTGTTTTGTTTCCTTTGGCAACATTTTCCATTCCTGGGCACAAATCCGCTTGACGTTTACTGCCGGGCCAACGTACCGGATTGTCATGAGAATTTAATATAACTAGAAAACGGAGGCACTTGACTACAGTCACATTGTTTTGTTTTGCTTTGTTATGGTGGTTTCGATGCACTCTCCAGATGGCTAGCCCAGTGTCCTCCTATGTACCTATCTCACTGTCTGTCTGTCTCACTGACTGTCACTTGTGACTTAAGAATGATCGTAGGTAGTTGAAAAGAGGAAAGAAATACTATCGTATAGGATTATACTCCGTAACGCCAATGAAAAGGGCTAAATCTGGCCCACTGATTGACAAGACGCTTTATCTGGAAAAGTACCAATAAATCGTAATTTGTATCAAATAAATAGAGGTCTGTCCGCTCTCGCTTTACTGGTCTGGTTACAGTCTTCAAGGCAAAGTGGTTTTCGGGTGGGGAAGCCGCCCAGTGGTGACGCCAAAAAAGCGCACCATGTGTCGAAAAAACGTCCCCCTCCCCCAAGCGTAAAAATGACAAAGAGTTTCCGGTACAGTTATTTCCTCTCGGGCCCGACATAAAGGAGGACCGCCCTTGTGTGGACATTTTGTGGATCTGTGTCTATACTAGTTCTTTCTCTTTTTTTTACGGGCAAAATGATCCATGACTATTAGGACACGTGCTTACTGTAATGCGTCTTCAAAACTGACGAGTAATAAGCGGGTTTTTTTATAAACTTATTCTCATTTTATCGAACACTGTCGATTCATCAAGTTGTTCTCCTTGTGGTGGTATTTTCAACTGACTGAAGTTATATATGTAAGTTTGGTTTTTCCATAGCTCGAACTGTATATGTAAGCGCAGAGAGTAATTACACCATAACCTCTACCAACTACCCGAGCAACTATCCCAACAACGCTGATGACATCTGGTATCTTCAGACTGACAAAGGTCGTAGAATCCAGCTCACATTCGTTTCCTTTCAACTCGAGTCTGGGTGGGACATCCTGAGTGGGGGCGATGGTGAGGACGCATCCACAGCGCAGCTCTTTTCCCAATCTGGGAGCGCGATACCTACTGACAAGGTTTCATCAGGAAACAAGATGTGGCTGAGGTTCACTTCAGACGGCAGTGTCGCCTATCAAGGGTTCAATATTGTTGCCCGAAGCGTCGCAATAACAGGTACGTCATCATTACTTGAGAGCAGATCCATTCCTTGATTGATTTCAAGTGTCGTCGTGGCACAAAGTTTGTATAGTGTAATAAAAGTCTAGTTTAATAAACGGTTTCTAGTTGTATTGAGGGTGTCATTACAACTAGAAACATTGTATTAAACTAGATTTACTGTCAAGCTTGCATCTCATACTTCAATCAATGTCATAAAAGGAGAAGGAAGTATAAACGATAGTGTGTATAGGTTGTCTGTGTTTCAACTTGTGTATTAGAGCACGAAATAGTGGGTTGATATAAACAATATTTGTAATACTAAGTCAGAAAAGCATTGCATCCTCTGTTACATCAGCATTAATTCGTCTCGTTAATTGAGGCTCTTGTAATGAGGGTCGAGTTGAGGTCCTCAACCAAGGCGAATAGGATACAGTCTGAGAAAATGAATGGGACCTTAACAATGTCGTCTGTCGCGTACTTTGTTTCCCATTTGAATTCAATGCTCACTTCGTCAAATGATCCCCCTGCCTTGAAAGCCGCATTTTTCATTTGCAGACTACATCACTGAACCATCCTACTCCGGCTGCAGTTCATACCAATGGACATGCTACTACAACGGTCAATGTATTCAAGACTACCAAAGATGCAACGGAAACTCTGACTGCTACAATGGCGAAGATGAATACGACTGTTACAGTAAATATTCGTTACAAAACAGTTCTTGAAAACAATACGTCGTTGCTAAGTATGTACATCTCACTGTCTCAAACACTTTTCATTTCCAGACTACATCACTCATTCATCCTACTCCGGCTGCAATTCATATCAGTGGCAATGCTCCTACAACGGCCAGTGTATTCAAGACTACCAAAGATGCAACGGATACTCTGACTGCTACTATGGCGAAGATGAATACGACTGTTATGGTAAATATTCATTACAAAACAGTTCTTGAAAACAATACGTCGTTGCTGAGTATGTACATCTCACTGTCTCAAACACTTTTCATTTCCAGACTACATCACTCAATCATCCTACTACGGCTGCAATTCATATCAGTGGCAATGCTCCTACAACGGCCAGTGTATTCAAGACTACCAAAGATGCAACGGATACTCTGACTGCTACTATGGCGAAGATGAATACGACTGTTACGGTAAATATTCATCACAAAACAGTTCTTGAAAACAATACGTCGTTGCTAAGTATGTACATTTCACTGTCTCAAACACTTTTCATTTCCAGACTACATCACTCATTCATCCTACTCCGGCTGCAATTCATATCAGTGGCAATGCTCCTACAACGGTCAGTGTATTCAAGACTACCAAAGATGCAACGGATACTCTGACTGCTACTATGGCGAAGATGAATACGACTGTTACGGTAAATATTCATTACAAAACAGTTCTTGAAAACAATACGTCGTTGCTGAGTATGTACATTTCACTGTCTCAAACACTTTTCATTTCCAGACTACATCACTCATTCATCCTACTCCGGCTGCAATTCATATCAGTGGCAATGCTCCTACAACGGCCAGTGTATTCAAGACTACCAAAGATGCAACGGATACTCTGACTGCTACTATGGCGAAGATGAATACGACTGTTACGGTAAATATTCATTACAAAACAGTTCTTGAAAACAATACGTCGTTGCTAAGTATGTACATTTCACTGTCTCAAACACTTTTCATTTCCAGACTACATCACTCATTCATCCTACTCCGGCTGCAATTCATATCAGTGGCAATGCTCCTTCAACGGCCAGTGTATTCAAGACTACCAAAGATGCAACGGATACTCTGACTGCTACTATGGCGAAGATGAATACGACTGTTATGGTAAATATTCATTACAAAACAGTTCTTGAAAACAATACGTCGTTGCTGAGTATGTACATCTCACTGTCTCAAACACTTTTCATTTCCAGACTACATCACTCAATCATCCTACTACGGCTGCAATTCATATCAGTGGCAATGCTCCTACAACGGCCAGTGTATTCAAGACTACCAAAGATGCAACGGATACTCTGACTGCTACTATGGCGAAGATGAATACGACTGTTATGGTAAATATTCATTACAAAACAGTTCTGGAAAAAAACAGATCATTGCTAAGTATGTACATCTGACTGTCTCGAAGCCAAACGTTTCATTTCCAGACTACATCACTGAACAATCCTACTACGGCTGCAGTTCATACCAATGGACATGCTACTACAACGGTCAATGTATTCAAGACTACCAAAGATGCAACGGATACTCTGACTGCTACTATGGCGAAGATGAATACGACTGTTACGGTAAATATTCATTACAAAACAGTTCTTGAAAACAATACGTCGTTGATAAGTATGTACATCTCACTGTCTCAAACACTTTTCATTTCCAGACTACATCACTCAATCATCCTACTACGGCTGCAATTCATATCAATGGACATGCACCATGGGTCAATGTATTCCAGACTACCAAAGATGTGACGGAATCCCAAACTGTGACTACGGCGAGGATGAATACAACTGTTACAGTAAATATTCGTTACAAAACAGTTCTTGAAAACAATACGTCGTTGCTAAGTATGTACATCTCACTGTCTCAAACACTTTTCATTTCCAGACTACATCACTGAACCATCCTACTACGGCTGCAGTTCATACCAATGGACATGCTACTACAACGGTCAATGTATTCAAGACTACCAAAGATGCAACGGATATTCTGACTGCTACTATGGCGAAGATGAATACGATTGTTATGGTAAATATTCATTACAAAACAGTTTTTGAAAACAACACATCCTTGCTAAGTATGTAAATCTGACTGTCTCGAACACTTTCCATTTCCAGACTACATCACTGAACCATCCTACTACGGCTGCAGTTCATACCAGTGGCAATGCTCCTACAACGGTCAGTGTATTCAAGACTACCAAAGATGCAACGGATACTCTGACTGCTACTATGGCGAAGATGAATACGACTGTTACGGTAAATATTCATTACAAAACAGTTCTTGAAAACAATACGTCGTTGCTAAGTATGTACATTTCACTGTCTCAAACACTTTTCATTTCCAGACTACATCACTCATTCATCCTACTCCGGCTGCAATTCATATCAGTGGCAATGCTCCTACAACGGTCAGTGTATTCAAGACTACCAAAGATGCAACGGATACTCTGACTGCTACTATGGCGAAGATGAATACGACTGTTACGGTAAATATTCATTACAAAACAGTTCTTGAAAACAATACGTCGTTGCTGAGTATGTACATTTCACTGTCTCAAACACTTTTCATTTCCAGACTACATCACTCATTCATCCTACTCCGGCTGCAATTCATATCAGTGGCAATGCTCCTACAACGGCCAGTGTATTCAAGACTACCAAAGATGCAACGGATACTCTGACTGCTACTATGGCGAAGATGAATACGACTGTTACGGTAAATATTCATTACAAAACAGTTCTTGAAAACAATACGTCGTTGCTAAGTATGTACATTTCACTGTCTCAAACACTTTTCATTTCCAGACTACATCACTCATTCATCCTACTCCGGCTGCAATTCATATCAGTGGCAATGCTCCTTCAACGGCCAGTGTATTCAAGACTACCAAAGATGCAACGGATACTCTGACTGCTACTATGGCGAAGATGAATACGACTGTTATGGTAAATATTCATTACAAAACAGTTCTTGAAAACAATACGTCGTTGCTGAGTATGTACATCTCACTGTCTCAAACACTTTTCATTTCCAGACTACATCACTCAATCATCCTACTACGGCTGCAATTCATATCAGTGGCAATGCTCCTACAACGGCCAGTGTATTCAAGACTACCAAAGATGCAACGGATACTCTGACTGCTACTATGGCGAAGATGAATACGACTGTTATGGTAAATATTCATTACAAAACAGTTCTGGAAAAAAACAGATCATTGCTAAGTATGTACATCTGACTGTCTCGAAGCCAAACGTTTCATTTCCAGACTACATCACTGAACAATCCTACTACGGCTGCAGTTCATACCAATGGACATGCTACTACAACGATCAATGTATTCAAGACTACCAAAGATGCAACGGATACTCTGACTGCTACTATGGCGAAGATGAATACGACTGTTACGGTAAATATTCATTACAAAACAGTTCTTGAAAACAATACGTCGTTGATAAGTATGTACATCTCACTGTCTCAAACACTTTTCATTTCCAGACTACATCACTCAATCATCCTACTACGGCTGCAATTCATATCAATGGACATGCACCATGGGTCAATGTATTCCAGACTACCAAAGATGTGACGGAATCCCAAACTGTGACTACGGCGAGGATGAATACAACTGTTATGGTAAATATTTATTACAAAACAGTTTCGGAAAACAACACGTCGTTGCTAAGTATACATCTCACTGTCTCGAAGCGACACTTTTCATTTCCAGACTACATCACTGAACCATCCTACTACGGCTGCAGTTCATACCAATGGACATGCTACTACAACGGTCAATGTATTCAAGACTACCAAAGATGCAACGGATATTCTGACTGCTACTATGGCGAAGATGAATACGATTGTTATGGTAAATATTCATTACAAAACAGTTTTTGAAAACAACACATCCTTGCTAAGTATGTAAATCTGACTGTCTCGAACACTTTCCATTTCCAGACTACATCACTGAACCATCCTACTACGGCTGCAGTTCATACCAGTGGCAATGCTCCTACAACGGTCAGTGTATTCAAGACTACCAAAGATGCAACGGATACTCTGACTGCTACTATGGCGAAGATGAATACGACTGTTACGGTAAATATTCATTACAAAACAGTTCTTGAAAACAATACGTCGTTGCTAAGTATGTACATTTCACTGTCTCAAACACTTTTCATTTCCAGACTACATCACTCATTCATCCTACTCCGGCTGCAATTCATATCAGTGGCAATGCTCCTACAACGGTCAGTGTATTCAAGACTACCAAAGATGCAACGGATACTCTGACTGCTACTATGGCGAAGATGAATACGACTGTTACGGTAAATATTCATTACAAAACAGTTCTTGAAAACAATACGTCGTTGCTGAGTATGTACATTTCACTGTCTCAAACACTTTTCATTTCCAGACTACATCACTCATTCATCCTACTCCGGCTGCAATTCATATCAGTGGCAATGCTCCTACAACGGCCAGTGTATTCAAGACTACCAAAGATGCAACGGATACTCTGACTGCTACTATGGCGAAGATGAATACGACTGTTACGGTAAATATTCATTACAAAACAGTTCTTGAAAACAATACGTCGTTGCTAAGTATGTACATTTCACTGTCTCAAACACTTTTCATTTCCAGACTACATCACTCATTCATCCTACTCCGGCTGCAATTCATATCAGTGGCAATGCTCCTTCAACGGCCAGTGTATTCAAGACTACCAAAGATGCAACGGATACTCTGACTGCTACTATGGCGAAGATGAATACGACTGTTATGGTAAATATTCATTACAAAACAGTTCTTGAAAACAATACGTCGTTGCTGAGTATGTACATCTCACTGTCTCAAACACTTTTCATTTCCAGACTACATCACTCAATCATCCTACTACGGCTGCAATTCATATCAGTGGCAATGCTCCTACAACGGCCAGTGTATTCAAGACTACCAAAGATGCAACGGATACTCTGACTGCTACTATGGCGAAGATGAATACGACTGTTACGGTAAATATTCATCACAAAACAGTTCTTGAAAACAATACGTCGTTGCTAAGTATGTACATCTGACTGTCTCGAAGCCAAACGTTTCATTTCCAGACTACATCACTGAACAATCCTACTACGGCTGCAGTTCATACCAATGGACATGCTACTACAACGGTCAATGTATTCAAGACTACCAAAGATGCAACGGATACTCTGACTGCTACTATGGCGAAGATGAATACGACTGTTACGGTAAATATTCATTACAAAACAGTTCTTGAAAACAATACGTCGTTGATAAGTATGTACATCTCACTGTCTCAAACACTTTTCATTTCCAGACTACATCACTCAATCATCCTACTACGGCTGCAATTCATATCAATGGACATGCACCATGGGTCAATGTATTCCAGACTACCAAAGATGTGACGGAATCCCAAACTGTGACTACGGCGAGGATGAATACAACTGTTATGGTAAATATTTATTACAAAACAGTTTCGGAAAACAACACGTCGTTGCTAAGTATACATCTCACTGTCTCGAAGCGACACTTTTCATTTCCAGACTACATCACTGAACCATCCTACTACGGCTGCAGTTCATACCAATGGACATGCTACTACAACGGTCAATGTATTCAAGACTACCAAAGATGCAACGGATACTCTGACTGCTACTATGGCGAAGATGAATACGATTGTTATGGTAAATATTCATTACAAAACAGTTTTTGAAAACAACACATCCTTGCTAAGTATGTAAATCTGACTGTCTCGAACACTTTCCATTTCCAGACTACATCACTGAACCATCCTACTACGGCTGCAGTTCATACCAGTGGCAATGCTCCTACAACGGTCAGTGTATTCAAGACTACCAAAGATGCAACGGATACTCTGACTGCTACTATGGCGAAGATGAATACGACTGTTATGGTAAATATTCATTACAAAACAGTTCTTGAAAACAATACGTCGTTGCTGAGTATGTACATCTCACTGTCTCAAACACTTTTCATTTCCAGACTACATCACTCAATCATCCTACTACGGCTGCAATTCATACCAGTGGCAATGCTCCTACAACGGTCAGTGTATTCAAGACTACCAAAGATGCAACGGATACTCTGACTGCTACTATGGCGAAGATGAATACGACTGTTATGGTAAATATTCATCACAAAACAGTTCTTGAAAACAATAATGTCGTTGCTAGGTATGTACATCTCACTTTCTCAAACATCTTTCATTTTCAGTCTACATCACTGAACCATCCACAAAACTATTCTTTCTAAACAGAAGTCATACATCACCTTCATGCAGATATTAGTCGTTTTGCAATTTATGTTAATCAACGATGTATATGTTTTGATTTTGGTTGCTGTGCAGACACTTTCGCCTGTGCTAATGGTGATGAAATCCCCATGAGGTATACCTGCGATCGCATCATCGACTGCCTCTATGGTGAAGATGAGTGGCAGAACTGCGACGGTAAAACTCATGATTCTGTGAACACGTAGATCGTTTTATCACGAGATAAGGTCGAATCAAGTAACAACCGTCTTTTTGAATCTTTGTGCTGTGTAACTTCTTGTAACTTGCCCTATGTAATGCATTGCTTGGTAGTTCACAAAAGCCCGTGTACATTTAAGCGCAAGAGGGCATACATTTGGATACAAACACCCGTATCAACTTCTGCTACGCAGGCCGAGTTATTTGTTAGACAAGATAAGTTTGCGGTAGCACCATTTGAATAAATCTCTTTTGTGAGTATGTGTGGTGCTGAAAAGAACCGGAGGGACTCAATGTTTCGAACAATATGCTCTGCCCGTCGTCAGGAGAATGTCATTCTTAGTATTATATTTCCACCATGCAAACCTTCATATCTCAAGTTATTTCGTATGACAAAAAGTAAAACTGTCAAAATGTTGTATTTTGGTTGAAATTCCTATAGACAATGAAGTCAAGAGGGACAACATTGAGACCTATCCGCGACGGGAAGAGCTTTTGTCGAAAGCGCAGAAGACCGATGACCACGACCAGTAAGAGGGGACAAGGTGAGCTACTCCTTGCTCCTGCCAGCAAAGCTGAGGGTGCCGTGTCGTGAAATGTAGTGACCCACCCGAAAGTTTTAGTGCCGGCATCACATTTCCAAAACGTGTCCTTACCGCAGCGAGGCTTGATGACTGAAATTTACCTCTCATAACTAACTCCCTTTAGAATTAATTAAAGGTGAAGTAACGTCTGGGTATGTTATCGTGCCTCTTTGTGAAATATTCAGAGGCACACAGGCCAACAAACCGGCAAGCTGGTGTAGTGGATTCTTCTGAGATACAATACAATCATTTGTGATAAATATGTGTGCCAAAAACCACTGGTTCAAATTACGACAAGTAATCTAAGTTTTCGTCATACCAAAATAAGTATGCATGCTTCGCACTTTCTACGTGTAGAAATCGTTAAGTTCATCTTAAATTCTTGATTTATTGCAGGAAACAACCGTCGTCTCGGACTTAAACTGGAAATGGAATCGACCATGGAACACCAAATTGTGATTTCCGTTTGAATTTTCTTAGATTTAGTTTTGAGTTCAATTTAATTTTTTTTTATTTTCATTTTCGTTTTTGTTCCTTTGCTTTTGAGTTCAAAACAAATATTTGGGAAATCCAAGAAAAGGTCCCCCTTTTCTCGCATGCATTAACACCATGCTTTCTTTAGTTACATAATCATGGCAAAGACTAATAACATACAATTATTGTAGGTATTCTCCTTGCAGATGCCAAACAGTAGAATTATAAACACTGAATCCATGAATATCGTTGAGGGTTAAACTCTCACTACGTATGGGACATAGCCTGCGCGAATTCTTGCAACTTGTCCAGTTATTAATTCGAATTGTTTCATTTTCATTTTCATTTTTTCCCTTTTTTCATTTTCGTTTTTGTTCCTTTAAGTTTTTGTTCCTTTAAGTTTTTGTTCCAGATTTGAGTTAACGAAGAATATTTACTAATTTGAATTATGAAGACATGACTTCCACTACTATGCGTAAACATTGGAAAGATCGTACAATAACGGACAATCTTTACCAAAGCCATTTCTAAGGAAAAGAGTTTACGCTGGTCGGAACTCTTTTTATAGAACCATCGGGCTGTCTAAATGAGATCATAAATCAAATACAGGGTGAGTCAAAAAGAAAGTTACCAAATTAAATATATATATATATCAAAATATGTGGCTCGCTCCATTTCATTAAAAGAACACAGGCATAAAGTAAATGTTATTGAATAATAACTGTGAACATTTCAGGTGATTTGCACAATCTATCCTAACTTAAGTCTATTTTGATATGAAAATCACAACATTCGGCTGTCCACACTGATCATTTACCGTTCTACAAACTGATGAATATCCAGTAAATATAGTGTGTAACATGTACGTTTTCCCACTGGATGAATGGAGGAGAACTTGCAAAGGAAAACATACCAAATCGCCGTTATATTTCAAAAGAAAATTAATGACTTGATTCTCATATTGCAAACACAACATGTTTTTAAAATATACACATTATTGGTGTTTCGAATTTGATTACTTTTTAAAGAAAAAAATTCATTCATTCGGGTCACTTTCTTTCTGACTCACCCTTTACAGTGAAGATTAGGGCACGACTTGCCTTCATGCCCCATCTATACAAATGTTTGAAAATTGTATTAATTTTGATGATTCCTCCAGCGAATGGAGACCTTCGCTGTGATACCTTTCTCTACAGCAAAGTAATTGGTTATTACATTACAGTATGTCATGGTAACAAGAAGGTACATGTACTTAGGTTTTCGTCATTAAACTTACCTTATAAGCACTTGCTTTCAGTCACCTCAGTGCATGCTAGTGGTGTGCTAGTCTTCTGTGCCGTAGGATCAATCTGAATCGGCAAATAATGATACAAACATTTTGGGAAAACCATTATGTAAATTCCGTCTTTTCGAAAATGACATGCAACCATGAAAAGAATTCCATCCATCGTGAAGACTAAACTAAAGTTCAACATAATGCAAGTTTACTTTTACGACAAACACTAGTTTCAGTTACTACAATTTTGAAGACAATGACCTGTAGTATGCGAAGAGCTTCAACTGTAAGAGAAACGTTTAGCAAGAAAACTCATACATAAAATGTGGAATGCATAGAAAACATCTCTGGTTCATACATTCGTAACAGTCAAACATATATAATCATAACCCAAAACTTAAATCAATGATCTTTCATTTGAAGGCGGGTGTTGATTGTTTGCCTGCTGCACAACAGAATTTACGTCCCGTTCCCGATTTTGCATTTATAATCCACGTTTGCCGTCCCGATTTTGCTTCTATCAGCGTCCTGATTTTGCTGTTAAAAGTCTGTTGTTGCCACTCTGCAGGCCTCCTTCCTCCCCGACTCCGGGGGCTAGCCCACATCCAACCCAACCCAACCCAACCCCCCCCCCCCCCCCCTCTTAAGTTGTTTCTTTTGTTTTGTTTTGTTTTCCATTGAAAAAGATTACTATTTTTCCTTTGGTAGAATTAAAACATTTAGATTAAAGTGCAAGGCCGAGTTGTCCGAGTGAGTTATTTTGTTAGTTTTAGTGAGTGGTTTTGTGTATTTGTGTAAACCGGTAAAGTTACCTTTTTGGCAGATAAAAGCCTTCTAATTCTGACAATTAAAAAACTGTATTCTTAACTAAGAAATTGGCTATTACTACCTCACAGCGGGAAAGCTGTATACAATAAATATCCGGCCACGGACACCAGTATCAAATCGCCGTACTCCAAACTCACAATTTTCACTGTTTCACAGAATATGATGATCAACATGTCATCTTTTATTTTATTTTCAGTTTTGGTGGGTTACGTTGACAATTGATTTTTCGAGAAATGTTTACCCCAAGAAGCTAGACTACCCCTAAAATTAATGATGTTTCCCAAACTGGAAAAGTAGCCATTTTGAAACCTAATTTGGTAACTAGCGCCACCTTCAGATCCTTTTGCATCTCAAATACTCATAACTGAAAGCCCCAAGTCCAGGTCAGAGGTGCAGTGCCATATTATGTCTCGAATACCCCAATTTCATGGCTCTCAGAATTCTCTGAACTTCTATTCATGAGCTCAGAGGACGGATTTGTGGCCTATTTACTGGGCCCTTAATATACCCAAATTTTTCATTTTTTCCCAAACTACTTCTTAAAGCAAAGAGGAGGGATGTATAACTCCTATTTCATAAAAAAAAATGAAAGACAAAGTTATCTGAGGTCAATATCAGGCCTGATCATTGGCGGATTTAATACGCATATAGCGCCCTCATTATGGCGTTCATTGAGCTCTTCCCAACGTACAATATTAACCACCCCGCCATCTTACATTTTACCTTCGATAAGTTGTGAGCATGTGTGTTGAAAATCCTCCCTAGTTGTTGACCACTCTGCATTACTTTTGATTCCATCCCCTATAGGTTCCGCCCACTGAAAAAGAAAAAAAAAACACTGTTGCGGCATAGCGCATGCGTGGCGCCGCCGGCGGCCATTTTTTGAAAGTCTAGTCTGTAGGTGCATGATGAAAATTCCCTTAGACACCAATGATAATTCGCCGGGGCATACTCCAAAATTCTTTTAACATTACTCACAACTTTCACAGGTGTTTATTAGACCGGTCGCTGGTAGCTGGATGCTGGTTGCTTGACGCTCCTCGCTGGTGGCTGGACGCTGGCATGTTGGTGATCTCTGATGGTTGACAGGCTCGCACTGGTTGCTGGTGGCTGAACGCTGGACTTGGTCGCTGGACGCTGGTCGCTCCTCGTTGGTGGCTGGTGGCGCTATGATAACACCAACATAAAATGCCCAGTTTATAAAGGATGGTTGTGTGGACGCTCATATTCTTCTTTTTTAAATACTCTTCTTTTTAATGTCATTTCGTTAATTGGGAGTATGTTGAATAGCTGATACCATCTGTCGATGGGGGCGCTGTTCAAAACCGACGATTATGCATATGGTGCTTTTAACGGCGATACATGCGCGAAATTAACAAAAAAAGGCACCACTTACATAAAAAAAAAAAATAGGCACTTGTTCCGAAAAAAGGGCACTCTTTACAAAATATTGGGGGATAAGCGTTAAAAGGGTATTTGAATAGAAAACTTTAACAAATATATTCATTTTCTTCTGTTTAAACTTTTCTTAATATATTCCATGAGGTTTGTACTCGAAAACTATTGGAGACATGGCTTCTGGTAATCCTTTGTTTTAAATCCGCAGTCGAAGAAAAACATAACCCGTAACTTAATGAAACCACAAGAAAGGGAATGGATACAAGACATGAAATCACCGACATATTGACATTGTTCACTTGATATTCAGGTTTATTACCAACTGTTTTTTATAACATAATCATATATGGCAATGCCAGACGTACATTTCCATAACACAACCTTCCGTATTCACACCTTATCGATGAGCACAACGTTGATTTTATTGTAATAATATCAATATTTCTTTCTCTGTTTCAGGTTTATGACTACTAGGTTTATTTCGTCCTGTAGGATATAATGAAATTTATTATACATATACAATATTGCAAATTTACAAAGTATACACAACGGGCATGCTTGCTTAAACATTGGGTGTCCAACCATTAGTTACCAAAGTCTGTTGTCACATGCACCTACATTAGCCATCGCAAAATCTTACATGTTCACCTCGCACTTCCAGGGGAACACTGTGGAATACCTAGGAGTACATTATAAAATGTATATCGGGAAATAACTAAATTCATTCTGATGGCCTTCTTATTCTCCAATGACCCCAGAAACTGAAGACACAAGGTGTTAACAGCCTTCTCCACAAGAATTCTATTTTTTTGTAGATACAAATTACCAAAAGATAGATAATACTTCGACAAACTTTCTCCAGTTGATTTAAAGTTGCCCCGCAGATATCGTAAAAAAAAGTTATTGAATTGTGTCTCGTGTGTTAAATTTGATTGGATAGTAATAATTTTAAAAATACCAATGGCAACATGCGTGAACAAGTACATGTATCTTTGGCCAACGATAACTGGAAATGCTAGAAACTATATTTCTGACATGGTTTAGTCCTAGGGCAGCCCAACAAATTATTTATGACCTTGTATCAACTGCTTTTTTGCCCAAGGAATAAACAAACCAGACTTTTTTACATTCAATACAAACTTCAATAATACTTAAAGGGTTTTCCTATATTTGAGAAATGTTGTCCGTGCTATTTCCAATTTTATCTCGAAAATATATTCACTTGCCATGCACTTTATGAATTATTCGAGGCCCGACAATAAAGTTCCGGCAGGGTGGGTGTTTTTGTGCGTTGCAGGCGCAAAAGCAACCCAGAACAAATGTTTTTCGGAGGGTTGCTGACCCCAAATAAAACATACAAATTGAAAATTCTTAAGGAGAAAAAACAGTCAATTTTAATTTTATTGAACAGCAGGAATAATTTATCTTTAATTAAATGATTCTTTAAGAGGCATGAAAGTCGGGAACCAAATCAAATATGAATGCATCTATGTGTGTTGGCAGACGACTACAGAGTTTTGTAAGCAACCCTTTCATCCAAAGTGAATTGACTTTCTCATCTTAGATAAATTTGCTACACGACAAAGCCAAGAAACATGGAAGATATGATTGATTATTCATCACGTGTCACATTTCCAATATTCAATTCAAGACAGTAAGGATATTGTACTATCTTTCTTGAAAATTGACAGACCATCCAGTTCTGAGAAATGAAATAATTTAATATGCGTTTGACTTTAAGTTTACATAATTTGGATAGTAAACAACGCTTAATTCATGCACTGGCCAATTAAAAACTAAAGCTCACAACCCAATATAATTTCGTTTTTACCATTTTCAAATTTACGATTACAAGCCTTATTTTTGAATATGGTTAATTACTCTCAAAAAGTTATTTATTAAATTAGCTTTACACTTTTGTATAAGTTCATAAACTCAACTATATTATTGACCAAAATTTCAGTTCAAAATTACTGACTTTTTTTGATTAATTGATTTGTGTTTAAATTCTATAGGTTGAAGCACAACTACATTTACGCAGCAGTCGTGCTTTTATAATTCAAACCTTCAAAATAGAAAGCAGCGACATATTCTTGAGTACTTTAATAATTAGAAGCAGCAAGATTTGAAAAGGAAGAAAAAAAAGACAATTAATTTTATCATCTTGTTAAAGAAAAGCAGACAGGAATGAATTAAGCTTAGTTCACGCAAACACAGACAGAGACTGTGTATGTGAGGAAGGGGCGATGCTTTTAAGTTCAAATTCTTTTTCAAGTCTGAAATAAATGCTGCCGGTTTCTCACAGAAAATATTTACTTTCATGCTCAATATCAGAAATTGTACTATCTTGCAAAATGGTTGTGAACTTACAAACAGGGCCAGGTTGCTAATAATACATCAAGCATGTTTTGTAGACACCCTGTGCCCAACCCCGCACATCAAAAAGGATGGATGGGGTGCTAGACAAAGTTGTTGGCAATAGCCCCTATCAAACATGGTACACGTTTTGAACATATTATATTTTGTGGGATAACAGATACCCTGTCTAAAAAAATTAAAAGGGTTGGGTAAATACAACCCCGTCCACAATTTGCAACCATGCATAAATAATCTAATTTTAGGCTTGTGGAGCCATTCAGTGCTCACTTTAAATTTATGGTTTCAGCACCATCGTATCAAAGACATTGTACATCAGAATTATTGTATATATGAATAAGTTCATACATCCAAACACGTGGAATAAATAATCTATATTTTTTATCATGGAAAAATATGCCTATAATCTACATGATGCTCCTTTCAGGAAAAATATGAAACCGGTTATTATTTTTCTGAGAAAATCATGTTATACTGTACATGGGCATATACATGTACATGTACACCAGTTTACCTAATTACAGATCTAGGAAGTGTATTAAGGTACAACGTCATTTGCCGTGAATTTATGGTTCAGCAGATGCTATGCTGATAATGGCAGCCTAGACATCTACACTAATTCCGAAGAGGTGGTAAGCAGGGAATATTGCTTAGACAAATTTGTGCTGAGCAAAAATCGGCTGTGAAGCAGTCTTCTGTCGATTAACAATGCATGACATATTGGCTTGTAACCGGTTTTTGCTTAGCTTGTCGGTGCTTACTAGCTCCATGAAAGATAACCAAAAAATCCTACTTGTAGCAGATTTAGGTTCACAGCTAGTTGACTTATATTTCACGGCTTAGCAGATATTTTCAAGATTAGAACTTCGACATCTGGAGTTCAGAATAAATTTTACGATGAGCCAATGCTCTAGTTCCAATTGCATAAATGCATGGGTCTAAACCAAAGTTGTTATGACTCGAGTCAATGACTCGACTCGGCTCGACTTGAGTCCTGACTCGACTCGAGTCCCTATGGATAAATGATTCTACTCGACTCAAGTCACTGCGAGCAAATAACTCGACTCACCTCGAGTCCCTCACCAGATGACTCGACTCGACTCGAGCGAAGGCTAATATGACTCGAGTCCCACAAATAAAAGCAAAACTTTCGAAAAATATTTGCAATTACTTACGGTGCAAAATATGTTAACGTCACTTTGCGCATTCAATACGGTACAGAGGTCGCTTGTTGTGTACAGACATACGTGTCATAGATCCCAGTTTGTGATTCTGGAACGCACAAAATACTACCCTGACTCGACTCAACTGGAGTCACAAAAATCAGTGACTCGTTACAGCTCTGGTCTAAACTGCATTAGGGCTCCTTTTTCTGGAAGGGGAGAAGGCACACTGTAGGTTTCCAACAACAAAAAAGCTCATGTTTGCCTTTGCCCAAATTCTACAAGAGTACAGATGGGAGAAGACAACAGCCCCCCCCCCCCTTAGTATAATCACTGTGATGTACTCCCACTGAAGAGTTTGAACATCAATTTGTAACAGTACTGTGCTATGCACCCAGTCCTAGCTAAGAACCATGGGATACATGTGGCATGAACCAAAGCATCATGGGAAAACTAGATACGACAACAAAACATGAACAAAGAGCTTAGATGATGAGAAATGTACACATGAATGGTGACAAAAGTTTTTGGTGAAAAGGAACATTGTGAGCCCATACAACTTGACAATGCATTCAATTCTTTAAGGACAAAATATGAACACATAATTATCCAACACTTGCAATACAAGCAACGCCAATTCTGCCCGGCGGGAAACTGCCCAGATTTCAGCACACACGGCCCCACTTATATGTCGTTAGTTTTTGTTGCTTTTGTCCCATCTGAAAGAAGCAATCTTTTGCTGTGGAACAGACTTGAAATCACAATAAATGTATTGTTCAAATACAATCCCTCATTAACACTGCTTAACTTATTCTTTGAAATGCCAAGGCAACATTTCAAATTTCCACTACAAGCACACAAGTTTTCTGCTCATGGCACCACCGTGAGCAAAGACCGTAAGCAGTAAGCACAAATATAATTAAGGTATCAGTAATGGTTGTGTTTGAAAAATAGGGACAAAGCGAACGAAATGTCAAAGTGCATGAACAAGAAAGGAATGGCCACATAAATGGATATAATTATAAATTCAGCCAGCCACAAGCACGATTTTTGTTACTTCTGATGACTATGGATGACTGTGTTGTTTAACATAACAACTACACCACATGGTACTTGTGCCAAGCTTCAAACATCTCAAATTTGTGAGTTTGAAAACTATTTCTGCAACATGTTTCTCAAGGTTTAAAATGCATATGCCACACATTAATGTAATACATGTACAGTATTCGTTGGGCAAAAGACATCAAGATCAAGACACACAAAAACATCCAAGAAAAGGTTAAATAGCGCAACACAAGCCTAACCATTTCAACGAAACGTGTACGCCAACATCAGTATGAAAAACACACATTAATTACAAAAAGCAGCCACAGTATGGATAGAACATGGAAAAAGCCACGCTGTTCTGCAATAAATGTTAACCAAGCTTGTACAAAAAGTTTCTGGGAGATCTTCTTATCAGCCAGACAATTAAAAACAAAACTCAGCCTCCAAGAACCATGCAACTAGAGACCATTGTAATCTTATATTCAGTGTCAACTATTGTTATCTGGTTATGGCATAGAAATGGCAAAAAAAGTAGAAAATTCACAAGCTACAGTTCGAGTTGCTTCAATTTTGTGGCGAGAAAAAAAAAAGTTGTTGTAACCATACATGTGTACCTTAAGTTAATGCAACATTTTAGAAAAAACTAAAAATTTGTTCATAGGTTCTTGCACAACATGGTGCTGTGTATAAATTTCTTTTAAAAAAGACAATGTTTAGACTTTTTCTCTTTTTTGGGGTGGGGGGTTTGACAATAGCACAATTTGTCATACAAAATGCAACAAATATAGAACAGGAATGACCATTTAATGCTGTACAATGGTCAGGTAAGGTTTGGCATGGTTGTAATGTTAATATACCGGTACATCAAGAGAAAGACTGAAAGAACAAGCAAGCAAACAAGGACTAACAAAGAAAGGGGGATTAAGGGCAAGGGTTGATGTTTACAGAGCCACTACTTGTTATATTTTACGCAAAATGTGGATGAGAACCACCATAACAAAGCAACCACCTGACGTTTCTGGTTACCATTTGTGAGTCTACTTTGATCAGCAAATGTTTAGGTTTAGAAAGCAAAACCTCTTTGGAACTGCTAAGCATCACTGGAACTACTACGCATCATAGTTTTTTCCACAGGGGACACAATTTATTTCACTAAAAAGCTAATTTATAACAACAAAAAAAGGTTATGCAGCTGAGAGCACATATGCTTGCGCACAGCTGACAAAGTTAATCCTTCAGGCATAGACAAGGGCTTGTTCAACAAATACGAGCAGCTTCCCCGCAACACGCTGAAGCAAAACAGGCTTACCTCTGTACAGCAGGCTGACCTCTATACAAGCACTGGCCCTCAGGAATCAAAGCATAATTAAATGGCGTGTTTGGATTGATAGCAAGAGTAAGACAACTGAAAGTCCTAGGTATTGACAGCAAATGGTCGGAGTTTCTTCAAGTCGATTTCTAGGGAGAGTCTGTCTTCGGTGATTTGGCTAAGTTCTTGTTGCAGCTCGCTGTTATGTCTTGAGAGCTTGGTGTTTTCTTCTTTCGCCCGTCGAATCGCTGCTTGGATCGACTTCCTGTCACACTGTATCAGGCTGAAATAATGAAATGTTTCCCTTTTAAACAAGTGTTTTTGTCTAAGTTGACTTTCAAAATTTGACATGTTTATTTCCAAAATGCGAAAAATAACCATATTTAAAAAACGGAAAAATGTGCACAGTTATGAAACTTTAAAGAGTAAAAACAATGTAACAGCTCTTTCTTCATAACCTTCCTGCTATTTAAGCAGTCACATACAGTCAAAATTCACTTCCACTTCCCCTGCTATACTTTTACAAAGGCTGGTCACCAGCAGTCAGATCATATGTCAAGCAAGCACTTGTGTCTGGTCAAACTGGGTTAATAGACAAACAGGCAAGTTGTGGTCACAGCTGTGCTAGTCACAAACTCCCGTGTTTGAATTTACCCAATTGTTATCCGTGTGATCGATCAACGGAAGCTGAGGTCAACCTTTTTTAATGTCATAATAGTCATCAATTCCCAATATATTCAATATGTTATAAATTGTAATACTTTCTTTACTTTCGAAATACCCATTTATTGGCCTTGATTTCCATGGGCCCGGTCGGGACACATCATAACTGTTAAAATGAGGGCATTACACGTGTTGTAGATCCTATACATACTACCTGGATGTGGTGTATTCTCATAAAATCTTGCAGGTTACAAAAGTCAACTTTGCACGTTCTATTGATAACCCCTTCCCTTCCCTATCTACTGCCAGCTCTCAAGGTCACCTCTTTTTTTTTGCGGGGGGGGGGGGGGGGGGCAAGACTTACTCTGAAGACACCCTGGCTGGTTCTGGGGCCGACGTGTGGCGTTTCCTGTCGTTAGCAAACTGAGATCTCTTTTCGTCAGCTTGAAGCATGTCACTGGATTTATACCGGTCTTTGCTTGACAGCTGGGACAGGAGACAAGAACAAACTGATTAGAAATATACCCAAAAGGGCACATTTTCAAGGTGATATTAGTACTAATCCAATTAAAAGCTGAAGGGTAGAAAAAGGCAAGGCAAAGCATAAAGGAAAAACAGATGACCAGATGCAATGGCATGCAATACATATTGCTTTAGACATGTTGGAGTGTATCTCAGCTGCTTTTTATTTACCATATACATTTGCCAGACATTTTTTTTTCTGTTTAGTTACCTGGTGAAATTATAGGCATAGATGTGAGCCAATTTTCAAGCAAAAAATGATTGCTAAGCAAATTTAACCCTCCTAGTCTTCTGCACTTCATAACCCTTTGAATTTAGAAGAGAAAAACAACACTTTTGCCCACAGAGATAGCAACCACACTTTAAATTCCTTCGAGGTAATCCTCTGTGGAGTATGGATAACATGCTAAATCCCTGCACAATTCTTTTTGTGTTGTTAAGCTCAGGGCAAGCAGGCAGATTTGGTCCCATGCTACATCACTGATATTCCCAGTTTATTCATTATATGATTTTTTTTATCAGTATATCTCCAAAACATCTCTTTATCTGATTCACAAAACCAGCCCAACACTGTTTGATGCCTGTTAACGAAGAATGTCCAATTTATAGCGGTGACTCTATGTTTAAGTTTCCAACCACAATTCACAAATGTTTATATTATTTTTCACAAATGTTTATAATTTTCACAAATGTTTATATTTTTCATCTTTTGACCATCTTGTTACCTTTGTGGGAGTGTGTTCATCCCCCTGTGAGTGTCTGGGTGGGGGAGGGGGAGGTGGGGAGGTGCCTGGGGATACTTCATCCTGATTGGACACAAAGACAAATAGTAAGATGATTCCAGGGGTGAGATTGGGGTAAACTGATCAATCCACAAAGTCATCGGCAGAGAGTTTGAGGGATACCAAGGGCCCCACAGCAACGTAGGGTCTATGATACCTGGATGTCAAGCAGACCCAGGTGAAAAAGTAGGAGAACAATAGGATCAACATCTTCAACAACCAAAAAAAAGAAAAAAGTAGGACTTTTGTGGGTTTTCAAGAGTAGTTTTTGTTTGATGCTCACCCATGTCACAGCATCATAAGCCTCATTTGGCATGTTCTGTACTCACAACACTTGTGCTCCATCCTCAACTAAGCTCTTGGAAGTACAGTTGCAGTACTCCTGCGCCTAAGCCCTTCATTGTGTGATTTACATATGACAGTGTGTAACATTGTTATGAAAAATTTCAATACAATTTAATTTTTCGGAGCTGTGGGACGAAACAGTAGGGAAAAGTGGGAATTTCAAGAAATAAAGTAGGAAACAAAGCAATGCAAACAAAGAACTAGAAAAAAAAGTAGGAAAAGTGGGAAAACTTAATATCCTGTGATACACGTACATTGTACGTGTTGGCATTTGTATAAACTATTTTAGGTGAAGACACTTTTAAAGTGAAAGTTCAGGAATTCAAGATTTCAAAAGGATTCTTCAAAATCCTGAAATAGATAAAATCCTGAATGCAAATCCTCAAAGCAGGAAAAATCCTAACATATCTCACCCATGTGAGAGTGATAAAATTTTAAACCAAAATTTATTGGATACAATGTTTCGATACTCCAGGATTTTTCAACATCACCCACCATTGGTTGATAGTCCCCATGTCCTGTGGCTGTTAGCATGGACGTATCACTCGTCGTCCTGGTCTCAAATTGACTGAAATCAGCAAAATCTGTTTGATCATGAGCCTCTTCCTCCTCACCGGCCGATGAGGTGTAGCTGTTGCGATTACTGGAGGCCGAGGACGAACAGGTGCGTTCACTGGAGTGAGAACTGAGCTGGGTGTTGGGTCTGGGTGGGATGGTGGGTCTGGGCGGAACTAGTTGTCTCTCTGAGCAGTAAGAAAATATTGAGAAAACATTATTTTGGTATAATGCCATTTTGCATCAGGCGACCTGAAATCAACATTGGCTCTTACCATTGCACCTCCTGCTATTTAAAGAGTCACAGACGGTAAAAATTCACTTCAACTTCTCCTACTATACTTTTAACAAAGGTTAGTCACCAGCAGTCAGATCATATGTCAAGCAAGCACTATGACCAGTCAAACTTGGTCAACAGACAAAGCAGGCAAGTTGTGGTCACAGCTGTTTTATTACTCACCTGGAGTCAAAGCATAGCTGTATTATGTTACATAAACAGTTCCAGCCAGTCAATCCTGCTTTATGTAGGCTGAGAATTCTTAACTGTTGAAAACAGTCACTTGATTGATTTTGGTTGAAAGGACTACTTGGCACAGAATGTATGTTTGCACAGGAGGGTTGATGTATAAAATTACATTTACTATTGAGCGTCCTGGCCATTTGTTGGTCACTCATAGGCGGTACAAAGGTCGCAGTCCAGTGTAAAGGGGGCCTTAGGCCTTGAGAATTAAACATCCATAGTCTATAAGTCACAAGGCTTACCTTTGTTGTCGGAAACTTTGCTGAATGGTGTTCAAAATCCTATTTCCTAAAAACTGCCCAAAGACTTCATCTTATATGCATTGCATCTATCAAGTACTACATTGTATTCCTCAATTCCTCATCGTGTGTGTGTATCACATTGGCAGCTATATTAGGTGCCCCTAGCCAGCTCAAAGCTGGAGAGCCTAGGTCATCTGCACATGTAAGCAATCGGTCCTGGGTTCAAGTCCCACCTGAGTAAGGTGGTGATTTTCTTTGTATGGGTTCAGGAATAACAAGTATACTGCTGTTTTTTCTTCAAGTAATACAGCTGCCTCCTCACTGTAAAAATCACAAGAATTTACTGATGTCAAAGAAGAAATAAAGGTTAGTAGACTGAAGGGGTTAGTGTAGAACGGATACACTCTTACCAGGAGTAGGGACAAGCTGGTTGCGATCTAAGGACATAGACCGAGAGTGGATACCATTATACCTTGGGGGTAGGGCAGGAGGGAGGAGATCCATTCCCCTGGGGGTGGGGGCCTGCCCCGGGGGTTCTGCTATGCATTCTGCCAGGGCAGTTTGCCTATAGAGGGGAACCAGTATGCGCTGCTGAAGTGTGGCTCCTGAGTAGGATCTAAACAGGTGGAAATGAGTGAAGGGTGAAAGGTCATGATGAGGTCATGGAGAGGTCAGACAAGGGTGCTGTATAGAAGAATGAAGCTATGTCTACATTGGAGAGAGCATCAACGCAACTAACGGATTCTAAGCAATATACTTCATGATGCAAGCTCACAATAACTTGGATTAAAATACAAATTCAGCACCAGATGAAACTAAAGGGTGTGGTAAAGACGCACCAGATGAAACTAAAGGGTGTGGTAAAGACGTGCAATAGTTACTGAGCTCTACTTTTGATGGAAAAAGAGCACACGGCCAAGTTTCTGAGTCAAAAACATACTACACTACCATGACTACTGGTGCAAAACTACAGAGACAATTGCAAGTTACTATATTGCGTTGAACCAATACACAAGTGCACTGCTATGAAAATGTGATACATCAAATGCTTAGGAAAAGTTATAGCAAGAATGTGCATGGCCGTTATTTTCATGGATGGACAATAGCACAGTTTTGTCAATGTAAAGCACAAGGGACACAGAATTTTTTTCACAATCATTTCCTTATTTACGCAATCATTTCCTTTTTTAGTTCCTCACTGCAAATGAGACAAAAAGCATTTTGAAGTTAATTCAAGTTTTAAATATTAAATCTAAGAATTAACGTTTTGGTTCTTGCTACATGTACATGTAGGCAATGCAAAAACAAGATTGTGTAATGTGGACTTATTATTTATTGTATGTTTTGCAATTTACAGAGAAAGGGAATTAAATGGACATGGACAAATGGAACTGACACTGACTGAAGATGCGATCAAATTGAGATGACAAGCAGATGACAAGGATTTATTCAGGTGTTGTATAAAACAATGAATGTAATACATTCATACAATGGAAAGATTCCATTCAGATTCACCTCGTGGAATGGAACAATCCATCTGTCACCTCATGAAATTATTCTGACCACTCAAGAACATTCATTATTTGTATACTACCACACTTTATGAACTCTTTGAACCCTGAAATATTACTTGAAGATAATAATGTGAAATTCTCATATGGCGTAATAAGGTGTACTAAAAAAAAACACAAAGGAAGAATGAAGCCCCAGTACCTGGAGCGAGAGCGGGGCAGGTAGTTTAAACGACCATCAGGACCTTCTAACGGCAAACCAACCATACCACGCTCTGCAATAAATACAGTCTAAGATTGAATGATTCAGTGTTGAAGGAAACATGCAGGTGATGTCAGTTTTAAGAACGTGCAGATGATGTCAGTATTAAGAACATGCAGATGATGTCAGTACTCTGAACATGTAAATGGTAAGATGTTAAGAGCTAGTGAGTGGGTAAAAGGCAGATCATGATGATGACAATGATGATGCTGCATCGGCAATGTCTATCAAATGGTAAAGGTTTTTAAGTTAATTATTTACGCTTATTGACATTTGATAAGGCTGGGGGGCCGGGAGGGGGGATCAACAACCTTACTTTGGCGGGACTTGAACCTATGACCTGCTGCCTACCAGTGCAGATGTTTTGACCACTTGACCAACAAAGCTTGTTTGGGTCAGCTGGCAAGTTAGGAATGTGATACACCAGTGAGTTAGGGCTGTCCATTTTCGAATAACTTAGTATTCGTTTACTCAAAACTGCGTTTGACCAAATATTCAGATATTGGAAACTGCCAGCTGCAACTGTGTGCTGCGGGCGAATTTTGTTTCCATAGGTGGGTTGCTCATATGTCATGTGCATCATTCAGTTTTCCTTTTAATCGTTAAAATAAAATTACCTCACCGATTAATTCAGAGAAGAAAAATAGTCGATGAACATGAGCATCGATGAAGTGGATTCGAATCAGGGATCTTTGTATCCATAGCTCATCACGTTATCCATCACAGTCAACTGGCAAAAAGCTATTCCACAATTTGGTTGACGATCAATATTTGGCTATTTGGGATGCATTTGGCCCTACAGTGAGTACCACAATCAAGGTTTAACGTAATTATGGGTCAGGTTATTTGCAAAATCCTCCTAAATCCCTGCTGGATTTTGGAGAATCTGAGAAGGTTAGTGCTAATTTTAAGCATGTTATCATTACCATGACAACTGATGAAAGTGAATAGTAATAACCAGTGTTCTTATGCAAAAGGCACGGATTTAGAATTCAATAATGCTATGGAACTGTTCATAGGTTTAGTACAGCGTTAATTTTGAAACAAATCGATAGAAACACTTACCTTTGTTGACACTCGCATTCAATTCACAATAACATTACAGATTGAACAAGGAAATGAATTTTAATTAGAGCCAACATGTGCAGTATTGTACCGGTATGTCTGCTTTAAACCAGGTAAACTGTATCAGGTCTGCCTGAACTCGTGTTTAAATAGCAACCAGAACTGAAGTAGATGACATGGGACGGTTGCTTCCTGTCAAACTGTTTACTTACCACCTTCTAACCAATGCTGGACATTGTTAGCTATGCATTATGAAACACAAAGTGGTTGGAGGTTCACCAAAATCATCAAAAATATTATTGTTAGGAATGATAAATGAAAACAATGAAACAATATAAAATGAAAGTATTTGGAACAGGAACTGAAGCCAGGTGACAATCCCTGTGTATATCAGATTGCCAACAAAGTAATCGTTTTTTTCTATTATGTGCCCATACAAAACACAAGTTATTTGAATGTGAGATAAACAGTAACAAGAAACGATGTAGCCTTTTCCAGAGGGTTCATTGAACGTTAAAACATTGTTTTTAAAACTTGTTTTCAGAATGATCAGTAAAACATGAAATGACGTATCATTTATGTTTTAATTTGTTTTAAATACGTTTGTTCTTTGTTCTGTATGTCCTTTCCACAGGTGGAGGTGGGGCAATGGGAAAGGCCGGGTTGGGTGTGTTGGGAGGTGCAGTGACTTACCCAAACTGTCCCCGCTGCTTGTCCTTTCCACAGGTGGCTGTGGGGCAATGGGAAGGGGCGGGGTTGGGTGGGGGATGCGTTGGGAGGTGGAGTGACTTGCCCAAACTGTCCCCTCTCCTTGTCCTTTCCACAGGTGGAGGTGGGGCAATAGGAAGGGGCGGGGTTGGGGTGAGGGATGCGTTGAGAGGTGGAACAACTTACCCAAACTGTCCCCTCTCCTCATCCTTTCCTCAGGTGGCTGTGGGGCAATAGGAAGGGGCGGGGTTGGGTGGGGGATGCGTTGGGAGGTGCAGTGACTTACCCAAGCTGTCCCCTCTCCTTGTCCTTTCCTCAGGTGGAGGTGGGGCAATAGGAAGGGGCGGGGTTGGGTGGGGGATGCGTTGGGAGGTGCAGTGACTTACCCAAACTGTCCCCTCTCCTTGTCCTTTCCTCAGGTGGCCGTGGGGCAATAGGAAGGGGCGGGGGTGGGTGGGGGATGCGTTGGGAGGTGGAACAACTTACCCAAACTATCCACTCTCCTAGTCCTTTCCACAGGAGGCAGTGGGGCAATAGGAAGGGGCGGGGTTTGGGTGGGGGATGCGTTGGGAGGTAGAACAACTTACCTAAACTGTCCCCTCTCCTCATCCTTTCCACAGGTGGCGGTGGGGCAATGGGAAGGGGCGGGTTGGGTGGGGGATGTTGTTGGGAGGTAGAGTGACTTACCCAAACTGTCCCCTCTCCTTGTCCTTTCCACAGGTGGTGGTGGGGCAATGGGAAGGGGCGGAGGATGTTGTTGGGAGGTGGAGTGACTTACCCAAACTGTCCCCTCTCCTTGTCCTTTCCACAGGTGGAGGTGGGGCAATGGGAAGGGGCGGGGTTGGGTGGGGGATGTTGTTGGGAGGTGGAGTGACTTACCCAAACTGTCCCCGCTGCTTGTCCTTTCCACAGGTTGCGGTGGGGCAATGGGAAGGGGCGGGTTGGGTGGGGGATGTTGTTGGGAGGTAGAGTGACTTACCCAAACTGTCCCCTCTCCTCATCCTTTCCACAGGTGGCGGTGGGGCAATAGGAAGGGGCGGGGTTGGGGTGGGGGATGCGTTGGGAGTTGGAACAACTTACCCAAACTATCCCCTCTCCTCGTCCTTTCCACAGGTGGCGGTGGGGCAATCTTGGCAAGCATTTCTTTTTCTCCGACTGTAGCAGCACGCTTCTTCATTTTGAAAACGTTATCGTCCTTTTCTTCGTCATTGTCTTCATCAGTCAAACCTTCTGCCCGCAGGGGATCTACATAACACACCACAGAGCACTCCGTTGCAATTCATGTTGATTGCATAGCACATTCAAATCAAATTGGATATAGGAATAGTGTCATCCAGAATGGTCACGCCCTATTTCTTGGATTACTAATGTTATAAGGATCTTTCAAATAATTTGATCTTTTTATGAAATTGTTGCAACTCAATCCAAAGATTGCACTTTCACTTTTTCAGTTTTAGGCATTTTTTGCAAACATTCCTTTGGAAATTCAGTCCTGAGAGAAGTTGATGCAACTTCAATTTTTTAATTAAGTCTAACATACCTGAATGCGTTCTTGGTCTGTTTCCGGTCTCATCTGCTATTGTGACCGTCTTGCCATCAGGTTTTACATGAAGTGCAATAGGTTGGAAGATCTTGGCTTCCTAATAAAGCAAACCAAATGATTAACATCTTAGCACTGTCTACAGTTATTCGTTAATTACGGACCCCATTTACCCGCTGTGGGCAGATCAGTGTCTCCACCAGCCCATTGTGTCATGATTGTGCCTTTTCGAGAGGAAAATAAACCAGAACTCAAGTCTTCCTGTGCTTTATCCGAACACACAACCCCAGGTCATCCCCAGTCAGTCCTTTACATTACAATAACCCTTGTTGGTCAGGAAGTGTTTTCAACTTACAGGATCAGGTGAGATGGATGCAAAGTCAAAGTTAGCCGGAGACTGGGAGGAAGGTGATGGAGGTGCAGGGAACGGCGAGTCTGTAAACGTGGCCCAATTCTGGCAAATCCAAAGAAAACATTAACAAAGACTCATAAATATAATAACACGCATGTGTGTGACCTGTGACATACTGGTACAGGGCGAGTACAAAAAATAATTTAATAATGCAAAATGGCCCTGGAGCACATGTTTAGTGTTCTTATGCATTTCTTAGACGCCTCATGAAGAAAAACGTTAATCGGGTACCACAGTAAAAAAGTTCACAAAAGACAAACGGTACATGCGTTTTACTTCATTTTTTCACACAAGGTTACTGACGAATGTGTCATTCTTAAAAGGTTTAAAAATTTCAAAACTTCAACTTGGTTTCAAAAAAAGATGGCTCCTTTGCAAAATAGCAGGTTTTTTACTCACCTTGTATCTGAAGGAAATTTGAGGTATTATATACAAGAAGATGGTAAAAGATGCAAATATATGATCTGGAATTTAAAAATGCAGGTAATCAAATAATTGTATGACTTGCACACTTTTAAATGTTTTTTTTTTTCAGCGGTTCAAGCTTTCTGGTGGATATTGATTAGCTTAGTACACATGACTTATACGACAACAGCAAAACAGGATGCTAGGCAAAATCAATCAGATTCCCCTAGCACTGCTTCAGGCCTCTAGACCCAAATCCATCATCCTCCGTCAAACCAGGCCTGCAGGACCAAGTCCCCCAAAATGGGGGGATGGATTTTGATGGAGTTGGGGAGGTCTGGGTTAAGAGAATGGACTTGCCTCATCTGTCTTGTTAGGTGTGGGCGGAGTTACACTTCTGGCAGGGGTGGATTGAAGTGGATGAGAAACTGGAGGAATAAAGGTAGGCACTATAATGCAAGATTAATATCAAGAAATATAAACTGCACATTAACGATTTATCGCAAGTCAAATCTAGCACCATATATCTATAATATTGCACATGCTAGCAAACAATTACATGTCAAATTTGCGATGGTGTACAATCAATCAAATATGCAAATGAGCAATTAAGTATGCAAATGAGCTTTGCTAACCTTCGTCCTGCTTGGGGCCTATGACTGGGATGAGACTTGCCGGTAGTTGCTCTGGTAATTCCACCTTGTGTTTCCTAGCAACAACTAGATGCATTGCTGTACAGAACTCAGCGAGTGATAAGGTGCCGTCTTTATTCACATCAGAAAGTTGCCTTCAAAGAACAATCATCAATAACGTATTCACTAAAGGTCGTTTTCCTTGATTATTAAGACTTCTTAAACTACATTACATGTATTCCACTGTCAGGCATTCCAAATGAATCTGCAATAGCTAAAACATTCTGTTGAATAAAGAGAAAGCCAAATTTGGAACAAACAGGGCTTTGTCTACCAAACATTGCCTAACCCCCTTTATAGGGGACAAAATGTAGTACTTTGTGACAAGTAGACAAAGCTCTTAAAACTTGTCTACAATTTCCAAAGATTCTACAATTCCCCAAAATACGTCCTCGATGGTGTTTCTCTCCAAAATGTATTACTCCCTTTATAACCCTCCTGTGCAAACATACATTCTTTGCCAAGTTGTCCCTGCAGTCAAAATCAATCAGGTCACTATTTTTACAACCCGTAAGAATTCCCAGCCCACATTAAGCAGGATTGACTGCCTTGGATTGCTTAAGTAACTTGATACAGCTACTGGTATTGCTTTGACTCCGGGTGAGTGATAAAATAGCTGTGGCCACAACTTGCCTGCTTTGTCTGTTGACCCAGTTTGACTAGACAGAGTATTTGCTTGACATATGATCTGACTGCTGGTGACTAGCCTTTGTTAAAAGTAAAGCAGGGGAAGTGGAAGTGAATTTTGCCTGCCGGTGACTGCTTAAATAGCAGAAGGGTTTTAAATTTTCCATTGAAGACAGAAGGATGTGTATATAACGTGGATTAATTCATCCAGGGCATCCAGGGAGAACAGTTCTTAGACAACTGATGGGGCTACCCTGGTAAAATAAAACGAAAAATAAATAAATACATTCATGCAAATGTATAAATCCTACAGGTTCTCACCATATTTTGGACAGTTCAGCCGTTGGTAGCTTCGACTTTTCAAAGAATTCCTTAGAATCAGCACCTACATGTATGAATCAATAAATTAAACCATTTCTATTTACAAGTGGAGAAATCAAAATTGAATGTACACATGACAATCGTTAGCCAAACTCAGCCCTTCCTAACTACACACTTAATTTGCGCAATCAGAATTTGAACACCTCTCCCTGAAAACAAATAGTCAGCATCCAAGTACTTTCATCAATAACAGATAAATAAAAAATTGTTTCATTACCTGATAAGAGACCGTTAGGGTCGGATTGCAATGTCGTAAACTGCTTCGTGTAATACACTCGCTGCTCAGGAGTAATCAACCAAACGTCCTCATTCCCATCATGCATTGTGCTGTTACCATGGGAACCTGATTCACCGTGACTCTCAGGGAATTTGGCCCAGGATGTATCTAGGGTGTTGTTCATGGAATTGTCCAGGGATTGCGTCGGTTGCGGAATTTGAGCTTCCCCTATAGAGAAGTAAAATTGTGTGTAAATCAAAATGAAACTTTTCTCCAGGAGAACATCACTGAAAACTGATGGGGCTATTTTTGTAAAATAATACACAATGCATAAATCAATCAATCAATCAGTCATCATCGGAGACCAGCTATCTAGCAGCTATTCCCTGCAACAAGGTGTCCTCCAGGGTTCAGTAATTGGGCCCATTGTGTTCAACTTTATTCCTCACCACTATACAAGACGTGATCAAGTCATCTGGAACTACTTCCATGGCGAGTCAAAAAAAGAAACCTAAATGGTCCCCTCTATTTTGTAAAGAACTTCTGCATGTAGGCCTATCACTTTCCAGATCTAGGACGTGAGAGCCCAATTAGTAACCTTTCTTTTGGTACAAGAATCATTCAAATCACTCATGTACTTTTCGAGTTATGGAATTTTGAACACAAACACAGTCTAAAAATTGTGTCCACGGATCTCATTTAAGGTACGTGATATTTCAGTAAAATGAAACCATATCGTATCATGAAAACGATATCAGAATAATCCCATAAGTCTCCGGGGCTGCCAAGTAGAAGGCCAGGCAGGACTATAAACTCTTGACATTATAAAGCGTGTTGTTTTCACATTGGAAGCAGAAGGTGTTTGAAAAAGGTTATGATAAGCGCCAGTTATTATGGTTATGAGAGTGTTCTGATGTGTTTTCTTTTTAAATGTGAATTGTTTTTTGCTGAAATATCACTCACATTGTGATCTGTGCACAAAATCTTTAAACTGTGTTTGTGTTTAAAAAGTCCATAACTTGAAAAGTACATGAGCGATTTGAATGATTCCTTTACTAAAAGAAAGCTGATTAATTGGGCTTTTAGATCCTACCGGTAGATTTTGAACGCTCTACATGCACATGCAGAACTTCTTTTTAAAACTATACGCTATTTACATGTGAGAACTGTTTATTATTATTAAATAAAATAAACTAATATTTAAACCTACCTTTTCTGTCTTTTGCAAAGGACGCCCACCCTTCATCAGTGACTGGACCAAAACCAGGAATGCTGCCTTGCTTGTCAAACATAGGCCGATGTTCCCTTGGACTAATGGGTGATGGTAGGCTTTGATGTCTCTCCAGACCTACAGGGTGGTTCGGGGAGATGACAGGTGGGTTGTCATTGAAGGGGGAGGAGTCACGAGGTGAAGAAGGAGGCGGTGAGCCAGTCATCTAATGGTGAGAGAGAAAAAAAGCAACGATACAATGTAGTAATGATACACAGACATGACTACATGGTATAACTGCAGGGTACAACCAGCGGAGGCTCTGTTTTTTTTACAAATTAATATAGATTGAAACATGTTGACAATAGATCTTGTTTCTTGACTGGCTGGATGGTATACTTGCTTAGTTTATACTATTTTAACCCTCCTAGTAGGACGTCAATATTCACAGCAATATGTTAAACTTTTTAAAACACTGCAGGTCAGTTTCAGGAGAAGGGATATGACGTTTTAAAGTTAATTGTGTCAAACAGAGAGTCACTCCACAAAAACAGCACTGTGGAGAGCAGTGAAGCTTGACTAAATCTGCCTGCTGGCCCTGAGCTTAACCACGCAAAAGATTTGTGCAGGGATTTGAAGCTTTATCCATACTCCACAGAAGACTAACTCAAAGGAATTTGAAGTGTGGGCGCTAACTCCATGGGCAAAAGTACATTTGTAAATACTTGAAGGATTTTGAAAAGCAGAAGACTAGGAGGGTAATGTCCTCTTTCATTAAAACTATAGTTATAGTCAATTTCATAGGCTTTCCCAGCTAATTTAATGGATTTGGAGAAAAGAACAATGACGTCATATCTTTGTTATTATTCAGTGAATTGGTTACATTTAAAGCATTCAAAAGAACGGCAGTTTTCGAGCTGGCACAGTAGCCTAGTGGTTCACGAGATGAGCTATGGACTGAAAGGTGCCCGGTTTGAATCCTGCTATGTCTACCCTTTATTTTAAATGAAGGGGAAAAAAGGACAGCAAAAACCTTTAAAGTGTCTTGCTGTGATTCTGTTAAATTACTGAATTATATATAAGTAGCTTCACCCACAAACGGGAAAAAATACGTACGCAATACGCCATTCGTCAGAAGCTGAATGGTGCGCTGTGCTCCATTCGTGCAAAATAATTGCGAGAAAAAAAACAATAGTGTGACGTCACAGGAGCGTGTTAACGAACCAATAAAGACGAATAGGTAAAAGGTTCAACCCAAAAAAAATCTCACATCTTTCCTATGTTTCCCTTTATTCTGAATGCAGAAAGTAGAAATAAAATGCGCAAAAATGAAAAAGAAAATGAGAATCGCATGCAAATAGCCCTAAACCAAACCAACAGCCAAATTGAATGATAACTTAAACGGAATGCCATACCTTCAACTTAGGATGGGTTAAACATGACAATGTCAGGTCTGAAAAGGAACTGAAAGTCTGAAATCTAATACGAACCACAGGAATGACAGCACAGAGCTGCATGCAATTAGATTCAAATCGGCCACTATCAAGATGAATTTGAATGCTATTGATGCGAAATTGCTAGGGAAAACCTGGTGATAATTATTTAAAACTTGTGTGTCAATGACACTACCACTCTTCAGGAGCTGTAATAGGCTGCAGTCAAATGATTTTGTTATGGTTGGCAGTAAGCATGGTAAGACAGTCAAATGATTTTGTTATGGTTGGCAGTAAGCATGGTAAGACAGTCAAATGATTTTGTTATGGTTGGCAGTAAGCATGGTAAGACAGTCAAATGATTTTGTTATGGTTGGCAGTAAGCATGGTAAGACACACTTGTCTATGACAAGTGGCTTCAGCTGCTTCCATAGGCCCATGTGAAATTGTGCCAAGTATTTTCAGATTCGGCCTAATAGGCCTACTAATCAAATAGGTAATTCCACTGTAAAGATTGGATGTTGAGAATACATGTAGGACTACTCACATGAGGTACATTAGACGCCCGTGTTGGAGACATTGCTGGTACTTGTTCAACTTGAGGGTACACCACCGGGCCTCGAGGGCTAGCCTGGGGGCCTACCATGCCTATCACCTGGCCAACATTCCTGATGGAGAACATAAATTAATGTATTATGAAAATAAATAAAATTCAGTTTGAAAGGGTTGAAGGGGCACTATGTCCTGCAAAGCGCCCAATTGGGATACAAAATGCGTTTTCACACAATGGGTATACAGTGCTTAAACGTCTACATAAAATTTGACGTAGTGTAGTACATTGTATATTACCAATCAGTGGGTGGTTGTTTACTGGACAGAGCAAAGCCACGATCAGGAACATTATCAATAAATGCTGGATTGACAAATTCCATCTGGCCTGGATCATCTAAAGCAAAGTAGAAAATGATATAAGAAATTAACATAGAAATGAAAAAAATGTACTCTGTCTTAACAATTTCAAGTGTGCATTTTTTTAAAAATCAAATTCGTGAAATCAGCAAAACACAGTCTTTTGCAAAATATCGCTCAATGATTGGCTGTCATAAATACATTGTATAATCATTGACCCTAACTCCCTAGGGTGATTTAGTAGGAACCTTCCTCATCCTTGCAAACCCCAACACCATATGGTAAACTGTGCGCATAAACAGTTGGACTCTGTTTTGTGGTACATGTATGCCTAATCCCATGTAAAGCAGTCAGTTTACTAGTGCAGTAATCATCCTAACAGATTCCAACAAACCCTGATGTTGGAGTTTGGCTTGTTGGGGATCGTTAGTGTTAATTATAGATCCTATTTGAACAAACAACAGCTGTAAACAGTCAGAAACAAACAAGGCTGGAATCTGCCTAAAAAAATAATACTTGTAACCATCTCAAAAACAGTACAATATACATGTACATGGTTTCTGTCCTTGTGTAGACTCAACTCAACATTTGTTGAACAGCCACAAAAAGTTTGTTTTCCAAACTGAAAATCCTGAGTACCTGGGTCTTGTGTTGATGGTGCTCCTCCACTTTGCTTCATCACAAATACTGGTAATGGTACTTCAATCCCTGCAACAAGTTAGGGTAAATTGTCCACAAATGTCACTGAATGAGGAATGTCCTCGTCTGGGGCATCTACAATGTACATGTTGCATGTATACCGGTACTTGTATGCACACACGAATGTACGTGTTGGTCTTTTGGGCATATTCCAAATTTCACAGTGTAGGATGTACATTTTCGACAATTCAACACCATGCTCAATCAAAGTAATAATCATATTGGATCGTAATTCTGATATAACGTTTCAGTTAGTTACTACAATGATTTAAAAAAGAAATTACTTATCTAACTTTTTTGCTGTACATCATGTAGTAGTAATCATATCAAAACACCACTTGTGTCGAACGTACTCAGATTTATATTAATGTTTGTGTACTTATTACTTTTTCCAGTTAAAAGTAACAGTACTGTTTAACGTTGTTATAAATAAACTATATTTCAATAAAATAAAGATAAGCTTCAAAACGATAAATGTTTCATTTGCGCATTTGGATTTTTGTGAAGTTTTGGTATTGATTGATGTTCATGATTCTATGGAACTGCCCCTTTTTCAAGGTTTTAATTTTTGAACTTTTGACCGTAGCCAGTGCAGGGTTAGGTGTCAAGCATATTTCTGTGTAGTGACAGATGAAAATATCATTTGCACATGTGCAACAAACATTTGCATGACCATGATGACACTATAACTTTGGGCTCAATTACATCTACATGTACACGTGTACATGTACATATGTACATACATATGTACCATTTGTACCATGTACATGTCTGTATGTACATTTTGTATATGTGTACCAGTACATGTAATAACCTGCAATCTACTCAATAGAAGAAACAGCTGACAACAGCATAATACATTATCAAAACACCGACATACACCGTAAAAAAAAAAAGTCCACACTCATTGAACATGTTGGAGGGGTCATAATTTTGAATCTGATCGTCTTATGATGACGTCATTTATATAAACTATACATTTGGGGAATGTTGTTAGCTACATTTTGATACCCCGTTTGCTACCAAAGACTGTAAATTGTCCAAGATTGACAACAGTTTATGAAAAATTTTGCAGTTGGAAACGTTGCGAATTTTAAAGATAACAAGAGTGGAAATTGTGGCCTGACAATGTTACACTGCCCGAAATGAACGCCAGGAACACTGATCGCACAGTGCTTGTATGCATGGGAGCACGTCAGACTGGCAACCATGTCCAATGCTGCCTTTTATACCCTTTCTTGGTCGAGGGTGTTGTGGGCCTGGTTTGGACTAGTTGGTCATACAATGTAGATGTGATGGAGCTTGTATGCCTTGTCGTCTTTATTGAGAGTGTTCTCCACCCCCTGCGTCTGATCCATGACCAACTAGTCCAAACCATGCCCTCTATGATGACCAAGACAGGGTATAAAAGGCAGTTGCGCATTGGACATGGTTGCCAGTCTGACGAAGCTTCTAGCTTAATAGGAGTGAAACGTAACTAATAATACCTGAGTAATATCTACATTTATTTTTAGGATTGGAAAAAAACGAACCTCCTAAGTCATGTTTTACCAACAATCCAGAAGAACAAATTTAAAAGATACAATGTAATTGGTTTCATTTGTGTAGAATTTAAATGCTCGCTCACCTTGACCAATCATTTCCTTGGACACAGGTAGTGGTATCGCATTCTGCGCCATTGCAATCAACTTCAGTGCAATGTAGAACTGACTCCGCCCAAAGTGACCAAGTCGATTGGCTCCACAGATTTCAGTGATCTGCAAAACAGAGCAAATGAAGAACAAAATTTGAACAAATTTCACATTGACTGTAGTTCAAGTTAATGTAGGATTGAAGAGCTTAGTTCACTTAGGTAGTCAACTTTGCAAAACTTGTGTTATCCGCACACATGATATTGCACTGATGAAATAAAACTACCAAGTTTCCAGCTCACTTTGTGGCTGATTTTGGAGGATCTTTGCACTGTGTCAAGATCTTAAGCCGGACCTTGTGTTGTTTAAATGCTCAGCGTGCATAAGACCCCAAAAAATACTTCCGATTACATGGCATTTGAAAATAAGGCAGGTAGGGAATGGGGGGGGGGGGGCAAATTTTTTTTTGTACGATCATATGGAGGCGTCTGCGTGTAAAAAAGGGTAATAGGTAGTAATTGATGGTTTTGGGTGTTTTTTCCTCATTTTTCCCATAAAAAAACATAGGGAAACCGGAAGCAGAACTATAATTTTTTTGGTCTAAGTTAAGGCCTACAAAATCCTCTGCACTGCTCCAGGATGTCACTGCATCTGCCTCAACATACCGATAAATGATATATTGACAGTGATAGCTGAAGGATTTTGCTGCTTTGCAGGATTGAGGCAGTGGTCACCCTCACAAGGACCACATTCAAGAAAAAACTGAGGATTTTGGAGGATTGAGGCCCATGCAATTTTTACATGGAGGCAGTTGTAGGATTTTGCAGGATTGAGGTTGCATCCTAGCAGAAATTAGGGTTAAAGAGTTAGGGTTAAACATCGGACTGGTACTAAACAGTCCGTTAAATTATTCCGTCTGGCTTGCTTTTATTTAGAAGAAATTAAGATATACATGTAGGTACATGTATACTGTAATTTTTAACCCCAACTCTAGGCCTTTACTCCTTTAGGCTAGGATGTACATTTAGCCTCAATCGCACATAGGCGCACAAAATTGCACATTTTCGAATTTTTTTTTTTACCTGCCAATGCTGCAGGTCCAAGTGAAAAACTTCCTCCAGCCCTAAACATGCTAAATCGACAACCCAATGATTTCATTTATAAAAGATAGTGGATATTTTGCCGGAGGTAATGACGGCAAACTAACGATTACTAAAGGTTTGCCGGCGGCAATCCATATCAACAGAGGGCGCTGTACTCTTTAAAGAAGGGCTGAATTATAAGATGTATAAAATTCCCACCAAAAGTTGTGTAGCACGTTTGGTGTAATGGTTAAGCGGTAATCCTTACTTTAAGGACACCTCTATTTTGTACGAGTTCTGTTCAAAACTGACTTTTGCAGATGACTGTCCAGTACCAAAGTGACTTTTGCAGGCTAAAGAAGTCTTTTTTCTTCAGACAAACTCATGTTAGTTATAATTTTGAAAGCACTTTCAAAGAAAATGTGACTTTCCTACCTTTTCTTGCAGTTCGCCATCTTGCTTTTTAAATTTATTTTCTGTTTGTCATCGTCGTCTTTAACCCCTCATAAATCAAAACCCTGCCCTCTTTCTACAAAATCAAACCTGCTGATATTCAAGGGGTGTCATTGCCAAATGTTCAAATGTGTCAATAAATATCAGAGTGTCACTTTTGAGTGTCATAGTCAGCTGTTTTGGTGAGTCTTTTAACCTTATATAGGAAAGGGGTCCTAAAAGTAAGGATTACCGGTTAAGCAAAGGCTCTAGTATTAAGCGGAATGACTCGCGTTTTTAAGGGGTTTTTTTCTCATCCCCAAATAAATAAGAATATTCTTCTTTTATTATTTTAACATGTCTCAAACATTTTTTGCAGAGTATTACATTTTCTTTTTCAGATTTGTGGCTCTGGAGGATTTTTTTTAAAAGGGAGCAAAGTCCGAAATTATAAAATGGTCTGAATCCCATCTTGTGAATACGAGGTAACAACGATAATTTTGGCATGGAGCCAGACTAAAACTTTTCACCGGAAAATGTTTAAGTACAAAAAAACAGTAACTGGGCATGTTCAGTGCATATCCGGCAAATTAACGTTTACTAAAGGTTTGCCGTCCCCGGCAAAATATATACACTGCCTTTATAAAATTTAGGGCTGGGTAACTCCACTCTCCAGCTAGCTGATAGTGATACTGAGGTCACTGAAGGGGAAAATAAGTGATGGCAAAATATGATAATCTTTCCATTTCCTTCACACATGAATTTACCTGATGCAAAACTTCCGGGGTCAGCTTCGAAAGATTAAAAAACTCCTTCACCTCAGCTGACTTCACTCGACCTGCGTTCTCATGGTCTAACGTGCTGAACAACGAGGAATAATACTGCTGCTCCGTGGCGCTCAAAAATGATCCCTCCATGGCCAAAATCATTCAATTTCATAGCTTTGTGACCTTCCTAACAATCAATGCTTAGTCTGGACGGAGGAGGTGCAAGAAACAGCAGAGTTTGACGAAGAAAGAAGCGCCGAATTGTATTACTTTTTACACCCGAACTCCCATCACATTACTGGGCTGCCATCTTGGAATGATGACGTCACAGATTCAATCTGCACAGTGTTGAAACCCAGACTTATATACGTTTTCGCTATGGGATATCGCAGAAAAAAATAGCACCAGACTATATTGAATTTTTAAGATATTGCAAAAAAGAAGATGGTAAAGTTTCTGCATTGTCTCGATCATGAAAAGATCGGATTAATAAACAGGGAAATAAAATAATTCGTAACACTATTGAGATAAATTTCTTATTGTGGAGCCTGTGTTTTCCCTCCAAGTGGGATGACAAAAGGGTGGGGTGGGGGGAATCCCCCAACCTGTGGCCTGCTGCCCCATGACACCCCCCCCCCCCCTCACCCCTCCTTCAGAGTTTGGGGCAGCATTATAGTATTAGTCTTTTAACGGGAATATACATTTGCAAACATCAAAAAAGAAAAAATACCAAATTATCATGAAATACCTCAATGGACTGTTAGTGAATGGCAGTCTAAAGCATATCCTGTACTTGTGCCATTGTAAGGTTATTTTTTGTATCAATTTCCAAAAACTGGAAATTTTCCAAAAACTGTTTTCAAATACTGCCCTCCATTTATCATTTAGTTAGTCCGCATTTTGTTTGCAATTAATTACCCTCCTATGAACCAAGCCAGATAGACTAGGTCCCATTCCCTGCGATGTCTATAAATTGCTCCCTTTCATCTCAACTAGGGTCAGGGAACTGGAATACGACTGTTTTCCTTGGTTTTCCAAGCATCTACAAACACAAAACTTCAAACAAGTCAGTGTAACAATATATGCTCAAATATACACCCCCCCCCAACAATCTATTCATTTCTGAAAATTACAGCAAAAGTAAATGTTGTATATTCCCAGCTTTAAACACATTATTTCCCCGAAATGCACCTCCCCCTTCAAATTTGATCCAGTTGCAATCCCCCAGTCATTCTGTGCCTGGGTTAATGATTTGCAGGACAGACCTAAACAAAGGGAAACAATAGCTGCATATTTCGGCGTTTGCCAAAACAGCTAAACACAGCATAACCAATACTGAAATAACCAAACTGGATTTACAACAAAACATTTTTTTTTTTTTTACTTTATTAAACCACAGACTTTATAAAAGGGGTTACTTGGAATGGGATGGCTGCACTGCAGAGCTCTCTATAGTACAAACTTTCGTCATGTTGTACAGGCAATTTTAAAATGTGTTTTTATATTAAAATGTGTTTTAGGACTTCATAACTCTTTATTGCTCCGTTTTTCCCAAATCAAATGTCAGTGCAGATCATGTACATACGAGACTTGGTATTTATATTTATACAGTTGTAGTTTTTGGTACTTGGTGAACAAATCAGAACAGTGTGGTACTTTTTCATCAAAAGCAAGGATAAACTAAAATGCGGGGGAAAAATGGAGAACTGTGATAAACTGGCAATTCATATGCTGGTTATTCTCATATGTCAAATGCCAAAAGATCCATTTGTATGTTGTGTATTCCATTAACAATGACAGCAAAACTCAAAATCAAATAAAAGACACTTCAAAATTGATCTGTTTATTAACTGAGGGATGCTCTGCCCATGGGCTCCGTGCGGCAACAATAGAGGGCACATGTTTACCACTTTTGAGAGCCCGAGGACAGGACACACAGCGTGTGCATACTGCTGTACTGATTCGCACACGAAATACGCACAACTTCCTGAATGTGCCAAATCTATTAGCCACAGCGTCATCGTCGGCACGTAGATACATTTGAATTTAACTTGCGATGATCTCCCAATTCATCTAATCCACGCCACCAATAACTTTGGATCATTCGAAATACACAGTGGATGGACAGGGAACCAGTCTAGGTCTCCCCCAACTCTCCTTTTCTGGCCATTGAAGGAGTACTTGTGCACGGAGCCCATAGTATATGAATTGTACAATTAGCCACTTCAATTTTATACTAAGAACGGATCATTACCTAAGATGTCAAACTGAAAAGTTTCCCTTTTAACAAATTGTAATATTTGTACAGCTTGTCTTAATACAAACGGGTTAACATATATATCCACCTAGCAATCATTACAGAAGGGTCCCTACACAGAAGATGGTACGATCTGGAAATAAAGTTGGATGACTGAAGAGGCTGGCGGTCTCATTGTGCAGTGGGAGGTTCCAATTCAGCAGCAGGGGTGTCTGGCTCTTCATCATTGTAGATGTTTTCAGCCTGCGTCAAGAATTACAGACAATGAGGTCAACTTTTAAGGAGTTGCAATCTGATTCCTTTCCCTATTATTTCTTGATGAGCCAAGTGACAAAAGACAAAAGCTCATCAAGATATTGTGAAAATAATATTCTTACAGTGAAATTCTGGATTTTTTTAAGCTCTGGCAACAGAGCTTCTACATGTCACTTACCATTTGCCAGACTTGCATGATGTTGTCCTCGGATACCGAGCAGATGACCCATGGTTCATTGGGATTCCAGGAGAAGTCTGAGATCTTAGCCGTGTGTCCGCCATGAATGAAGAGAAGTTCACCAGGACCATCCTCAGCATCCTCTGCTGACTGCTCCTCACCGATTTTACTACAAGTGGAACATCAAAATTATCAATTTTATATAACAGGTGTTTTAAATGCCATCTGGTTCAGCTCAAGAATTATGTAGAAGCCCTTGACCCTTACCATGCCAGATGCAACATAGTGCAACCGGTGCGAAATTTTGAGGAACTTTGCTACATTGGACTAAAACTACCAGTTCTGAGAAAATGCGGGCCAGTCCCATTGGAATTGGAAACCATTGCAGTTGGAAACCAAAGACTCTGAGGCAGTTCGGGCTTGGGATGTTTGACCAATTGGATTTTGTTTGACAACTGTTGCAAGTAGTTGTGTTGGACAGGGTTTATAGACAGGGTTTACATGAAGTAGATAAAGTATAAACTTTTGCCTAACTTTAAAGAAACTAGTGCAGTGCCCGTTCAAAACGTGCCTGTTTGGAATGGGCAAATTGGTTGGCCTCTGGTAGACCCGCAAACGTGGCAGTATAGAGTGCAGTGCCCGTATAACAGCGGGCCACATCTACACCTCACCGTTGCGCGACCCTCCCCTTCAAAAAATGGTCCAGCCCCACCTCACCATTGCACGATCTTCCCCCTTCAAGAAATGGTGGAGCCCATACAGCCAACCACCATTTCCACGCGTGTTAACCCGTACCCGTGGTGCGGTAAAGAATACAATGCCCTTTCAAAGTGTGCAGCAGTGCATGGCACGGTCTGTATATACACGTTAGTATGGTCTAGGCCTCATAAAATGCTACTTTTTTGCAGTTTTTTTGAGAACCGCTCATCCAAACAACCTCAGACTTGACACTGCACATTCTGGGATCCTGAGCAATACACCTGCAGATTTTCAACTTCTGAAGATTCTGAAGATAATTAAAATACAGACAGACACACAAGAGATTCCTGGAATTATAGTTAGGTTGATGCTTCTGAAGCCAAACGAGGACCATGGTTAACCATAGTTCCATTAATTTCACTCCAATGCAGAATGGTTGGACACTCTAGTCGACTTTTTAGAACGGAAGCACAGGGCACGGTTGAATCACTGGTTTGCCAATAACCGTGCGCATCATAAAGCACAGCAGGGAGCCACGACCAAGACGTTTTGTGATAATGCTTTGACCATCATTTGACTAGAGACATTTGCACGTTGATATTAGTGCCGAGGCGTAAGTTAGTCGCTTATCAACCACTAGTCGAATAATGCTCCTTGACCAAACTTGCTAAAAAGCTGTAGTATTAAAATCTTTACCGACAGAACTTACCTAAGGTCCCATACATTGAGTCGTCTGTCCGTACCACTGGACGCCAAGATGGTCTCATTATGAGGTGACCACTGGACTTGGAAGATTTCATCCCGATGCGATTCAAAGGAATGAAGCTTGAGTTTCAGATTACGCAGATCCCACAATGCAACAGTCTGGATTAAGTTAAAACAAGACTCACAATTAAAACATGCTTTCCGCTCTTTTGGGTTTTTTTGTTTTTTTTTGCAATATGCAATGGCTTGTTACCATCATTACATACTTCATTTCTACTTGGATAAAATGTTTGGCAAGTTCTGTCAAACCAGTCACATATAAACCTGGGCAATGCCAACAATCTAAAGATGACCATTATTATAATGGTGCAGCCATGGAGGCTAGAGCACATGCCCTTAAATTTGCAGGCCTCCTCCCCAACACATACAAGCAATACTTTCCTAAATTTCCCAGGAGATTGCATGTAGTCTGTGGCCGATCGGAAAAAGTCCCTCAAAAGGTGATGATGAACCCTTATATTGCCACTGACCATTGTATTCACTATCAAAGTGATTAGGAAAGATCCGCCAAAACAGGTTCTTGGCACAGCAATTGGATCACGCCGATGCAAACATGCCACCACTCACAATGGACTTGTGTACTTTCTGAGCATTTTGCATTTTTTCGTTAGGAAAGTGGGGAAAAAATCTACAGGTGTGACTTGTATTTGCAGTACAGTCCGCAGGGAAACAGTTGACCATTGTGAGGTAGCATTTATTGACCAAATTTCCGAATGATTTACTTTGCTTCGAACACATATACATTAACAATGGCTGGATCGATTGCCAAGTGTGTGGCATGATCCAGTACCCCCTCAACGGTAAGAAAGGGAGAGTTGGGGGAGACTACTGGGAGAGACATTCAACGCATTGCTGACGACGCCAAACGTTCACACAAAGTCATTATGGCTTCGTGCGTACTTCCTGCTGTATGCGCGCCAACCACGCAGTGTGTCCCGTCCTCGGAGCTCTCAAAAGTTCACATACGAAGCCCATAACTTTTGTCGTTGCATAATAACAGAAATTGAGCTACAAGGTTGAGCCTAATTTAGGCCATTATATAATCCATGTACTATCAATTGTGTTTGATTTGGCTTTTCAAATTTTGACAAATTTTCGCCAAACTCTTTTAAATACTTAACCTTAATCCTCCTTAATCCTCCAAAATCCTCCTGGCATTTTTGGAGGCTCTTGAAGGATTGAGGATGAATTGTGTTTGAGAAACGTGAGGATTTTTGAGGATTGAGGATAAATGGTGTTTGAAGAGGAGGATTGGGATTTTGGAGGAATGATGACGAGTGCATTTTGAGAGGCGGGACTGTTTGGCAATTTTGAAAGATTCAGGCGCTGGGTATCCTTCATTTGAACTTAAGTGCAAGATTTTGGAGGATTGAGGATGGTTCCTAGCAAAAAGAGCCTGGGGGGTTATGGTTAATGACACAAATGAATTCAGATTTTGGGTGTGGTATCGGACACTCACCTTGTCAGCTGATCCTGTTGCCAAGATGAATTCACTGTAAGGATTAAAGGACAGACAGTTGACCTCTGCTGTATGAGCCTCGACAGAATGACTTGCCTTGGATGTGTTATTGACTCTGGTGTCCCAGCTAGCAAAACATACAGAAAATAATTATAATCAGTAAGTGAAACATGAATAACCACTGAGCATTACATATCTTGTATATCCCTTCCCTGGAATTTCCTCACTGAAGTTATCAACATTTCTCACAAACTAATACCTTCAATAAGCCATTTGCGAGTTAAATTTGAATAAAATGTGGAACGCTGACTTAATCCAATGCTTTGCAAGTTTCAACTTTGCATCCTCCCGACCCAAAAGACTGTTACTATATCACGTGATTCGAGGCAAGCCTTACGCTAGCAACCCCCAGCTCCGGAATGGTCTGGTGTCTTTGTGCCATTCTCACCCATTGTGAACAATGTATTGGTGCTGAGCGTCTCTTACGTAACTATGCAAGAGATTGCCCCGCAGCATGCGATTAGCAACAGTGTCTTTGGTCTAGAGAATTCAAAGTTAAAATGTGCCGAGCATTCTGAGCAAGTCAGTAGTTTTTCAAATTTAAATCCCACAGGGTATAGGTCACTCGCAAATGGCTTATTGTTGGAGTAAAATAATCAGGCCTAGCAGTGCCCCTCTTTATCAATATAAGTTTGTTATTTGGTTTTGAAAATCAAAACATAGGTTTTGAAAGGTTTACAAGTGCCAAAATACAGGCATTCATAGGTTTTTAGGGTACTATTTTTCAGAATGAGGTAGCAGGAATACGGCAAATAGCTGACCTCAAGTTTTCCACACTCGATAAAATTAACTCAAACCAATTTGCAGGACTCCATGCAACTGCCCAATTCTGAACCACTTGTAAAACATTCTTACAGAGGTATATTGCCAATGTGGTTATTTTGGCACCATGTTAACTACCAGGGTTCCCATAGAAATCTGAAAACCAAATTCCAGGACTTTTCTAGGACTTTTCAGGACTAAAATAAGGCCATTTCCATGACATTTAACGCCATTAAGCAGAGAAAAGTTGTTTGATAATATGAACCACTGATGTTAGGCTAACCATTTGTTAGCCTTTGAAGACCAGTTTTAATTAATAATGGCCTCCTCCTCCCCTTACAGCCATCCTTAAGCGGCCCATCAAAAATATCCCTTACATGATCTTGATTTCCACGACTTTTCCATGACTTTTTAATTTTTCTAATTTTCCATGACTTTCCAGGACATTTTTTCCAGGACTTTCCATGATTTTTCCATGACCACGGGAACCCTGACTAAACTGTGGGTCAAATTATTTTAAAATTTTCACAAAAACTTGTTAAATAAGTGTGGCGGAATTTAAAAAAAAAAAATTTAAAAAAAAAGGTTACTTACAAAAAAAAATAGGCTCCCAAGTTGAAATGTTGGTTTTATAGGTTTTATTGAATTAAAGGTTTTATTGGGAGGCCTATAATATGCTGGGAATGTATTTAGAATCCTGCGACTAAGATTTGGTGTAACTGGCCTTTTGGGAAGGAACTTGTCCACAATTTATGCCAGATATTGAAAGAAATGACTCCTTACATCATGAGCTTCTGGTCATCTGCAACGGAGCCAAAGAGACTTTCATGAAGAAGATGCCATGAGACGTCTTCCACCACAGCTGAATGACCAGTGAAGATTGTCTTAGCATCAACAACACAGACATCCTTCTCGTCACCACTGATGTCCCACAAACAGATTGTCTAAAAAAATGTAATTTGAAACCATTAGTGTCTTTAAGGGGCTGAAGAACGGAACATTCTTACTTTCACTGTTGAACACACACCCCTAGGGTATTTTGGCTAGAAACCTTGCCAAACGCAGCAACATGCAACACTTTTGAAAGTGAGAAGCCTGCTCAGTGTAGCAAGATCCATCAGGTCAAAAGTCTCAAGACCAAACTGCCACAGAGTCTGTGGTCACCAACTGCAGTAGGATATAACTGTGGCATTGTTCAATAGGACTAGCTCTCATTGTTTCAGAATTGGCCGTTTATGCACTGGTGTTGATGGCTCAATGCAGCAAAGTCCCACAGACTTTTACATTTGATAGCCTGTGTTGCATCTAGCAGGGTTAGGGTTAACCCAAGTGTTAACACAAATCAATATAACAAAAGGTTGTATCCAATTTTTAATCATTAAGTAATTCAAATGTAGCCACACTCACATGATCATCTGAAGCACTGAGGAGATTACCGCTCAGGTTAGGATTCCAGGACAATCCATAGCCTTCCTTCTGATGTCCTCTCAGTCGAAGGTCGGGTTTACACTCGCCGTTGGGATCTGAACAAAAATTAAATCGAATCAGGCCGTTATTATCATGAAAAGAATCATTGAAGCTGTATCAAACCAGGATGCTTATCCAGAAGTAAACAGAAATTTAAACATTTGGTGTGGTGAAACCCTAGGGTTAAGAACCTACCTGGTTTGGAAGGATGCTTTGTGTAGTCAAAGACCAGGACATCACTGGAGGGAGTCTTGGTAGCGATGATGGTTGGGTTTTGTGGCATGTACCTTGCCCGGTTCACTTCTCCTTCATGGTTGATTTTTATTTCAATCTCAATCTTGCCACTAACTGAACCAAATCCTCCAAATTCTTTAAAATAAAAACAGCAAATAAAGAAATGTTTATTGCACAAAAATGACATACCAATGATTGTGAAGAAAAATATGTCCGAACTGTATATTCTAATTTAACCCTCCCTCTCTGGCTGGCAATTTCAACAAGGCACGCCCAGCAGTCAAAATAAATCAAGTAACTGTTTTTAACAGTTGAGTGTTCTCTGCCTTCATAAAGCAGGATTGACTGGCTGTGATTGTTATGAAAACTGATATACAATGTACATGTAGCTATGCTTTGACTGTGGGAGATTGACAGGCCGGCTGTGCCTACCAGTCACGTGCTTTTGTCTGTTGATGGAATTTGACTAGTCACGGTTCCTATTGAAATATGATCTGACTGTTGGTGACTAGCCTGTGTAGAGGGCATGGCAGGGGAACAGGACGGAATTTTTGACTGTCTGTGACTGATCAAACAAAAGGAGGGTTGTAATAAAGCAGCACTTCCTACCTCCCTTTTCACTGTCATAATGAGATGCATCAAACTGAGCGTCATCGTTTGGCAGCTGAACGCTGGCAATCACCAAGTGGTTCTGTTCGTCAGACCTGTGACAAATACATTGTAACAAGAAACTGACCAAAACTGAGAACAATGAACGATAAACAAACTTTCATTGCCTTGTTTTAGCATATGTAATCATGTGATAAACACACACTGCACAATAAAATGAAAGCCATTTACAGCTAGACTTTCACTACTACCTTTTCAGCTACACAAGAAGTTTCCATTTTTGCTCAAGTCATTTTCAAAAGTTATCAGTAAACACTGAAACAACACACAGCTTACAAGTTTAACCCTCCCTTTCTCAGTGACAAAATGGAGAGATACCCTCTCTGTCTATGTCTATCAAGTGACAGTTTTTAAAAGTTTTGTAAATTGGGCTGATATTGGTACAATTGTCACACTTTGGTAATTTTGCCAACTGAACGTATCATACATGTACCTTGCCCCGCAGTACTAGCTATGGTGGGTTTGAGTACTGTCGAGTGCCTGGCAATGATTGATTTGATTCAGTAACAATAAATGCACAAAAGGCTCACTCATGTATATACCAGCAAAAGTAAGGCATTGCCCTCTCTTAGAGGGCAATGGCTGCTACGCTGAAGGTCTATACAATTGCAGTAAAAGTTGTTGCAGTATTCAAAGACACCCTATCTATCAAACACCTTCAACAGGTTTTGACAGTTACAAAAATAGGTATGTGGTTTAATCCACAGGGTTTCTGGGCCTAGGTCTGGGTGAGTAGTGGATTTTCCTACCCGAGTACTCGCAGAGAAATTACTCCTGAGTAGTCATGTACTCGCAAGTAGTTAACTAAATTCCCATAAATACAGAAAAAATGGCATAAACATTTACTAAGAAGGAAGATACTACGAATTGACAGCATGGAAGACACCACATTCTTCAGCACTGAGATACCCTCACTTATGCAAAACTTTGGCTCATTGTACTTGAAAATGTATTTGTTGAGAGAGCTAGTGGAATCCCAAGGATACAGATGGAGGTAGCGATTCCTTTATTGCAGGGGATGTATTAAGACAAAAGACAAGTTTGGAGCAGAAACCATGTCAGCACTTGTAAAACAAAATTGCTACTCACGAATACCTCCTTCTCCTCGCACCACGACGAGTAATAGAGTAGATGAAAAACCACAAGTACAATGAGTAGCAAACACTACTCGCAACTACTCAATAATCGGGTTACTCGCTCAGCACTAGTTCTGGCAGTTGGTGACTAGCCTGTACAAAAGCTTAATCTCATATTTTTCCTTAAAATACATTTAAGTATGGGCCACAAGGCTCACTTGACAAAATATCACATTGAAGGGACTACTTACGTGTGAGTGCCGAGTACCAGTCGATGAATGGAGTAATCTTTGCCTTCTGGCCTGTAGAGTAAAGCACAGATGTATGCATGCGTTATATTAGTAACAAGTCGTCTCATGTGGTCCATTTGATTTATGACTTCACAGTGGGCAATTGTCTTTATAAATTAATATTTCACACATTTTATGCTTTCTCGTTTTTTTTTCTTTCCTTTTTTTATTTTGTGAAAATCTTAAACACTGTTACATTCAGTTAGGCACAGCATCATTAAAGATGAAGCGTGAATATATCATCCATAATTTAGTTTAATGTTAAAACATCAATATCTCCTGATTTGCCCTTATTTCATGTTTTTCCCCTTTTTCCACTGCTTCCGTTGGTCCGAAGTAGAACCTTTCAATGGAAATATTGTTTAATAGTCCCCTTTTCAAACTTTCTCTATAACGGCATCCCTTTCTTTTGGCTCTCATTTCTGACCGACACTTTTTTTGGCTCCCGACCAAAGAAAAAAAAAAACTGCTTTATTACCGCCGACCCTGTCTGAAGCCCAAACTAACAAACAAAAACGAACAGTCAGGTAATCAGGCTGTGAAATCTAAAAGTCATAGAAAATAATATCCAATTGTTTTGGCGAAGCAAGCGTATAGCAACCAATGCAATCCCAAAAGATGCGAGGGGGTTGCCTCTCAAAATATCAGGGGTCTATATGGTTTACCTTTACTGGTATGTCTTGGCTGCCACTACAGCCTGAACGCAAGTGAGCTGCATGGTGCAGATATAATGTAGTCAACAACATCTTGCCAAGGATGGCTTTATTATTTTGTTCAGTGATATCAACCCTGATAAAGCCATTGCAATAAACAAAACTACATGTACAGACAATAAGCACTTGGCATCGCTCAATTTAGCCACCTTAACAGCTGCAACTGCAATTTTTATTCTTCATCGACTGACCGACACTACTCCAGAGGCAAAACAAAATGAGAACCATACAAATAAAAAGGGGCGCCCTACTGGACCTAAAAAGAAGGGTCAACACTGAATGTAGATATTTTGCGCAGCTCACCTTCTGACGTCGGGCAACCACTGAGAAGTCAAACTAGGCCACTCCAAGGCATGGGTCATCACAAGGTCATACAGAAACGGAGTGTTCTTCTTCCATATCTTGTATTCCTCGTTAATGACGCGTTCCTCGACAGCATCATCAAAAGGTTCTGGAACTAAATAGCCAAACAAATGTAATTTTTAAAATTCGTTGGGTTTCTTGTTGTAGAGGCAATAGTGCCCCTGGGCATGGTATTATGATCCCAGCCACTACAGGACGACAGCAATGCTAAACGAAATATCCCATGTTTTTCAGATTAAGCGCATTTACCCATAAATATTTGGGATTTTTTTTATATACATGTATGGTATAATTTTGAAATAAATTTCTTTGATAGTGACGTCACACACGCGCTCGTCGATCTAGCCAAGAAATGGATGGCACAACTCGGTTGACACATTTAATTGTGAGCGGTAAGTTTATCAGAATATTTTGTTCTTTTTTCAAAATTACAGCTTGTTGGGAACAATTTAAGGAGTGTTATGGCATGTTTATGAATGTGTGGATCTGTCCGGGGTAACATGTTTTTCTCATTCTCTTTACCAGTTTGGGGGGCTTTTTCTCCCAAACATGCCCAAGGGCAAGGGTATGCACAAAAATGCATACCATGTGTTAGTGATTTAAAATTAATGTGTAGTCAAAGTATGCCGATTCGGTGGAGCACTTGTACGGAGGGTACCGAAGTTCCAGCGCTCCACTCAGTAGAGCTGCGTGTGTAGGTTTGGCTCAGTCTCAGACTCAGCCAGAGTCTGAGAGTCAGAGTCAGACCCTAGCCCAGGTTGGACGAAGTCTTCATTGCAATACGACTAACGTCCAGGACAAGACTTTTCTACATGAAACCATACAACATTTTTACCAGAGTTTTGTTATGTTTTACCTCGTTATAGAAGCTAATATTTCACGCCTACATACTCTATGTGTCCTTATCTGTTAGCACGCTGGGTTCAGGAATTCCATATGCGATGCTGACTGACGTTAATCAGGAAAATAAACTCCAAAGCAACGTTAAACTTGTAGGTGTTTGTAGTCGCTTTTCATCAGTTTATTCCCAGAGTCGTACGTCATGTACAATGTACATGATATGTACAAATATGTACGTGCGTACAATCCGAAAGCGCGCACGCACGCTAAGCGCCCTCATTTGTTTAGTTTTGGTTGGAACCGTGACGTCACTCCAGCCAACCGATGTCAGGAAAACGCTCAACCAATGACCAAAGCCGAAACGTGTTTCTGGTAACTGGCGCGAAAACACGCTCGGTCATTGGATTAGCGACCGCACCTTCAAGTAAGTGCGCGTGCGTATGAGGGTGGTTACTAAGCAAATCGCGCGTGCGCACTGCATATTCATGCAGCATAGTCTGTCCCCCGGACCAGATGTGATAATGAGCGTCGAGAATAATTGTCCGGTCTAGGGAACCAGACTACACGCTGCACCGTACAGACGTACATGATGTACGACTAGAATAGACTCGACGGTGAGAAACTGATGAAAAGAGACTAAACACGTACAAGTTTAACGATGCTTTCGAGTTTATTTTCCCGATTGACGTCAGTCAGCATCGCATATGGAATTCCTGAACCCAGCGTACTAACAGATAAGGACACATAGAATACTACGACGTAAAAATTAGCTTCTCCAACAAGGTAAAATTATTGAAATTATTGGTCAGAAATGTTTTCGTTCGGTTGAGAGCACATGTGTACTCAGGACTCCCTCCGTAACGTAGGGAGGAAAGGGAGTCCACCAGGGCTAAGTCAGACCCGTACCTCAGTCATTGTCACTGTCAGTCATGTCAGTAGAAATTCAGTATTTGAGCCACATTTACGGGGCTAGAATTTTAAGTTGTTATTTTGGATGTTTGTCACATCTCCTAGTAGGCCTACATGTCCTTATTTTAGGCTTTGTCTGGTATCTGGTGCTGTCTGTGTCCGGTTACTGGGCATACACGGCCATGACAATGTACGTCCATGTCGTCAGCATGTGTCCGATCGAATGAATGACAACACACAAAGTCAAAGAGCTTTTGTAACATTAGTATTTACTGCCTGAATGTAAAATGTGCTTACAAATCTCTACCAAATTCACAATTTTTGATCGCCCTCGTTATTAATATAATTTTGTAAAAAATACCTTGTTCCTTATCTGCCATTTTCAAACAAGTTCGATGTGGTATCTTCGCGCAATAACACACGTTTCCGCGCCAAATCAGGTTGGTCCTTGTTCGAGTGCACGCTGGGCTGGTGACCGAATAATGCACTTCAAACTTGCGGAAAATAAGGGAACCAGGGAAATGTTGAAATATCACATCAACAGAGGGCGCTAAAACATTATTTTGCGCCATCTGCACCCCTAGTTTAAATTTACTGCCGCGCGCAGTGTGAGCCTAGCCTACGTTGGGCCAAAACTTCTCGGGCCAGCTTTCCCCAGTAATTGCAATTATTATTTTATAACAACTTGATTTAACTACATAAATTTTGCGATTTGAAACATTAAGCTTTTTATCGCGCATTTAATTTTTTTTATAAGCTATTTAATTAAATCATCTACTATGATCTGTAAACATTAAATCAAATTATGATTTTATTAAACTAAGAAGTCTCCGTGTTTGAGTTTAATGAAATTGTAGTTTGATTTAATTCAATTCAATGTTTATAGATGATTCTTTTTTTGAGTGGGGGCGGGGAGGGGGTTCTTATATATTCAAGTCATATTTTGTTATTCTCATATTTTCCCCTCACATTTCTGGATACAGGGTCCTCTTAAGAATAGCACTACTGATGAAACAGTCCAGTAGAAATAAAACGACACTAAAATAAATCTGTCTATACAGGGTATTCACAGCCGTTTTCCCACAGTAATTTTATATGCGAGATTTAACCTCGGTGAGGTTATGTTGCGCATCTCTAGTCCTAGGACTGATGACATACCGTCAGCTACACCACGAAGTAACACCCATCATACCAGTAAAAACTAGCAATCGGAGAAAACGGCATCTAAAGTTGAACACCTTCTTAAACAACACTGTGCGTCAAAATGGCAGAGTATTTTCAGTTGGGTTTCTCGTTGTGAACACTTGATGAATTGAATTTATTAAATATGCTGTTTTTTCACCCGTTTCAGTGTGTATTAAATCAACAAGAAATAAGAGAAAAAAGGTGAGTGTTAACGAAAATTGTCACTTTTGCGCAAAAGTTGCCATGGATAATTAGCGTAAACTAATTAAAGTAAAGCTCTTGAAGCTTTGAAACTTCGTGCCAGGCCTTGATGAAAAATGTTTAAAATGTAAAATGGTGCCTGATGTTTAAAAATGTAAAAAAAAAATGAAAATCGAAAAAATAAAATGTGTTTAACAGAATGTGTCCCGTGTAAAAGATCCACCATTATCACGTATCAAAAGTATACCCTTCATGCCCTTGGCATCCGTAGGCATCCCCTTTTATTAAGAGTACTACCAATCCGAAGAGTCAGTTTTCACGTATTTTAAAATTTCCGAAGGATCTTAACAGAGAACACTTCTGCTACAGCAAGACCACCTCCCGGGGTAAACACAATGCCGAAGGGGTGGTCCAGTCCACAAGCCACACACCCCTGGTACACCCCGTAGGAATTGTAATGGTGCACCTCGGAGCTTGCTGTTTCGTCTCTTTGAGTACAGAAACGTATATTTCGCCAGCCTCATCACAGCATACACCACGGGGTACAATCGTACGTGCTGAATGTTCAAAAACCATCAAAACGCAAGGGACTGAAGACAACTCACAGGATTCATTGCGTGATTCAATTTTGCACAATTTTAATTAACACATGGGAATTTGATATAGGAGAAATATGGTCGAAATTGTTCAGGCTTTTATGCAACAAATGTTAATAGTAGTCTTGGTCCAAGACTGAATTTCATTTTATTCCCTTTATACAGCTGGTCCATGACCAGCCAGGTTTCCCAACAAAATTAATCAAATCCATTTTTGGCAAGACCGGCAGCGCTACCCAGGAAAGTTCTGAGTGTACCTCACGCTACGTGAGCTGTATTCAAGCTGATGCATGCGTGTGAGGCATGCTGGGAATGTCCTGGGTAGCACTGCCAATATTGCCAAGACTGGATTTGATCCTTCTGGTAGAGACCTCCACCGCCGCCGCAACTTTGAACCCGCTGCAGGGAATACAAATTCAGTCTTCTACCGAGACTATATTAGCTGAGCCATCCCCACTAAAATAAATGTACCATTCCCCCCACGTTCAGTCATTTCTGTAATAACACCTTCACATGTTAATGTTTTATTTACAATACTTTGTGCGCTTTGTTTTAATAAATCAAGTTAAATGTTATATAAAAGGATGTGACGTTTACACATTTAAACAAAAAAGAAGAAGCTAAATCCATTTACAAATTTTCCCAAACGACAAACGAAAATTGTTGATTTTCATGTCAATCATGCCCGTCTATAAACATAATGGGCAGGTGTCAAATGGCTGAACGCTTAAATGGATCTGAAAATGAAAGCTAAAACTTTTACAAAACTAAACACGAAGTCAAATCTTTAGTTCTATTTAATTTACATGCATTGCAAAACAAACACCCACCCCCAAACACACCTTATAGAAATCCAATCTGGGGGACTGAGGAACCCCAAATGTACACTGCAATTAAAAGCGAACATTCCACCAATATAGGGGTTCTGTAATTGGACATGAAAAGGAAAAACTGATCCCAAAATGTAATGTGGGCATACCACAGTTTCTTTCACAGTTTTTCCATCATGTTTTGTACAAATTCGCATTGTCCAAAACATTTTCCCAAAGACGGGGTCTACTTGCTTTGATAATACATGAAAAATACAGTTAAATGATTACACAAAATAAGATACACGTGTATTAAGAAAGTTAAAGAAAAACGAAAATCTTCACTATCGAGAGTATTCAAACTTTCATTTTAGGTGCCTCAGAATAGTCCAAACGATTGAACAGGGAAATGAAACAAATGTGAAAGAAACCTACATCTTGATGCACATGCTAATGTATTATGAATATAATATACATGTAATCTTATAAAGTTCGCATCATACCAAATCTCCCAAATGATTTCCCCCCCCACCCCCCGGAGTCATTAATCCACCCAAACTTGTCCCCCCCCCCAACCCAAAGAAAAAGTCTCTTTCATAAGCCGTATCACAGGTACCACCATCTGGACAAGCGCAAAGCACGGTGCACAGAACCATGCATATTCTATTTCTCAAGATACTGTTGCAAGATGGCAGCCCCCATGATCCCGCTTATGTCGCCTCTTCCCATCGCACCTGACTCAGTTGACAGCTTCTGCCCTGGTCTCATCTCCTTGCTTCACCTTGTAATTGGCCAATGCTGCCCTAATGGCATCCTCTGCCAACACTGAGGACAGACAAAAAATAACAGGATGTGACTTGGTGTATTAATGTTAGTTCTAATCCATTTTAGCACAATTAGTCAGGTGATAACTATGACCCCTAGATGACCTTGACCTAAAATGTCACACGTCATCTTAAGTCCCCCTACCCAAAGATTATTGTCACCAAGTTTGGGTGAGACTGAAGGCTGACGTTTAGTCTGCACTAACAGTTAACCTATTAAAAATGAAAGACATTCACATACAGAAGGAGTACACTATCACACGATCCCCCTTTCTTGTCTTAAAAGCCAGAAGGATAAACAATTGAATAGAAACCTCCACTTCGGCTGGCAAAATACTGAGGACCTTTTACATCTTTGCCTCATGAAAATTTTGCAGAATTTTGTCAGCTAATAAGAGTGAGTAAAGTTGGCCTGATTTTGTTTGGCATGTTTTTCTGCACTCAAGGTCTGATTCTTGGGTACTGCCTGGTAAACTCACAATCTTCCCATCATGAATTACATCTGAAAGCTCAAGAAACTTTTGGGTTGATTACGTGAAAGTAGACAGTTGTGAGTGATATTCTTACTTGAGCAATGTAGCTTGACGGGAGGAAGACACAACTCCTTAGCAATATCCGTGTTCTTGATCTTCAAGGCATCGTTCACCTATTCACACGAGACAAAACCAGTACAAATGTACATGTATTGGTGTAAAAATTGGACTGATATATTTTGAAAACCTTAACCCTAAATGTCAAAAATGTGCACATCGCTGATTTCGCAGGATGCACTGTGCCAAGTTCTTAGTGACAGAGAATTTTGGAGTATTGAGGCTGTACATGTATGCTATTTTTACATGGCGGAAGTTGGAGGATTTTGCAGGATTGAGGTTACATGTACATCTGAGCAGAAATGATTATGAGCGAAGAATACTGCTTTAACACATGGACAAAAATGAGCCACTCACTGATTTTCCCTTGACCCATTCAGTAGCAAGTGAGCTCGATGCAATTGCTGACCCACAACCAAATGTCTTGAACTTGGCGTCCACAATCTTGCCGTCATCATCAACTTTGATCTGAAAGAAAATCAAAAGCAACTTGTATTAAGTAGATGGGCTTACAACAACAGAACTAATTACCAGGTGCCACCATGTCTTGGTGCAGATTGCACACAAGCACTCAATCTGTGCCTAGTCAAACTGGGTCAACAGACAAAGCATGCAAGTTGTGGTCACAGTTGATTTATCACTCACCCAGAGTCAAACCATAGCTCTATCAAGTTACTTAACCAGTCCAAGGCCGTCAATCCTGCTTATGTGGGCTGGGAATCCCTAAAGGTTGCAACAGTCACTGGATTGTTTTTGACTGCAACTTGTGCAAGGACAACTTGGCACAGAATGCATGTTTGCATAGGACATGTAGGAAGGTTAAAGAACGGGGCAATTTATGAAGAATTCAACAATAGTAAAATAAAACCTATTAAAACAATGACATTTCTTTACTCAACACCGTGCACACAGTCCACACATAGGATACCTGGAGTTTCATGACATCTCCACATGCTGGTGCCCCGACTAGACCGGTTCCCACAGACTTGTCATTCTTGTCCATGGATCCCACATTCCTAGGGTTCTCGTAGTGGTCAATCACCTGCAGAATTTAAGTTAGGCAAAAAAAATAAAATACTTCTGCTTCCGATTACATGGCATTTAATATTAGGGTAGGTAGGTAGGTAGGCAATTTTTTGTGCCTCGGTATGTAGTCAAGGGCAAAAATATAGTATTATGAAAATTGCATCACAGTCACACGTCCACCATTTTGTTCTACGCTGTAAAATAAAATTAAAAGGAGATCTGACGACCCTTTGTTGAGTATCATCAGACGACTATTTACTGTTAGACTGTACGCTGACTAAATACATAAAACAGTCACAGAGTTGTGCACATATCGCACTTAGGACGTGTTTTGTGAAATGGATTATAGGACGCATCACAGCTGCGACGCATGGTAGAGCTGCGAAGCATCGTACTCGTAGGGATACGAGCATCGCATGATTGCAGTGCTACGATGCATCAGAAGTTTCTTACAGTGAGTTTCATAAAATCGGGTGCTGCTGATATGGGCCAGCCGGGGTCTTTTTAGAATAATTGTTGATGTAAGTTATAACTTATAGCACGACCAACACTACACAGTCATTGAATCAATACGGTCAACATCATCACTGGCACTGCATTGCTATTATAATATAAGTCTCGTTCAAATTACGTCATTTTCTACAGACTATCCATCCATGTGCATCGGCATTTTGAGCGTCAACTTGCATAACGCGCATCGGCCATGTGTGTGTCAGCTGTGTTGTAATTTGTATTTTTAACACAATTCGAGCAACAAGCGCAGGTGTTTGGAACATTTTCAACACTGCACAATGCGTGCTAGATTGCGTAAAATACGCAGTTGCACTTCTCCTACAGAAATGGCCGTCATTGAACGAGCCCTATTTGTACACATATTCCTATGCAAAAACGTGTGTAGACTAGAAAGGGGCCAATTCAAAACATGACTTGTTTTGAGAAGAAAAGGCTTCAATACATTTTTGTGGTAACCAGCTTCTGAAGAGCTGCTGGCAATTCTGGCCTGTAACAGTGGTCGAAGTGACCTTCCAAGCTGCCGGGCAACTGACATCTTCGTCTAGAATGTCGCCGATTGCAGTTAAAAAAACGGGTAGGAACTTCCAATCTCGAGACGAAAGTTACACAACGCACACTGCGCACTTATTATTACTTAGAATGTAACTGGTGTGCATCATTTTGACGAGAGAACCAAAGTCTTTTGATGCATAGCGGGAGGGAGGGAACCAGCGAATTTACCGCACCTTACCAATTGGTGGCGCGCTTTATAATTTACGGAAGACGGAAACTGAGAAAGTGCCGTCTGCTCTTCCTTTTATGTTGCGGAAACAATTAAAGCTGAAAGATATTACTTTTAGACGGTTCATACAGCATAGTATTAGTGGAGTGAAAATAATATAACATGGCTGGCGGTGATGATGGTGAGTTGTCCGTCAAATTATGGGGAAAATGTTTAGGAAAAAATATGGCAACCTGCCAGTGCCACTTCCGCCAATAGATAGTGTGTACAAAGTCTATGGAGATTCAAGAAAATTGTCTAGACAATTTTCTTGACTAGTTGTTGTAACTTGTACACACTATTGGCAGAAGTTGTGGTACATTAAAAACATTGGAAACATTTTTCAGTCCCATATTCATGGCTTATATTATCATCATTTTTGCAATGAATGACCTTCAGATTGATGAAGAAAAATAGAGGCGTCAGGTTGCAACATTTTTTCCAAAGTAAAGTTTATCATCTGTCTAAGTTATGATGAATATGTTTAGCTTTTTTTTGTGGCTGATGTAATGGCTTGGCTGATGCAAAAAGTGTGCCATTGTCAGTTTGCTGAGTACTTGAGTGACATCACATGTGATGTGGGAGGTTGTTGCCATGGTTACCAAACGCACACATTCATATTAAAAAGGTGACATATATATGGGCTGTTCATGAAACTTTACAGAAGTCGATAAGAACAACATAGTCAGAGAAAGGCCCGCCTTTACACTTCCCAGAACAGCTGTTTTAGTTTTTGTAACCACCGTAACATAAAAGTTCATTTTTTGCTTGATTGTATTCTTAACAAATTCATAACAGCCGTGGAAAAAGATTATGGGCAGTCAGGAAAAGCAGGTTTCTAAACTACATGTACAGTGAATTGGTAAAAGGGAACGAGTGGTGTATATCGCATTCTGGAAATAAACTGTTCATTTTCTAATTTACTAGTGGGAAGTGTTCTCATGTACTTGTTGACAGATATTCCTCCCTTGGAGGATATGAGTGAGGTATCGGAACAGATTCAGGGTCTAAAGGAAGCATCCTCCTACTCATCAACGTCATCAAGCAATCTGGAGATGACTACTGCATCTCCTACTGTTGCTAATGGCAACGCATCATCGACATCATCAACAAATGAATTACTGAGCAGTTCCAAATCAGCAAAGTATAATAACCCAAAGGTATTGTGTGTTCTAGGTTTGACAACGTGTGCGTTTTGAAAGTAAAGATTCCTTAGTTAGGCTGAGTGAAACAAAACCAAATAGTTTCTGATCCGGGCTTTTTGAAAAAAAATGAAGGAGGCTCTATGCCCCCGTTTTTCCCCCAAGATGACAGATTTTCTAAGATGGCGCATGAATTCTTCCATTGTTTCAATTTTTTTGCTGATACAAAATTGTACTAAGGAGCCGTCACCCTTTTCACATAGCTACAATTTTGCTGGAAACAAATTGAAAGACAATACAGGCCCTATTGATAACATTTGCAAAATATTTTGCACATTATGAATAAAACAAAATACAAAAAGGAGCTGGTGGGTGGGAAAAAGGAAGCAAGCGAGGACAGGAAACTGGTTTATTTTTTTACTTGGCCTCAATGAACAAGTGCAAGTAGCCTGATGGGTGCTTTCGAGTAGCTACCCCGGATCGATAGATAAAGGCGGACGGTGAGCCACGACAGCCGGACTAATCAAACCCTTCCGTAGCCGCGGCCGGCCGTAGCTGCTGACAAAATGCTTGTGGATTGAGTTTTAGTTTAAGATTTAGGCCTACTGCTTTTCAGTCTATAATGCAAAACTCAAAAGTGTTGGCTAGAATTATAGCCTCAAAAGTCGCAATGAACTCATAACAATTTTTTGATATTTGGGTCCAATTAAGATTTCCGCAGCCTTTGCCGCCATGTTTGTCTATTTCTAGGAATGAACAACACATGCGTGTGACGTATTTCCACAACTGACGCTGCTCCATGAGCAGGGTGTGTGGTGGCTGACCCAGATGAGCCCCAAGTGTAACTTCAGAACTAATCAAACAGTACGGGGCCAACCCGACTACCCGAGTCTATCCGGGTGAGCTAATCAAACACACCCTATACTTTTTATTTATATACAAGTCTGCTTTATTTACCAATTTCAATATTTTTGGGTGTAATTTTGTTTTTGGAGCCAGGTATCTACCCAACCAGTGAAATATTGCAGCTCATCAACTGGCAGCTTTGGCGGGATGAAGAAAGGTTTCCTCTTCGGTGCGCCCAGCAAGAAAACCACCTTCCCTGGTAAAACAACAGCCAGCCCAGCCAAATCCACACAGGCAGCAGATCCTAATCCAGTGGGTGGTGAAGACATCCCCTTGATTCGACCGAAGAAAGATGACGGGGATAGCAAGGAGAAGTATCAGATTGATGAGGTACAGGAGGCATTGAAAGCCACTGCTCCACTCCTGCAAAGGAAAGGTACTCAACGAAACAAGTTTTAATTTTTGGGAACAGTAGACAGACCGATCAACCACCAAATGACATGTAGAATCTCTTGCCAGAGCTTAAAAACTCACCCATCTTTTTTGCAGGCTTTAGTCCAAGCCAAATTTTAGCAGAGAAAATTTCATCAACTTCTATCTTTTGAATTAGGGTAAACTACTTTTTACTAAAATTACTAAAATGTTCATAAAAAAGATGGTGAGTACTAAGTGACCCATTTAAGTAAGGCCAAGTAAAACAATTAACCAGTTTCTCGTCCCCGACTGCTTCCTTTTCCCACCTGCCTCTTTGCATTTTATTTATTCAGACATATGCAATGTATTTTACACATTTTGTGAGTACACAGTCTTTCTATTTGTTTCCATCAAAATTGTAGCTATGTGGAATCGATCACAGCTCCTTTGGATTCAATTTTGTATCAGACTATCAGATTAAACACTATCAGATTAAACACTACATATTAAACAGTGATGAAGTCGAGTCCACCTCATCCGAGTCCGAACCAAGCTGAGTCCACAAAGGCTCGAGTTGAACCAAGTCCGAGTTCATATTTGTCTGAGTCCTGCTCAGTATAACGTCCAAATCTTTAAGTCCGCGCAAAGGCCAAGCTTAGTCGCCAAAGGGTTTTTATAGTAGAACACCTGCACAGAGAATTACATTGAACATACAGTGACTGTCGCATTGGTGTCTTGCGATTATTTTACAGCCTGTATGTTGTGGCGTATCTAAAAGAGAGTTCCCCAGGCAAGGGTTAAAAGTGATCAGACAACAGACGTGGGATTTGTTTTGAAAATAGTTTCAACTTTTTTGTCAAGTTTATGCAGAGTTTTTTGACATGGGTTCACTTCGAGTCTGACACGTAGTTTGAGACAGCCACTATCCGAGTCTAAGCCAAGCGAAGTCTAAAAGGCCACGAGTCTGAGCTGAGTCATAAGTCCAAAAAATGAACTGAAGTCCCCACTCGACACCCCTTCACCACTGGAATCCCTCAGTCTCCTGACAATCGGCAGAGTATACATGTACTGTCTGAAACTTGGCTCTTTTCAGAACCTCACAAAGTCACAAAAGAGATTAGTTTCATAGTACAGCAGTAAACTTTATCTTGTTGCTGTCGTCACTGTCACACTACCTCTTAGAGGTTTTTTACAGACATTATTTTAGAGGGAACTGAACACGCCAAGTACATGGGGACACAGACAAATAAAAACAAGGTCAACTCAATCGTGGGTTCTCAAACTTATTCACTTAAACCGTCTCTTATTCACGATCAAAATTTACCAATTCCAAAAACTATGATATGAAATTACACTCAAATAATCGAACAGAAATTTGGGCCCAGACAAGTTTTAAAATCTCAAGTATTCGTCTCCAAATTTACAATTTCAAAGTTATAAAATGGACGTCACAATTAGAAAGAGGATTTTACATGAGCTGCACTAAAATTATTTGAGATTCTAAAATTCAGTAATCAATGCATTCAGAAATCTAATCAGTAAAATAGCTCACGATATCTAGATGAGTTGTACCCGTAATTCAATTATTCAATTCCACAAAATGGCATAGTCCAATCTAGGTTGATCACTTAAATCAAATTTATCAATCAATTCTATCAAATCTATCAATTCTTCAAAATTTCAATTCTGAAATCATCACCTCTTAATTCTTCTCCAATTTTCAATTTCTGCACTTTCCTTCAAATTTCATGAATCTTTAACTCAAACACTCCTTGTTTGACACTTAGTGTTTTATCACCACAATTAATTCTAATAACCTTAATTCTCAACTTGTAACAATTCACAACTTCAAATCACCAATTAACCCGTGAAGTTTCAAACTTTCACTTCTTTAAATTCAATCACAAAATCTTTGTTCAATCTCAAAATTTCTCAATTCGTTTCTTAGATTCACTTATTAATCACTGTGTCTTCAATTTGACCTCAAAATTCACAAATCGTAATTCACTTCAAGTTTATCAATTTTCTCTTCTGTTTAAGTTGAAACCTTTCTGTTTCTATCACAATTTTCTCTTTCAATAACACTTCTTTAATTTTTGTTCAAACACTTCTTCCAATTTTGGTTCAAACACTTCTTCAATTTTGGTTCACACCCTTCTTCAATTTTGGTTCAAACACTCCTTTAATTTTCGTTCAAACACTTCTTCAATTTTGGTTCAAACACTTCCTTAATTTTTGTTCAAACACTTCTTCAATTTTGTTTCAAACACTTCTTCAATTTTAGGTCAACCTTTTTTTCTTTCTGTATTAATCGCAAGTCATTTAGATTACCAATACCACATCAAATATTATCTTCGGGAAAATTGAATAATTATTAATCCTTCTTTCAATCTTGTTGATTTAAAAATATTAATACTCTCACATTCAAAATCCAAATCAAGTTTATGGTATTTCGCCAGTTATTTTATACAATCATAAAGGTGACTGCCGCCAGATCCTTGTCAGCCTGCCAACTGTCTATGCAGCATCACTCAGATTTCGGTCCAAGGGGTCCGGTAGAGGTAGGAGTCCTGGACAAGAGCTTCAGTTCCTCAGGGAAGTGCGAGGCTCACTCTACTCGGTAGAAATATCTCCCAATTCTTTGTGCCATCTGAGATTAGAAATTTTACAAGCCAAAATCCCACTAAGATTCCGCACCATTTTTAGCAAGTAAAGAATTCAATCTCAGATTTTGCAATTAAATCAATTTCACTTCTAATTAATACAAGAAATAAAGTGGGCAAAGAAAATAATTTAAACTTACAGTTAGCATCTTCGAAACTCTCTTGGAGTTGCATACAATGTCAGCTTTTTATGCAGACCACAGACTGTCAGTATAAAACTGTGATTGTTGGCTGTTCAGGCTAAAGCTGGCAATAAAAATCAGACTAGCTGTATGATTCTAGTTTCAGGACAAAATAGGTCCTCTCTCTCGTGTGTCTGGCGAGCAAGTGCCTGCAGTAGCTAAGCATAGGCAAAACCCCAAGCCACTCCCATGCAAGGAATTTTGGAAGGCATTTGGCAAATGTTCATACTCTACTAATCACTCATACTGCTAACTATGGCGCACACGGGTAACAAAGCACTTTCCTTGGCACACCCACATACCATGAATGGCTTACTCAACAATACTGAATATTCATCACTGGAACTTACAACCTATCACTAAATCCACACACACACCCATACAAACACTCAAAACCACTCAACCAAATAAATCAGTTCAATGAATAAATGAAACTAAGGAAAATATACGCAGTCACTTGTGACAGTCACCATGAAAACCTTCAGATCTTTCAAAAGTCATCTTCATAATTGAATTCTTAATAATAGAGCAGTATAATCAGCAGATTAAGACTTTGCATCCCTGGTTTTTTGTTTCCTTACCAGAGTGGGTCACTGACGATCTCCTATCAAATGTTGAGAAGCATCCTCGTCTGGCCAAGCAGCTGACAGATCCTAGATTCGCTTCAGCCGTTCAGAAGTTCCAGACCAACCCACACCAGGCTATGCAGGATTACAAGGATGATACGGAGGTGCAGCAGTTCTTGAAAGATTTCTCAGCTCTGCTTGGTAAGCTAGGCTAGTGTTCTTTCTTTCGCATATTTAATCAAACATTATAGCTTTCACATTTCAAATGATTTTCTGCAATTAACGATATCTCATCACTTCCCTGGTCCTGGCAGGTGATCATTTCTCCACTATGGGAGGATCTTCCCCGCCCTCCTTTCCTTCATCAGTCCCGCCCCCTCAAGGGACCATCAGAACCCACGACAGCCCTAACGGAGCCGACATCAAAGTGAAGAGCAGCACTAATCCCAAGCAAGCCACGGCGGAAGACGAAGCCAAGATGCAGCAGATCTTATCCGATCCCGAGATCAGAGAGATCATGATGGATAAGAAGATACAGAGATTAATGGAAGCCTTGAGGAATAATCTGGATCAAGGACAAAGGTAAATCTCAGTATCTCTCTTATTTTCTCAACACACGGCCTGGAAGAGTAATTCATTTTAATATTTGAATAATAAATTGACAGTATTAAAACTCCTGTCCTAAATCTTGTCTTGCCCTCCAGAATTCTCCAGTCAGCTGACCCCGAGATGCGAGCCAAGATTCAAAAGTTGGTGGATGCAGGACTGCTGGGATTTGCTCCTTAACAGGTCAAAAAGGTCAAAGGTAATTAAAGGTCATTACAATGTGTCTGTCCATGGAGTACCGAAGTGAATACGTCTCGCACACAAAATGCGTGTGAAAGACATATAAGCGCGTGGTTCAGCCCGTGAACCAACACGCGTGCGTACTCCATTCGTTTGCACTACCCTTTCTGGTTCTAAATAACATCACAATTCGGTACTCCATTACATGCTGGTCATTGTTAAAAAAAAAATAACTTGGGGTTCTTCAGAAACTACATTGGAAAGACAAATACTCCTGAAGTCCTCCATGAGAACAATTGCGACTGGATTGCCCGACCCATAGATTTGCTAACCTGCCTTATATTCACATTCCCAACTGTCCTTGTCAAAAATAATGACATTTTCTGCTAAGAGTTAGCTTCTGGATACGTTTTGAATAATTTTTAAAAATTCCGTCCAGTTTTGTTTGTACATTTTTTGTTGTTGTAAAAATTGTAAATAAAGACTGGAATCCGCCAGCTAATTTGTGACTCCATTTCATGTATTCAACAGTTCAATTTTTTTTCTAAATTTCGGCAAGGCAAAGGACTAATGTAAGGGGAGCATCATTCAATATTGAGACAGCTATGATTTGCAAAAACAGTTGTAAAAAAGGGGTTAACCTTACTTTTTGGCTCAAATGTGGCCAAAAAAATACTTTTCTTCAAACTTGGCAAAATGACTCTTCATGGAAGGGGACCATGATTCAATATTGAGACGGCTATCATTTCGAAGATTTGGTCAAAAATAATTAATTTCGGAGAAAAAAAATGAATAATAACTTTGACTGATTTTGTCCCAAAATATTGAAGCATCATTTCCTTATCAAGGCAGTTTTCTCCAGAGATCCAGTGGGAACGCATTCTAGGGTCCCTCAGGCATCTTTCCAGAAAATTTGGGGCAAGTTCATTTTTTGGCTAAAATTAAAAACTTTTTTGCTCAAATTTGGCCAAAAAAATTACTTTTCTTCAAACTTCCCAGAAATGACTCTTGATGGAAGGGGAGCATGATTCAATATTGAGACAGCTATAATTTCGAGGATTTGGTCAAAAATAAGCAATTTTTGAAGAAAACATTAATAATTTGACTTATTTTGTCCCAAAATATGGACCCATTTTCTCCAGAAATTGAATGGGAACGCATTCTAGGGTCCCTCAGGCATCTTTCCAGAAAGTTTGGAGCAATTTCATTTTTTGGCCAAAATTGAAAAAAATGTGAGGGGTTAACCTTACATTTTTAATCAAGTTTTGCCCAAAAAATGAAATATCATGAAACTTGCTAGGAAGATACCTCAGGGTCCCTAGAACACGTTTCCACACCTACATCGGACAGATAGGTCTTTAAAAAGAAAATATTGCGTCCACAATTTGAGGTAAAATAGGTCAAATACATGTATATGAAATTTTACCCAATAATGTCACAATTTTGGCCAAAATTTATCGAATTTTGCCGGTCTGAATATTAAATCATGCTCCCAAAGCATCCTTAAGCATTTCTGAGTTATTTGGAGAAAATTCATTTTTTGGCCAAAATCCAAAAAAAGTAAAGGCTACCCCTTACATTTTTTTCAATTTTGGCCAAAAAAATGAAATTTCATGAAACTTGCTAGGAAGATACCTCAGGGTCCCTAGAACACGTTTCTACACCTACATTGGACAGATAGGCCTTTCAAAAGGAAATATTACGACCACAATTTGAGGTAAAATAGGTCAAATACATGTATATGAAATTTTACCCAATAATGTTACAATTTTGGCCAAAATTTAGCGAATTTTGCCGGTCTGAATATTAAATCATGCTCCCAAAGCATCACTATGCATTTCTGAGTAATTTGGAGAAAATACATTTTTTGGCTAAAATTGAAAAAAGAGTAAGGCTAACCCCTTACATTTTTTTCAATTTTGGTCAAAAAATGACTTTTCTTCAAACTTTGCAGAAATGACCCTTGATGGAAGGGGAGCATGATTCAATATTGAGACAGCTATAATTTCGAAGATTTGGTCAAAAATAAGCAATTTTTTAGGAAAACATTAATAATTTTGACTAATTTTGTCCCAAAATATTTACGCATAATTTCCTTTTCAAGGCAATTTCCTCAAGAAATCGAGTTGGAACGCATTCTAGGGTCCCTCAGGCATCTTTCCAGAAAGTTTGGAGCAATTTCATTTTTTGGCCAAAATTGAAAAAATGCGAGGGGTTAACCTTACATTTTTAATCAAGTTTTGCCCAAAAATTGACTTTAGTAACAAAGCTGGTGAAATTAGGCAGATACATTGTGTATGGATGTTTTGAAGGTCTTTTTTTTGGATAATTGAGAATGTACAAACACCATAATAAACCAAACAGGTTTCAGTTAATCTTCACACACAACAAATACATTTATTTTTCACAACTTGCAATTCGTGTTCATGTTCAAGAAAATGTGTTTACTTTTTTACTCTCAGAATAAAATGATGCCTTCTTTTTCTCTTGTACAGGAAATCTTTTACATTAAAATGTACTTTTAATCATTTCAAAATGTACAATTGTGCAAATCAAGTCGAAGATCAGATGGCTTACAATCCTGTTAATGAAGTCTACCTGCAAAAAAGGTAGAAATGGGCCATAAATGACTGTCATGTACAAACTTCTGTTTGTTCAGCAACAGATCTGATACATTCGGGTGCAGAGCTTTCATGTTTCCATGATGGTATGTTATTATAAGAACAAAGAATTTGCCAGAATGTGGGTTTGAACTTGCGAAACACTGTTAGTCAGCCCAATGTTGGCAGTCTATTAAAATTTCACTATAGAGGTAGAGAACATCATTTGCAGCTATCCAAAAAGTAACTGACAAAATATTGTTGAAAAGCTTACTTGGTTTAAAGACAGTATTGACACTAAATTCCCTCAGAAAGTTATATTTCTGGCATGCTGTCATTTTGAAAAACCCCAAAAACAGAAAAGAAGGCCATTTCCAATGATGCATTTTTTTTTAAATTTCCGTATATTCGTGTTTTATTTGGCAAGGGGTACATGTATGTGCAAGAGTTGAAAGGGTGCACACGTGTGCTGTTGTTATAATTCATCAGTACAGTGCACGACTCATGAAGCTGCAATCTGCTGAAAAAGAACAAGTCCCAGATGCTGATTTCGAGAGTGATTCAAAAAGTGCCTCGGCAACTTTTTCTCAAAAACTGATTGTTGAATGGAAATCACCTACATTTCTTGACTTCTCCTAAATAACAGCAAGCCAGACAGAATAATTTCATGTGGTGTAAAGAACTAGTACGATCTTCAATCCAAGTGATATACAAGCAACCATCCATTAGATAATAATTTGGTAGTTTACTTTGGGGATACATTCAAAGGATCCTATATGCCTTCATGTTTGTCTGATTACTCTGGCAGCATGTAATCTCCAACCTCATCATCACCAACCTCATCTTCTGTCTGATCTCGTATGCGGGCCGCCATCTTGGGGTGCTCGGTGCTTGATTTGATATGATTACTCTGGTAGTAAGTCATCTCCCAACTCCTCATCACCAAACTCATCTTCTGTCTGATCTCGTCTGCGGGCCGCCGTCTTGGGTCGTTCAGTGCTCGGGCCCAGGGGGTCAACGTAAGATGCATCTAGAATTACAAATTGAAAGGGCCCAGATAGTTGTGCGACAAATTTTTTCGTAGATTTTTCATTTTTAAGAATACCTCGGGGACAACTCAATATAGACTATTCCAAGTGTAGGTGACTCTGCTTACAATAAGTGAAGAATTCTTGCTAACCACAGCAGAAATTTTGCATTAGTTGTTTGCATACAGCACATATTAGCAAGTCATATTCCATTAATGGGTCCTCTTAAATGTATGAAAAGTATTTGAAATCCCTTTTGGTTAATTTTATTGACAATTTTACTTTTCAAACATTTAAAATGTTGCATGCATTTCCAGACAGTTGCTGCTGTTGCTGCAATGACATTTCAGGAAGCCATGTTCGGTTTAGGGGATTTTCTGTTGAAATCGTAAACCCAAAATTTTCGAATTGAAAATATTTGTTTTGTGAGGAAAGTTTGCTCATTGGCGTACTGCCATGTACTGACACAACAGTTAATCACCAAAAAAAAGAAAGTTAATGACAGCAAAGTACCCAAACATCTGGCAACATTTGTTGCTGCCATTGAGGTTTCTGCCTGAAATGGCATCACATTTTTGTTCATGAATATGGAAATTAGCTTCAGCATAAAAAACAAAAGCACCAAAATACCCTTCAAAACTGCAAAAAGAAAATCAAAAATAGGGTTTAATGGCAAACACAGGTGCATTTTCAAGGACTGCGTTAAAAAAATGACATTGCATGGGACCTTTAATAATTTTTAAAGCTTTTAGGGTAACCAGGTGATTATAAGTACATACAGAGAGTTTTGCAGTTAGCAGTCATGAACTTGAACACTGAAGTTCACCCCTGAGCAACAGTGCCTTGCTGAGTGTATTACTCACCAACATTCTGTGATTCCACCTCATATGGTCCGTTAGCTTCTGGTAGTGAGGCACGGGTCTTGCCACTGCGTCGTGCGCTACCAGACCGGGCGCTACTCTGACGACTCCCATGGCCTGAATCTGTCGGAAAACATTAATCCATGGGTAATCAAGATTTGTTTCTCTCAGTCACAGGCAACATAAACTGAACTGAAAATGCCAGTTCCTCGTTTATTAACCTTCTAAAGCCCCCTTCGCATTGGATGCATTGTGATTGTTAACATTCCCTTGCGGTTATTCTACCGTGTTTTTTTTCCACACTTGGTTTAATTTCGGCTAGCGAGGCATAAACTTCACATGCATTGACCTTTGTATGTGATTGTGGAAATACGCACCAAAAAAAATTATATTAACCAAAATAAGCCCATTATGAATAAGGCTTAAGATTGTTTAGAGGCTCAATTAATGTAGGAAATTTGCATCACGAAGCACTTTCCTTCTAAAGCCCACCTTTTGAGTTCATGACACTAGCAAAGTTTAACCAGCACTCAATCATTCCTGCATATTTTTTGCGAAGTAAGTTCAAAGCAAAATGCAGGAGAATTCCATAGTCCAGAATCAAATTAGATAAAGGGTGAGAGTTTGCTAGAAAAGTATTGTTAAAATGAAAGTTTTGTTATTTGAACTTTGAAAAGAAAAGTTTTTGTGTTTGATAATTACCTGGATAATTGCTCATAGCTGCAGTGTGTACGTGCATGGAAGTGGAAACAACAACAAAATCATAACAGATGGAGAGTGGATTTTTTCACAGGGGAAAAGCAGGCAATGCCATGCCATGCTATGATGTGGTCATGGAGGCTTGGAAACACAGCAAACAAACGTTGGCCACTGGTAGGCAATGGGAGATTCAGTTTCGTCATTCCATGCTCAGTGTTGAGCATTGCCCTGGTCTGGAGCATTGAATTTGTGGTCTGCAGGTAATTCTGCAGGTTGTGGGGTTTGAGTCCAGCCTGGGGCTATGGTGTGTGTGCCCTTGGGCGAGGGATGGTTATTGTGATTGATTATAGCTTCTTTGTGCCAAAATGGCAGCATGAGCTGTATACTCCCCAGGGAGCTGAGATTGTCTTTGGAATGTTTCATTGGCCCAATGAGCAGGGTAATAATGATTTGAGCAACAAATATTTGTGGACAAGTTAGTTTTATAAATGAACATTGTTATTTTTATGTTAATTTTGTTATATTCCAGTTTAAGTGTTGTTAAAAATATACGTTAACAAGCAAAACCCTACACTGTTAATGTGACGGTTTTAGTACTTTTAATGTTCTATTTAAAACGTTTTCTTTGGTGACATTTAAATAAGAAATTCACGCTTCTCTGGTTTTACAAGATATCTTTTCAAACTGACCAATCAGCTCTAACTAAGTCTACTTTCAAGTGCCCCAACCCTTCAGCTGTTACTTTGATCACACTCACCCCCGCTGTCTACATCCAGGGTATCCGCTCCAAAACCCACACCGCTGGGACTATCCAGCCTGTCTGAGCCTAGGCCATGATTTACAGGGGGAGTGAGCACAGCAAACAGCACAGCATGACAGGAGTGGAAGTGGAGGGTGAGGTAGTGGTTAACAGAAGAGCAAGACAAGTGGTGGAATGAAGTTGAGGGACAAATTAATGGAAATCAAAAGTCAGTGGAAACATGCACGGCATATCACAGGTGTTAAAAGGGGAAAGTAAAGAGGGGTGTGTAAATTACTAAGAATAAATTGCTTACATTGCTTAAAAACACAGTGAACTTTCCTATTTAATTTTAAAGGGTTCTCTCTGATATATTTCGGATAGGAATCCAATTTCACATTCTTTGTATGAAATCCTTCCAGGAGTATCAAGCCCCATGTACAGTAACAGCAGCTGAGCTCTGCCTTATTAGTCAATCCCCAAAATCCTCCACTGTGTATGATCCAATGGCACCTTCTTTGAACCTACCAAGTTTTAAGGGGCATCAAGCCCTATGTAAAGAAATAGCAGCTAAGCTGTACCTTCCTCGATCCTAAAAAACCCTCCAAAACCTTTATGTGGATTTTGAACAGTGTTGTAGTCTAGTCACATGGGTCGAGTCCAAATCAATGTCTTGAGTTACATACTGTATGTACTTGGGTCAAGTCCATTGAGTCGTTCAGTTCAAGTCTGAATCCGATTCACATTTGCACAAAGTAGATGTGCATGGACAAATATACATACGTAAGTGATGCACTGAAGCATGAAATACGAAGGTGTGCATTATAATTTGGAACACCACCCAGGGAGTGGTGTCGTGTGCATGATCTGTAGTTTTGCTTTAAAATTACTTTTGAAAAATAAACAATGCAAGTATATATGTTTTTAAAGGGAATTTCATTTGGTCAAAAAGACTCGCTAAGTCACGAGTCATTAGCATCAAGTCTGAGTCATATGAAGGCTGAATTTAAGTCTTTTGAGAATGTCATTTGATTGAGTCCGAGTTACCAAAATTGCGACTTGAGTCAGACTTGAGTCTGAGTCCTGGACTCAAGTCCTACAACACCACTTTTGAAGGATCTAGAAAGGCAAGGCTTCTGACTGTACGATGGTAATGGATTCACCATTTGTTATAATTGCCATGTGTTATTTTTCTTTGCAAAAAGCAGTTGCACCAGACTGTAGGCAATTTAACCATGTGAGGCGTTCTAGCAAAATGAGACAGAACTGGGCAGAGGTGGACGTGAGGGTTTGCAGGTATTATGAAAGAAAATAAAGACTTCTCCTTACAATCTACTGTTTGTTGCACTTCATTCAGACACTCTGTTGACATGTTATGGCCGTTTAAATTAGCATGAATCGGCATGTTAAAAAAGTAAAATGCTAAGAAAAAGGCTTTTAAAGTTTCTATTATTTGAAGTAGACATATCAAAGGTTATAAATATCAATAAATCTTAAGAAAAATCACCCCATTCCGTTTTTTTTTACCACTTTTCTCCACTACGGCCAATTCCCTGTTTTGTCTCATTTTGCCAGAACACCTCACAGATATTACGATTGAGCCTAGTAGTAGTCTATATATGTGATTGCGCCTAGTAGTAGTTTATGAGAGAGAAGTTAAAGTGAAGAATATTGCTTTTTGGCTGTGAAGCAAACCTACATACCTGCACTGCCACCACGAATGCCATGAGCGCTACCCCCTGCAAAACAAACGGGTATTCCCATATCGTGATACTAAACAGCCTGAAGAAGGAATGAAGGAACTTTTATGGGTGTGGGTTTGGGGATGGAGTCAGGAGTTGGGGTTGGGTGTGGGGTAGTAGGTGCGGGTGGGGTCGGGATTGGGCTTGGGGCGAGGCTGGTTGGGGCGGGGTTGGTTGGGAGGTGTGGTGTTCAAGATCAAGACATACAGAGAGATATAGGGTCTCAAGGGTAAACTGTTTAGGGTGTACATGGGATAGCAAGAGGTTTGGAAAGTTGGGAAATTTCAGGTTTTTATGATGCAAATGGATAGAGGACAAAAAAAAAGCATAACAGGGCTATTGGCTTTTTTGATGAGGGAACTCGTGCCACAGGCAAACCATTTTTTTAAAATAACTCTAATTGAGACACTGAATTATTTCTTGCTAGCTGGACTTACCGGCACTACCACCGCGTGCACTACGCCCACTCCCAGTGCGACGAGTGCCACTACTTGCACGCTGTGAAAAATAAATAAAAAACAATACGGAACTTTGAACTAGCCTCATAAAAGCAAATAACATCAAATGATGAATATGATTTTCTAATTTTGTTTTAATTGTAGAGCTTATGTTATGCAGTCAAGGTGATATTATTGTTTATCGCACGTGACTAAACAACAGATGTGAAATTATGAAAATCCCATCTGTAATAATAGTGGTCATTTATAGATATTTGTTTATTGATACAAAGTGCTTGGTAGGCGCATCGTATCCAGCAAGAAATCCTAGATGCAAAAGGCATGGACTGAAAGATAGTTAAAATGTAACATCAAGAAATCCATCAAAACTCCCCTGAATTGGCTTCTTCATAAAGCAAATAGTTTTACCTGTTCTCTTAACTCCTTGGCCTTCTCTGCCTTCTTCAGTTTAGTAGCGTACTCTTGAGCTTCCTTCAGACCCAGATCAGAGCACAGACGGACCAGAAACTTCAAACCTAAACAAAGGCAAGAGGTATTCTGATACAAGTCAGAAACACTTCCATGTTGTTACTAGCATTTTTGTTGTTACTTGTTACTCTTTCAACATACCAGTCTCTTTAGGATTTGAAAGAAAGCAACTTGCACTTACATTCTATATTGTCTGGGAATTTCTTGTGGATGCGTTTGTACGTCTCCAAGGCTTGCTGGTAGTTGCCTGAAATAGTCAAATTTAAATTGCATGAATTTTAAATTTTTGTGTAATTCACCTGTTTATTTTTAGTAGTGAATAGCCTTCCGTCTGTCCATTTGTCACAGTGTTTGGATGGATGTCTTTCAGGGTACTTACCACTCCGTCTGTGACAGCTAGCAATCATCAACTGCCATTTGACCTGGTTTGGTTGAATCACTGCAGCTCTCTCAAAGTAGTGAATTGCTTTCTCCACAAACTGGGAATCGATGAAGTACGCTCCAAGCCACTCAATGATTTCGATGTTGGAAGGGAAGTACCGGAATGACTACAAATGATAAAAATGATAACAGGTTCAGACCAAACACGCAATAAAGGTTACCAATGTGACACCAACAACTGATTTCTTACTTTAACCTTCAGTTGTTCTTACTGCAAATAGTGTATAATGGAAATAAAACATCATTACCCAAAACATGCATATGTTTACACTTTGCAAAACTGAAACACCATTTAGATCAACTAGACTACCGATTCTAAGTGTTGTAGTCGAGGTACTTGTGATGGATAATGACATAGGAATGGCATTGTCACGATTCATTTGATTAGCTTGCGACTTGACTTGACGTTGATGACTTGTGACTGACTTGTGACAGCCTTGTGATTGACTTGTGCCTGACTTGTAACCGACTTGACTGACTTATGACCTAACTTGTGGCTGTCTTGTGATTGACTTGTGACTGACTTAAGTCAGTTACTGACTTTTAACTGAGTTGTGACTGAGTTGTGACAGACTAGTGGCTGGCTTGTGACTGGCTTGTGATTGATTATAAGAAACTCAAGTAAAACACTGATTGTTTCCTCATTGAGATCATAGCTTTTTAATTAATTACAAGTAAGCTGATATTCCTTACCTCATAGTGATACTGGTATGCTTGTGATTTGTCGCCCTCGTTGTCAAACAGTTCACCTAGCCTAGAGAGGATGGCTGGGTCTGTAGGTACAATGCTTATCAACTGAGTGAACCATTCTGTTGCTTGAGGGGTGTCTTCTAGCATGTCATAGCTGGGAAGGTGTGGTCAAGGATATTATGTCAGCTGGGAGTGGCTTTGCATTCCCCTGCTATTTTTGAGTTTCATCCCGAAGATAGATTCCTTTTCTAGTTTTCCACCAATACAAAAGTCATTTTAGAATAACAAATCAACCAAAAAACCCCAAACAAACAATGTTTAGCTATTAAATGATTACTTTACAATTGCTCACTTTGAGGGGTGTCTTACAAAAGTGAATAACTGTTTCATAACAAGGATACAGGCTGGCTATCTGGAACAAGACTTCAGCATTATTCCTGAGGATGGCATGGAGTTTCAAGAAGCAGTCTAAGGAGGCCTCAAGGTGACCTAGTTTCTTGTTCACAAGCCCTGAAAATCACAGAGAAACAGATAAAGAACAAATACCATGGTGCTGCTGAATCATGTTTGCAGAAAAACAATTTGGCAAACCATAACCCTCCTCGTAGGAAGTCAATATTCAGAGCACTATGTAAAATCCCTGCCGGTCAGTTTCAGTAAAGGGATATTAAGTGTCTAAGTAACTGTGTCACACAGAGACTCAATGCACACAAAACAAAACACTGTGGTTAGCAATGAAGCGTGACTGACTCTGCCTGCTTGCCCTGAGCTTAACCACACCAAAGAATTGCGCAGGGATTGGAAGTGTTATCCATACTCCACAGAAGATTACCTCAAAGCAATTTGAAGTGTGAGTGCTAACTCTATTGGCCATTGAAGCGCAGAAGACTAGTTTCACAGCAAGTTTCATAGCAATGATGTGATCTTAATTTTGTTCACAAGATCATTATTGTTGTTGCGTCATTTCTTTTAAACAACTTCTTTTCATATTTTCACATACTGAGCAGAAATTCTGTTAGCAGAAAACAATGTGCACTGGGTCATGAAATTACATGAATTAAAAACAACCATTCCAGTCATCTACTTTGAATTTGCTCAACTCCCCTTTGTGGTAGTCACAGCGCCCTCTGTATTCTGCGCACAAAGCAAATAGACATAGCCCAATGACCTACCCAGGTTGTAGAGTGCTTCGGTACAGGATGCCTCAGTCCTCAGTGCTTCTTGGTAGTAATCACGACATTTCTCCAACTCTCCTTGTACGAACAGACAGTTGCCCTTGTTGACTAGCGCTGCAAATAAAACAATCAACCATGCGGACAACTTTAGTTTTACTGTACAATATCTCTTTCTGTGTTGCCATTCAGTGCATGCTTATAAGCTCCGTGTTCATGTGCTCCACAACTAACTATTACAGAGAGGAAGTAAGGCAGGATGTTTGTGCATATTGACCAACACTTCTGATACCCACTCTAGAGCCTTTCTTTCTTCCAAAACACTCCAGCACCCCATATCCATCACCAAACGCAACTTGCATGCTCCTTGTGCAACTGTAAAATGGCACTGTGTGCAGTTGCAGCTGGCACTTTCCAATAACTGAATATTCGGTCCATTACATTTTTAATGGATGGATTTAATTTCGTTCAGCGATATCAACTCTGATAAAGTCATAAACAAATAAGTAGAGTATGCACTTGGCATCATTCAATTTAGCCATCTAAATTGGTGCAACTGCAGTATTCTTTTATCAGATATTTATTTTTCGCTGACCGACCGACACTATCGTAATGAAAATATCTAACCAAAAAAGAACCAATATTATTTTAGTTCTGAAAACATGCCAAGTAAAAACACAGCCTGATTTTCAGAGGCTTTTATTCCATTCCTACCTGCAGGGTTGTATCTATCTGCCGTCATAGCAACCTCAGCGTATTTCTCAGCCAGCTGGTACTCTGACTGTAAGAAGTAAATGAAGGAGAGATTGGTGGCAGCCACCGAGGCGCACTTGGAATCTTTCTTCTCAAATGTCTTGAGGACCTCCACAGCCTGAAAGAAGAATCACACAAGTTGGCAACGTTACGTTATGGCTATGGCTGGGAGTAACACATGCGTCAATGGAAAGTGGCTGTGGCTGCTTCCAGATAGGCTCATGTGTATTGCAAGCCGTAGCCAAGTACTTTTATTGGAGCCATAAACATGTATTGTTTCCCCACCCCACCGCATGTTTAGTGGAACTAGTGGAATGCAACTTTAATTAGACTTTTGTGCACTCAATATATGTATACATTTGCAAACCTCTGCAGATTTAGACACTGTTTCACAATCCTAACAAAAAGCCTGTAAGTACCTGACTGAATTCCTTCTGTTTGAGATACATGATGGCTTTGTTGATCTCCAAGTCATTAGCCAGATCAGTGAAAGCTGACTGCTTGACGCAATCAACACACCTGCAACAGAAAGGCAAAAAGGAAATGCTGAGAATAATGGATGTTTTGATATGAGTACTGTTATTATGAATCCCAATGAGCGAGAATTGGGAACTGATATGTCACAGGTTTAAGGTCAAGTAAGAAAAGAAACCAACTTCTTTGCCCTTCCTACGTCCTCTTTCCTGCCCGCCTCCTTTAAAGTTATTCATCATTTGCATTACATTTTGCAAACACATTGCCAATATTGTGCCTTTTTTTGTTTCTAACAAAATCATATTAGGTAAAAAGGGCGATGCCTCCTTTGGGCACAATTTTCTATAAGCAAAGAGTTGAGAAATCGGAAGAATCCATCCATCATCATAGGTGAAACCAAAGTGGGGGGGGGGGGGGGCTACCTCCATTTTTTTCCTCCGAGACTGAAAAAATTTCCTTTATTGATCAGCCTATTAACCAATCAGTTCAGAATACTGCCCAAACTGCCCTGCCTGTTACTCCCTGTACTGCCCCAAACTGCCCTGCCTGTTACTCCCTGTACTGCCCCAAACCACCCTGCCTGTATCTCCTTGTACTGCCCCAAACCACCCTGCCTGGTACTCCTTGTACTGTCCCAAACTGCCCTGCCTGGTACTCCTTGTACTGCCCCAAACTGCCCTGCTGGTACTCCTTGTACTGCCCCAAACTGCCCCAGCACTGTTTGGTTTTATTGATTCATCAGGAAATAAATGCAATGTAGTACAATGTAATACAATGTAATACAATATAGAATAGGTGCTGATTGATCAGCGAATGGGATACAAACACTTTATAACTTCTTCTGACACTAGTTGACAAGTGACAATTTTCTTGAGTTTCATTATGACAAACTAAGTTTGATCTTACCAGTCATATCCAGCTGAGAAGCTTTGCTCTATGGCTGGTGCAATCAACTTGGCTGCAGCCATCAGACAACGCTCCATGCCTTCCTTACTATTACCAGAGAAGAAAAATCCAAAAACAAAGCTCTTCTCATCAAAAGACATATTTGATCATTAGAATAATTATGATTTGTGATTTGAATCAAACATAAAATTAATTGAAACTGGCAATACAGGTCAATACCCAGTTCAATCTGATTCTGACATGAATGAAGACAGAAGATTTGGAACTCACGCTTCTTTTTCTTTCTCTCTTAATGCATCGTTCTTGATGACCTCTAGGACAAGATTTGCATGCTTGTCATCCTGGAAAAAGAAAGAAGACAATTTTATCATTACAGAAGACTCCTTCGGCCATTTCATTCACGGAACCTGTACGACTATTCATGTAACACACACACACGCTTGTTGACATGAGCATTCTGTGCATTATGGTACCTGCTCTGGTTTATTGCTTTGTTAACCCCCAAATCTCTTCTTGAAACGCTGAATTATTTGATCAAATATTATCAAAAAGCTTACTTTAATTAAACATCTTCATGGTAATAAACACCCCGTGAAACTCTTTCGTCTGGCTTGCGTTTAGAAGAAATCAAGAAATGAAGGTGATTTCAGCAATCAATCAATTGACTAATTTTTGGAAAAATGAGTGCTACTGACAAAATCGTGCTTTGTGCTTTGTAAGGTTGTGCATAGTTTTACACATTTTTCTTAGAGAAGTGTAAATATACGCTGAGCTGAAACTTGAACAGGTTAGATTTTAATCACTCTTCTTTGGATTTTGGGCAGCGTTATTATTGGAAGCAAACGCATGAAAAGTAAATGATCCTACATGTTTTTTAAGTAGTTGGTTGTTTAAACCATCTCAACCCTACTTACCGGATGCGGCAGATATTTATCCTCATCGTCCAGATTCAGATCGACGCCTAGAAGTTGTTGGAATGTCTTTTTCATCTTATCCCGGTCTCCTGTAGCGTAGTAGCACAGTAACAGATTGAAGGCGGTCTCGTAATCTGGTTTCTCCGACATGATGTGTTCAAAGGATGTGATAGCGTCGCTGTACTGGCCCATCTTGACAAACACGATGCCGATGTTCTTCATGATCTTGATTCTAGAGATGGCACAGAAGATTTTTTTGGTTTCAATGTAAAGCAAGACATGTACATGTGACATTCTTCCTGCTTATGTGCAATTCTATCCTAAATCACGTTACATTTAGAAGGGATCTTCCATCAACTCTGTGCTATTATTCTGTACAGTTACAGCATTTAGGGGGAATGTTTCCTACATTGAGGTTGTCATGCTTAGCTGTTTTGATGATTTCATAAATTTTCCATTTTTCAGCTATGTGCACTTTCGCATGGATTTTCTCACAAGTATCTGGACTGCAGTATTGCTGCAGTGATCTGAGATGCCTTACCTCATCTCCTTGTGAGTGTTAGGCACCTGATCCAACGCCATCCTGTAATACTTGACTGCTTTGGGGAAATTCCTCTGCTTAAAGTATATGTTGCCAATGTTGACACGGAGCCGTCCGGCATGGGAGAACATCTTGTTCTTGACAATGACTTGGTAGGTGTTGAGAGCTTCTTGGTACATTTCGTTGGCTTCGTACTGATTGGCCACATTGAACAGCACCTGTGACAAAGCGATTCAATGTGAATAGGATTAGGGTTTGAATCCTGCTTTGGCACACAAACAGTTAACAGTTTTTTCATTCAATTATATTATATTATGTTATGAGTTCCATACAGAGTGTCACTTTCCAAGAGCTGGTAAGAAAACCAACTCAGGAGGGACTTGAAGCCACAACCTCCTGCTTACTAGTGCAGACATCTTACCGTTCGACCATTGACCTGACTGTGGTCAAATGGCCGGTTTAAATCTGATATAGTACGGAACTGTAGTCACGGCCCAATATTTATGGTTATGTTTAGGGACCGTCTCATAAGTCAGAACTTTCCCGTACCTTATGGGATGCTCCTTTTAGGAACTCAATGTGTATTGTATGTAGACTTACTGAGTACGTCTGGTCCAGATTGACTTGTTCCCCGTTAAACAATTCATCTCTCTGTCTGCCAAGCATTCGCTCCTTTCTTCCAGCCTCTTTAGCCTTCTCCAGAGCCAAGCTAAACTCTCCTCTGCTGTTGGCCAGGCAACTCTCCTCAATCAAACCGTTCACCTTCTTCTCCAAGTTCTTGATTTTTTCTTCAGGGCTAGAAGGCAATGTTTGTTTCAAAAGGTCCATGGGATGAATTTTTCTAAGGAATACATTTTTTTTGCAACTTTCTTCTCCTTTTAAATTATGAAAACTATTTGACATTCCTTTTTGGTAAATTCTTTTGAGAAGTCTTTAAACATGTATTTAAATTGTTCCATGTTTTTCCTGACAACTGAGGAAGCTCTTGCTGTGATGTCATTTCAGGAGCACACTCTTCAGTTACATGTAGGGGTTTTAATTCTGTTCAAATTGTGAACCCAAAAATTTGCTCAATGAAAACATTTGTTAGAAAACTTTGCTCATTGATTTACTGTCATGTACTGAAACAACAACAAATCACCAAAACAAACATTACGATGACAAAACATCCAAAATTCTGGTACCTTTTGGTACTGAAATAGCTGAGGTTTCTGCCTAAAATGACATCAGACTTTTGCTCCTAAATGTGGAAAGTTGCACTATTCATATATACCAAAAGGCACCAAATTACCCTTGATAATGGCCAAACGAAAATTGAAAATAAGTTAAATAGGACACAAAGGTGCATTTTCAAGGACTGCATTAAAAAAATATTGCACAGGTCCTTTAAAACTTTATATAAAGGAAACAATTTCTGACTCTTTTCGAACCCTTCTTTGTTCTTTGCTACTGGGCTGCTGAATCAATACTTTACAAAGACTTATGTGCATTCCACTTACGTGTCTTCATTCTTTGTTTCCAGCGGTGGGGCGGGACCTTTAGACGCTTGGTTCATAGGATCAAACTGCTGACCACGCCCCGTAGAGGAGTAGCCAGCTGCTTTGACTGCTGTCATGGGTCTAGCGACACTACCATCCTATCAAGGAAAACAAACAAGGCTTGCTTCATAATGATGGGATTGCAACCAAACAGACATGACAGAGGGATGGGTGAAATACTGGAGCAAGTTTGAATAAGAAATAGGGTTTACCATAGTAAGATAAAAAATTATTGAATGCAAGCTTGTAAAAAACGGTCAGATTGTTCTAGTCAGCTATGGGCATTTCCATTGTTATGGACGTTACAGTCAGAGCCTAAAACTAATTTGAAGGTAAAATGCTTGCAGTGAAAGCAAATATGATTTATTATGTATTACTATAGCTTAGGCTTTAATGTGCCACATGAAATGTGTAATGCAATATTAGTTGAACTAATTAGTGAGAAACAAGCGCTGTAAATGACTGTTAAAGAGGTTATGCTTTAAAGTATTCATCGATAAAAGTCGGTGAAGTGTCTTGCAAGAATTAAATGAAATAACTATGTTGTGGTAGTAACATTTTACAAAAAAGGAATGTTATGGAAACATTATGCTTGTGTTGTTACGGACATTACATTGTAATGTTACGGATGTCATGTGTCTGAACTGATTCATGGTATTCTAAGTTTAGTGTGATATTTTCATAAAAACTGAATCTTGCTCTCTGCCTTAAAAAACCCAAGCTCACAATAACCTTTGCAGTTTGCATGTTAAAACAAGATGCCAAAATGATGCTATGATCATTTGATGCTATGATGCTTGTAGTTCTGAAGATTTCATACATTTGCCACATTTCAGCCATATTAACTTTTATGTGCAATTGCCCCTATTCTGGACCAGTTAAACAACAGCAAAATAAGCACCGCATATAAAAGAAAGTCCACACTCATTGGATGGGTCATTAGTTTGAATCTGATTGTCTAACTATGACTTCATTTATATAGACCCTTAGGGAACTTTGTAGCAAAATGGGTATCAAAATGTAGGTAACAACATTCCCAAAGGTTTATATAAGTGACGTCATCATAAGACGACCAGACTCAAAATTAAGACACCTCCAATCAGTGTGGACTTCTTTTTTTGTGTGGTGTTTATATGTATCACCAATATTGCATTATAACCAGTTACTCTCTTGTGATACTTACTGCAGCAGCAATGCCTGTGACAGGACGGGCTCCCATGGAGGATACTAAACCTGTCTTCAAGCGAGCCTGAAGATAGAAAAGGATGGACAAAATATAGCTAATGAAAGACAACTCCACTGGGACAATAATTATTTGATAGTTACATGTTTTTATGATGACTAATATACATATACCTCCCGTTTGTCCATTGCTATGTTAAGAATTTCCCATCCGTGCTTAGATTAACACATAAACATATACTGTATTTTTTTGAGTTTGAAAATATGTTTCCTGGTAATTGGAAATGTTCTACTTGCCTTTAAGAAGTGTTTTCTGTCTTGTGGTAGTAGACTAGGCACACATTTTATGAAGCAATCATGGAACTAGCGCATGGGGGGGGGGGGTAGTGCGCTGGCATTAACATTTCTCTAGTTTAGGTACATGAAAAGATTGGGCACATTTACAGCAACGTTTCGCTGAGAAAACAATCGAAGGTTTGTTGAATATGTATGATATATAGTAAAATAAATAAAACATGGGTTGATAGTCAATTATTAGCTGGAAATTGACAGACTAGTTCCCTTGGCTTTTCCTCCATAAAAAAATAGTTTGTTAACTTACAATACCTCGGGGAGCTAAACTGGACTACCAACCCCCAAACCATGTGTTATTTGCATGCTAATTATCTGGCAACTTACTCCAGCAGTTGTTCCCATCTGCCCTCGCTGTATTGCAAACTGACGTGTTGCTGTCATCTGCAAAAACAAAAATATCAACAATTCAATGATAAAATAAGCGACAAAAGATATATTTTCAGATTATATTGGCTCTGTGTGCGAACAACAGAGGGCAGTATTTACCACCTTTGAGAGCTCCGTGGACTAGACACACTGGGTGTGCGTGCTGGTTCACACGCGTATAGCTCGAACTAATTTTGTTCAGAATCTACTAAAAGCAACGGTGTCTTCGCGTGAGCATCAGGAGCCGTTGTAAATGCGTTCAAATGTCTCTCCCAGTGGTCTCCCCAAACTCTCCCATCCTTACTGTTGACGGGGTACTTGTGCACAGAGTTAACATTACCAAGTGTTTACAATGCTGGACTGATTTAACTAGACCGACTTAGAGTCTAAGACTTCACTACTATGCACTGTATTTACACATGGAGTCAAAGACAATCAAACTGTGCACATTACAGGTGGACGACGTCCATGGCTCGTCTTGACTGCATTCTGAAAGCCTTCATCTTGTTGCAGATTCTGTAAAGAAACAGACAATAAAAAGTCATCCTCTAAACGGTACATGTATGTTCAGTGAATGTTGTTGCTTGATCTGCCAGACCTTTCAAGACAATTTAGTATTTGGAGGAAGAGAATAAATGAAGAAGTGGTGGTGGGGGGATGCATCAGCATTGTATGGGGTATCAAGGGGGATGGAACCTCATTTGATCATGCTAGGGGGTGCTCTATATCCCCTTTTTTCTTATCTCTTCATTCATATGAATAAACATTGAGTTAAAAACCCACATTGCAACAAACGAAACTGGTTCTGATTACCTGTGTAAAGAATTTTTTTTTTTTTAAATCAGGACCTAAATTTTGCCGGAGTCCTTTCAAGGGCTCAAGAAATCAACAAAGAATATTGAAATGCAATTAAAAGTCTGCTTTCTGGATAGCAGTTTTTGAACTACATAATAAAACAATGAGGTGGGAGTCTGTGAAAGGATGTATATTTTGTATGCGATAAGCAGCCACAACTTGACGGTAATGCAAAGTCCGCGAACATAAAAAACTTTGTACCGTAAGTCACCACAAACGTAATATATTTTTGGACTCAAGTATTATTAGCCTCTGAATTTTGTTTTTATGAGGGACTCGAGTCAAGTTGAATCGTTTGCTCATAGTAACTCAAGTTGAATCAAGTTGGTTACCCGTTGGGACTTGAGTCGAGTTGCCAAAATGTGATTAAATTCGGCTCGGGTCGAGTCATTGATTGAGTCATTATAACTCTGCGACTTACTAAAGCTGTCAATGCAGTTACCGCATTAAATAATCAGAGTTTCACCTCTATAACCACTTATCAAGTTAAGCACTGTAAACTGACTGGTTTGAACTCCTACCTCGGTATCGAAGAGCGGATTGTAATCATTGTAGCCAGAGTACAATTCATCCTCATCCTCCCCAGCTAGATGAACTTGTTCCATCATCTTGTCTTCTAGGAATCTACAAAACATTTTTTCCAATAAATTTCATAGCAATATACACCTTCTGTAATTACTCAGAAACTAAGGCCAAAAAAAAAAAAAAAAATTCTGCTACATCTACATCTACACAGGTACTCAGCAAAGTCCACTGATAAAATAAAGATAGTGGATATTTTGCCAGAGGTAATGATGGCAAACTAACGTTTACTAAAGGTTTGCCAGCGGCAATCCTTATCAACAGAGGGCGCTGTACTCTTTAAGATAGGGCTGAATTATAAGATGTATTAAATTCCCACCAAAAGTTGTGTAGCACGTTTGGTGTAGTGGTTAAGCAAAGGCTGTAGAAAGCGGGATCCGCGGGTTCGATTCCGACCGCAGCATATTTTAAAGTTTTTTTTTTCTCATCCCCAAATAAATAAGAATATTCTTCTTTTATTATTTTAACATGTCTCAAACATTTTTTTGCAGAGTATTACATTTTCTTTTTCAGATTTGTGGCTCTGGAGGATTTTTTTTAAAGGGAAATAAAGTCCGAAATTATAAAATGGTCTGAATCCCATCTTGTGAATACGAGGTTACAACAATAATTTTGGCATGGAGCCAGACTAAAATTTGTCACCGGAAAATGTTTAAGTAAAAAAAAACCAGTAACTGCGCATGTTCAGTGCATATCCGGCAAACTAACGTTTACTAAAGGTTTGCCGTCTCCGGCAAAATATACACTGCCTAAAATAAAACAAATGATAAGCGTTTAAGTGCGTTGATTTGTGCAGGCTTGTTTCAGGTAAGAAAATTGGGCGATCGATCGTGTACATGTATGTTCCTATAAATTATTTGAACTACCAAACTAGTTAGCGACATTAAGAACATACAGGTATGTCATAGATAAAGGGCAGTGTTTTTAGTTTTTGAGGGAAATTTGGGGGTAAAATGAGATGACGACAAAACGCACCACAACAATAAAAATGGGGACAACGCGCAATGTACCGTGAGCGTGCAAGGCGCGCTGAATCGTACGGCGCCAAACGTAAACGGCACAAGAAAATCGTAATTTCTACCCCAGGAAAAAGTTCAAAAATTACAAATCAGGTGTCATTATTGAGAGAAGTCTGCTCCAGGGTGAAAATGTCATTTTTGACAAGAAACACTTTTGTCTTTTGATTCTCATTTGATTGAAACAAAAGTGGCCCTACAGTGTAATTTTGCAACATTCTTTCCTCAATTTTCAGCGTCAGTGATCGTGTAGTGTAGGCTACACTACACGATCGCTGACGCTGAAAATTGAGGAAAGAATGTTGCAACCTGACACTGCTTTTGTCTTCATATATCATCTCAATGAAGGTCAGTCATCGCAAAAATGATGATAAGACATGAATATGGGACTGAGAAACATTTCCAGTTTTGTTAAGAAATACTTTTAAAATTTTCCTGACTCCCCATAAACTTTTACAACCGCTGATGAAAAAAAAGCAACAATAACATTCTTTCCAAAATTAATTTTTCTTTCAAAGTTTCAATTAACTGCTCTAAATTAACAAAAATGGTCAGTATAATTAAAAGAACGTTTCCCGAGGTTGCAGAGTTTGGAGAGCGATACAACTTTTTTAATAACACGAAATGGAGGCGTCCTCAACTACACAGCCCCACCACCCTCGGCCTCGGACTAGTCCCATGGAAACGGGACGCCGCTCGTCATGCTCGTAAAAAAAAGTTGGTTGCTTGGCTGACGTTTTCCTACTCTTACGTGTTAAAAAATGGTGCAATGTCTCGATATAAAGGCATGGGGTAAAACATGAATTAATACTTACCGGTATGCACACTCAAAATCTCGACAACTTTTTAAATTCTGAGTTGTTTGGATCTTTTTTCTTACAACCTTATGCTTATGCACTGAATGTGAACAACTTTTCTCAACCCCGAAAATATTTCCTTCCCATCATGCATCTGGACTATCACGGCCCCCGTAAGAGGGCGCTGCCTACAGTTTGCGGTGTTTATTTGGTTCACATTTGTTGTTTTTTACCGTGTGACGTGACCAGGACAGCAGACTTTTTTTTGTAATTTTCCCAGGCCAACAAAAGTGCCCCACTCGCGGTTGTAAACGTGACCCCCTCGAGGTGAAAACAAAAGTGCCCCTTCAAGTGCCCCCCTTTAATTGTCACCTCTCTTGTAATGGGAAAGTGCCCTCAAAAATTCCCCTCTCGCATTAACAAGATCTTAGATTTCGTATGTACCTTCTTGAGATGGAAAAATACCCCTCGGAAACACAAATACCACCCCTCTTGCACCATAAAATTGTTGTGCCCCTCCCGAGATGGTGCATCTCGCAATAACTTCTCGAAATGAAAAACTGCCCCTTGAGAGCATAGTGTTATTAGGTCCCGCAGCGCGCCGGCCCGAAAATTAAGTGTGCCCCGCTAGCCTCTACAATACATGCTCCTCCTCACATGAATAAAATGGTTACTGAGCTGGATATCAAGAGCAAACACCTCTCGCGATAAATAAAAGTCTAATTCATAGGCGGATTCAGAGAGAGGTTACTGCAGGGGGCGGAGGGAGTGTGGTGTACATTTGCCGAAGGCGCATGGCATCCAAGGCGGCCCTCTGTTGGCAAAAGGGTGTATCTCAACATTTTGACTTTTTGAGATTTTTTCACTTTCGGGGTAATTGAGGGCGCTCTTTTCAGCTGTCAAAGTATTATTTCTATGCTACACACTAATTCAAAGTTAGAAAGGGCTATCTGGATAGATTTTCTGAAAGTTTGTCCCACTTTCTCTGGCAAAAGGGTGTATATTCGAGATAACCCCTTATACTGAACACTTATTGCCGGTAAACGGGGTTATATACTCTTACATTGCTTTGCCAGACAACATAAAGATACTCCCATTTGCCAGATTAGTGTTGCATAATTTAACAAAGTAAAGATATATACACCCTTTTGCCTGCAAAATGTTGTAGGAATGAACAATGTAAAGTGACATACCCCTTTTTACCAGAATAGTGTCACAGAAATGAACAACGTACAGTGACATACATCCTTTTGCCGAATTAGCACTTTTATCTTTGCTTACGTTGTATAGCAGTCATAGAGAAGTAACATTTAAAACAGCTATTATAGAAAAACTCCTTCCTCAAAAATTTCAAAAACTCCAGCAGATTTAATTGATAAGGTCAGCTATCTCATCTCACACTACAAAAAAAATCAGCAAATATGGAACTGTCCGTGAATTGTGAGATTTTGAATTTTCAAAGCCGTTTTGTTGATTTTCAGACTTACACCCTTTTGCCAGCAAAGGGCCGAAGGGGGGGGGGGGGCAACGGGGCCGGCATGCCTCCTCCCCCCCCCCCCCACGTAGTGTACTAGTGAATATGATCACGTAGTGAATATGAGCCATCCAATCTGATGTAAAAAAAACCTATCATAACTTACGTTTACTCATTGCACGTGAATATGAATATGAAACAATCTGATCAGAAAAACCTATCATAACTGCGTTTCCCCATTGCACGTAGTGAATACGAGGCAATCAATGGAGTGATACGCTGTAATGGCATGTTTTTCAAGCCCCTTGGCCCGTATGCGCTAATGCTATAGAGTGATACGCTGTAATGGCATGTTTTTCAAGCCCCTTGGCCCGTATGCGCTAATGCTATGGAGTGATACGCTGTAATGGCATGTTTTTTCAAGCCCCTTGGCCCGTATGCGCCAATGCTATGGAGTGATACGCTGTAATGGCATGTTTTTCAAGCCCCTTGGCCCGTATGCGCTAATGCTATGGAGTGATACGCTGTAATGGCATGTTTTTCAAGCCCCTTGGTCCGTATGCGCCAATGCTATGGAGTGATACGCTGTAATGGCATGTTTTTCAAGCCCCTTGCTCTGTATGCGCTAATGCTATGGAGTGACACGCTGTAATGGCATGTTTTTCAAGCCCCTTGGCCCGTATGTGTTAATGCTATGGAGTGATACGCTGTAATGGCATGTTTTTCAAGCCCCTTGGTCCGTATGCGCTAATGCTATGGAGTGATACGCTGTAATGGCATGTTTTTCAAGCCCCTTGGCCCGTATGCGCTAATGCTATGGAGTGATACGCTGTAATGGCATGTTTTTCAAGCCCCTTGGCTCGTATGCGCTAATGCTATGGAGTGACACGCTGTAATGGCATGTTTTTCAAGCCCCTTGTCCCGTATGTGTTAATGCTATGGAGTGATACGCTGTAATGGCATGTTTTTCAAGCCCCTTTGGCCGTATGCGCTAATGCTATAGAGTGATACGCTGTAATGGCATGTTTTTCAAGCCCCTTGGCCCGTATGCGCTAATGCTATGGAGTGATACGCTGTAATGGCATGTTTTTCAAGCCCCTTGGCTCGTATGCGCTAATGCTATGGAGTGATACGCTGTAATGGCATGTTTTTCAAGCCCCTTGGCCCGTATGCGCTAATGCTATGGAGTGATACGCTGTAATGGCATGTTTTTCAAACCCCTTGGCTCGTATGCGCTAATGCTATGGAGTGATACGCTGTAATGGCATGTTTTTCAAGCCCCTTGGCCCGTATGCGTTAATGCTATGGAGTGATACGCCTTAATGGCATGTTTTTCAAGCCCCTTGGCCCGTATGCGCTAATGCTATGGAGTGATACGCTGTAATGGCATGTTTTTCAAGCCCCTTGGCCCGTATGCGCTAATGCTATGGAGTGATACGCTGTAATGGCATTTTTTTAAGCCCCTTGGCCCGTATGCGTTAATGCTATGGAGTGATTCGCTGCAATGGCAATTTTTTCTTAAGCCCCTTGGCCCGTATGCGCTAATGCTATGGAGTGATACGCTGTAATGGCATGTTTTTCAAGCCCCTTGGCCCGTATGCGCTAATGCTACGGAGTGATACGCTGTAATGGCATGTTTTTCAAGCCCCTTGGCCCGTATGCGCTAATGCTATGGAGTGATACGCTGTAATGGCATGTTTTTCAAGCCCCTTGGTCCGTATGCGCTAATGCTATGGAGTGACACGCTGTAATGGCATGTTTTTCAAGCCCCTTGGCCCGTATGCGCTAATGCTTTGGAGTGATACGCTGTAATGGCATGTTTTTCAAGCCCCTTGGCCCGTATGCGCTAATGCTATGGAGTGATACGCTGTAATGGCATGTTTTTCAAGCCCCTTGGCCCGTATGCGCTAATGCTATGGAGTGATACGCTGTAATGGCATGTTTTTCAAGCCCCTTGGCCCGTATGCGTTAATGCTATGGAGTGATACGCTGCAATGGCAATTTTTCTTAAGCCCCTTGGCCCGTATGCGCTAATGCTATGGAGTGATACGCTGTAATGGCATGTTTTTCAAGCCCCTTGGTCCGTATGCGCTAATGCTATGGAGTGATACGCTTTAATGGCATGTTTTTCAAGCCCCTTGATCTGTATGCGCTAATGCTATGGAGTGATACGCTGTAATGGCATGTTTTTCAAGCCCCTTGGCCCGTATGCGCTAATGCTATGGAGTGATACGCTGTAATGGCATGTTTTTCAAGCCCCTTGGCCCGTATGCGCTAATGCTATGGAGTGATACGCTGTAATGGCATGTTTTTCAAGCCCCTTGGCACGTATGCGCTAATGCTATGGAGTGATACGCTGTAATGGCATGTTTTTCAAGCCCCTTGGCCCGTATGCGTTAATGCTATGGAGTGATACGCTGTAATGGCATGTTTTTCAAGCCCCTTGGCCCGTATGCGCTAATGCTATGGAGTGATACGCTGTAATGGCATGTTTTTCAAGCCCCTTGGTCCGTATGCGCTAATGCTATGGAGTGATACGCTTTAATGGCATGTTTTTCAAGCCCCTTGGTCCGTATGCGCTAATGCTATGGAGTGATACGCTGTAATGGCATGTTTTTCAAGCCCCTTGGCCCGTATGCGCTAATGCTATGGAGTGATACGCTGTAATGGCATGTTTTTCAAGCCCCTTGGTCCGTATGCGCTAATGCTATGGAGTGATACGCTGTAATGGCATGTTTTTCAAGCCCCTTGACTCGGTATGCGTTAATGCTATGGAGTGATACGCTGTAATGGCATGTTTTTCAAGCCCCTTGGTCCGTATGCGCTTATGCTATGGAGTGATACGCTGTAATGGCATGTTTTTCAAGCCCCTTGGCCCGTATGCGCTAATGCTATGGAGTGATATTCAGTGATTTGTCATGATGACTGTGTTATATTTTGAGATTTAATTCCATGAGAACCATCAAACAATGAAAAGAGCATACCCGAAACAAATACAGTATTTTACACGTGAAAAAAACAATCCAAATGAAAATTGAAAAGTCAACGTCCATGGAAAAATAATAATAATACACTCGTTGTTTGAGCAATAACCCGAGCTCACCAGGTCAAGCTATATTGAGTTGTAAGTTCAGCAAGTGATCGGTCATGATGTCTTACACGACCAGATTAAATTTCGTGAGAAACCGTCAAAAAAAAAAAAAAATCGAGAAAGGGCGCGCTGAATAAAACTAGTGGCCTCGCACCGCCTAGACATTCATCCGCACGCCGTAGATTTGTTTTAATTTTACTTCAATAGAGGGCGCGCCACATATATATTAGCGGTCTCAACAACGCATCAACACGGATGCCGCAAAATTGAACAAAAAAGAACAAACTCGATTCCGATGAACTACTCAAGAAATACGAAATGGATTCAATTGAAATTTCGTGCAATTAATTTTCACGATGTGTAGCAGAAGTCGTTTCAATGGCGTGTGAAACCGTGGAACTATTAATATAATATGATCGTAACAATCTAGTGTTTGAAAAGCTAAAAATCCACGTTGACTTCCATTAGGATTGTATTTGTCGAGAATGAAACCCTGTTTTGGTACGGTCATAATAGCTTGATTGTTTGACCTTTTCTCCTGAAATTAA